AGAGGGGGAAGACAAGGCTGCTTCGGTGAGTCACCTGAGATACTTCCAGGAGCAATGGAGGAGGGCAACCCGCAGCGAGCCTGTTCATCTGTCAGGTGCAACAGCCGGCGTGAATTGCCAGGCTACGCACAGTCACCCATGCCATTCCCTTGTTTTAGGAGAAAAATGCTTGCTTCCCGAAATCAACTTTCCATGGCCTCAGATAATGAACTGAATCCCTTCTTTCTTAACTACAGCAGTCAGACCACTAACAATTCATGTTTGATTTTGATACTGGTTCTTGATGCATGTTACATTTAATTTTGATTTTCATTAAATACTTCATTGAAATTTGGAGTTACATGAAGCTGTGTTACACAAGTAGACATTCACACATGCAAGAGAATGTCCTCTTTCTCTCTCTGTATCCTACAGTTGCTTGCTCCAAAACAGCTCCAGAAGGTCCCTCCAGAGCAGAATCCATTCTGCTCACAGATGGACAGAGTTGGATTCATCCCATGATTTTTTTTCCAGTATTCAAAAAAAAAAAGCCATTTTTTCTTAAAAGGAGATTTAAAGCCATTTTCCTTTTAAAACCATGCATTAAAAAGTATGTTCAATAAAACTACAGGGTCATAAATCTCATACTGGGAATATTTTCTTATCTTTGCTACCTGACAAGTAGGTAGTGTATAAATCTCAACCACTAAAAATGTCGAAATTCATCAAAAGAAGGCTGCTGTTTTGATGGCTACCTGATTCAGGTTGCACTCTTATACGCAAATACATGGGAGTAAGTGTCATTGAACCCAACTGGACTTACTTCCAAGGAGACATGCATAGTATTGAGCTGCCAAGCTACAAGTATGTTTCCTAAACTGTAGTCCTTACCTAATAAAAGCCACAGAAGCCAGAATAGGTGCATGAATGCTTAGCATGAAGTATTGTGCATTAGGTCTTCGTATTGCATACAAGTGGGTAAAATGATCTCTCATGTTCCAGTAACTTAACCTTATCTGTTGCATCTGTTGTTCTGCAGCACCAGGTTAAATAACGTACACGAAGCTGCCAGACCATGCCAATATCATAGTTCCTATGAGAAGCACAGCAGACCCTCCTTGTGCAGAAAAATAATCCCAAACTACATCCAAGAAACAAGGCCAATAATGCGAGATCTGATGCTGGAGAAAGGGCCTAACAGGAGAAGTCTAGCTCAGAGGCACAGCGCATACGTCACGTGCTCCAGAGTCAGCTGCCAACATATGCAGAGAATCCTCGGTGGCAGGATTGGGAAAGGGCTCTGGTCCAAGGCCTTGAAAATTTGCTTCCAGAGAAAGATAGGCTATCCAGGACAGACCGATCGTCAGGGGAAAACTACACTGGAGTTTCATACAGCAAATGATTAAGTTTTCATTCTACTCCCTGGCCAAGAATCTCCAGGTATAGACTGTTCTGCCCCATTTTTATCCTAAGTATCCTGTGAACCGAGTGTGATGAATCCAAGGTCAACCAATGAGCTTCAAGGCTAAGTGGGGATTTAAATCTGGCCTTTTCAGTTCTACTCAGACTCAAAATGCTACAGGATGTTGGCTTATAAAATGTCCAGGTGCTGTTCTAGAGTTTGGTCAAAAGGCAACAGTTTCATAATCTTGTTTAACAGAACTACTGCTGCATGCAGAAGGCCATGATCACCAATATTTTTTCCTTCTCTAGCAAAATAGGACACATTTAAAATCTACCTGGGAGCAGTTCTCAAGTGCCAAGCTTAATTTTAAAACAAAGTATCATGCATACAACATTTACATGTTGCTGTTTTTAAAATCAACTTCTCTTCTATTGGATTCCAGTTTATTTTAACCCTGGTACCCAAATTGTTTAACAATTTAGCATACAAGACAATTTGTAAGAAAAAACATATACCAGACAGCAATAAGAAAAATAAAGTGGCACATTTCACTGTTTTTATGGATCTGGACCCATGAATAAGGATGAAGCTTATCTCCAGAATAAGACACAATTCTCTAAACTCGGGCTGTATGCTAACTTTGTAGTAGATTTACTAGCATACTGCAAAATAAGACTCCTGTTGTTTCATATTCCTTGAGGAATCTCAATTCCTTCCTTTGTTAGAAGATGAACAGATCTTGCCCTAATGCACACTCAGATGGTTCTTTTAAGTACTGAGTAGTCTCTTTGCAAATTAAGGATACTGAAGCATCATAATTTAAGAACTTTGTTCTATGATTCTGGTGGGAACAGGTTACTCAACAGCACCTTACAATTAACATTCAGGACTGTGCCAATTCTCTGTACCAACATTCAGATTCTGAATTGCCTCAGCATTAACAATATGTACAAGCAAATCTCTCTTTCACATCTGAGTACACTACACAATTTAAATTCAATTTTCTATATTGTACTCTTGGACACAAACTGGTAAACACAATTATGCCCTTTCAAATTTTGGCTTTGTCCTCCCATTAAGTCTACAGACTAGGAAAAATGTCAAGTATGGGACTACAAATACTTGAAAAAAAGACAACAGTTAACCAAAAAAATGCCTCTCCACAAAAACCTCTAATCTACATTATGCAGTCCTGATAGTGTCTGAGATTCTAGCAGTAACTTTAGTCAGCACATGAATTACATGAAATGCAAGATTATACACATTCCATTTTTGGAATTAATGAAGTCCAAATTTCGCTTAAAATGTTAAAATACATTGTGGAAAGGTAAACTCACAAGTTTGCTTCTTGAAAATTGCTTTAGGAAAGCATCCTCCAGAAAAAAACCCCCTCAACCATGTCATTCTAACTGTAGGGAACATTATTCACAGTAAGATATAGGAAATCATCTTCAAATATGAGCAATTAAAGAAGTCACTCTCACATTTATAAGCACAACTTTTCAAATTATAGAATGCATGGCACACAGAGTGTAAGAACTGGATGCTTTCAGAATGTACTTCTTCAGCAAATTTAGGCCAGCCACAAATAATGGATAGTCATTCAAATAAAGTTTAAACCATTATTTATCTTTTATGAAGGGCAAATTTAATACTACAAAATTATGAATAACTTATAGACTTGACTGGAGAATTTGAATATTATTTTCCATTATTTTAACATTACAAATATACATTGAGTAAGCGCATCCTACCCCTATTTTCCACCATTCTCTAGTGAGCTTCTAACATGTGGCACTCATCTTAAACAGCTTTCTATAGCTAATATGCTCGCTCATGCAAATTTGCGTCTGCCACATAGATCACTGCCTTAAAGAAAAAGCCAAATTGATTCAGCCATCTCTATCTACAAGAAAAAACAATGCTTGCCAGTGGCTGGCTGCAGTGATGAACATGTATAAGAACAGAAGCCCTTCTTCTTGGGAAGAGCCTACTAATGTCATGATATTTGATGCCCTCACTGGCTCAGGTTCAAGCAACATACTATGCTACATAGCTCTATAATGGATAACCCTGTGCTCACCCACTGGCTGTTTTAATCATCACACTCTTACTGCCATAAGTCATTTGTCAATGACAAGACAAAACTACATTTTTGTTGGTCTTGATCTTCTGGCTTCTAAGAAAGACCCAAAGGTATAGTTAAGTTACTTTGAAAACTGACGCAGAGCCTAAATAAAAACTGGGAGAGAGACATGGATGGAAGCTCGGCCTATGAACCAGAGCTTCAGACACTATACAGGGGTTTCTGAAGCCCCACTTCTCACTATAGTCCCTCATGCCATCCGAAAAGCTGCTCCAAAATTCAGGGGATCCCCCAGAGAACAGAACACAGCATAAAGCAATGAGTGTAAAGGGAAAGCCTAGAGAGCCTGTGTGGAGGAAGGAAGCGGCCAAGTACATGCTTGGATCTATTCAAAAATCTCTTTCAAATCCCAGCTTTCTCTATACCCCATTTTTCAATGCAGATTCTTTATCTCACTCATTCTCACAGCAACCCTGTCAGGTAGGTCAAAGAGATATGTAGTAACATGCCTAAGGGCGCCACACAGTTGCATAGTTATTCAAATTTGAGCCTCCTCACAGCTGACAAAGCACATTATTAAGGGCACCATGCTCACCCTTTTGTTCTGGAACCTTTCTTTATGCTTTTAAGAAGAAACTACCCATTTCTTCCACCCCAGTGTATCAGAACGTGGGTACCACGACCACCGCTCCCTCTCATTTTGATCTTGATTTCCTGTCTACTGTTCCACTGCAATCACATGCTTGGCATCAGGCAACATTAGCCTATTCACTTAAAAAAATATATTTTTCCCTAAAAAAATCCAGAATTAAAAATTCAGAACTGGTTTCACAGCCCCAACCTACCAATTCTGCAGACAAGGCAAGGAGTTTATTTTACAAGAGGCTTCCCAAAGGTCAGTTACCAAATTTGGTCAACAATGGTGCCATCACTGCTGTCATCATTCTTGTCACTGTCAAGAGCAACAACTGTCACCTTGCTATTATCAGCAAGGGAAGGCAACTGGAATATTCCCCCATGCAAATTCTATTTACAGTTTGCATTGCATCCAAAAAAAGACTCCCAGCAGTCTCGGTTAGTTTCATAACAATCAACTGCAAAAAGAATACTAGTTCACCTTCTTACTGGGGCCAAGGTTAAAATGTAATTGCCCTGGAAGAAACTCCTTTAAACAGAGAAGTAAGAAAACAGTATTTGTCCGAGAAGCGCTAGCATGTGTTGGTTTGCCTGGCATGCAGGCTTAGTCCCACTAAACGTATTTTCAATCCCAGGTGTTCCACTTCGATTAAACATTCCATGAAAAATTGCAATTTGGATTGGTGTCCAGTTTATTGTCACAGGAATCAGAGAATCTTTTATGTAAATGAGTAGGCAGGAATCAAGCCAACCAGTAAGAGTAAAACTTGAGAGGGGAAATTCATTTTCCACATGTCATGCTTCTCAGTTTAGCAATGTCTGAAAAATCTGTTCTTCAATATAGTAATGGCTGGTCATACAAATATGAAATCAAAGATGTAAGAAGATACTTACAAATGATATACATGCTGCCAACAACAAAATTCTAACTAATAAATCTTCAAACTGTTCGATCACAAGCTCAAGTAAAGTTTTTCCTGCCAAGATAAAATGCAGAATACATAATCTGTCAAATACATACTGGTGAAAACTCAAGATATCACGATCACAAATTTCTCATAAATTTGCTTACCTTCTTCAGCTGGTAGTTCTTTAAGAAGCAACAGTTCCCAAGAAGCATGTTAAAAGGGGAGAAAAAAATCAAACAATAACATTAGATATAATACAGTGTCCTATTCTTGGCATTTCAGCTAGATTTAATCATCCATGGCTTTTTAAACCTACCATATTTAACTAGACTCGAAAGCTACCTGCAACGTAATGGTTAAAGTTCCTCTTTCTTTCTTTCAATGAGAGGCCTCATGCTTCCTGCATTTTACGTCAAAGTATGCTTCAGCATCAAGCTGGTGAGGTTACCGATTCAGCCAAGTCATCACTGCTGCCAACCCGAACTTCCCGGGCTGTGCCATACGCAGGGTCAAAGGCTTTAAACACTCCCTCCCCTTCCCTAAGTGGCAGCCAGACATGTATTTTATTTTCCCCAATTTTTGTGTTCTAGGAAACGGGGGATAATAGGGAGAGAAAGGGAAAGAATGGTCTTATACACCTTTCAGGGAGAGCTCCCCATCTCTGGCCCTGTGAGACAGTCTCCTATAGGAAAGCCAATTTTGCAACAAATTAAAAAGCATATCTTTTTTTTTCCAGAGTGCTCTCTCCTCCTTTTTAAACCGAGAGCAACGTTTCACAGGAACGGAGGAGCAATCCGGAAAAGGAGCCTAAGAAACAAAGGTCAATTAAGCAACGGAGCGGCTGAAATAAGAGGAAAAGAAGAAAAGCGGCATTTAATAGGTAGCAGCACTTCTACCGCCAGGAAAGGGAACTGGACTGACAGTTTACACACCGGGGAAGCCGGAGGCGCCCGGGGCATGGAGGAAACCCACGAGGTGGATTGCGAAGTCAGCCATCTTCCCTCTCCCTCTTTTCTTTGATTCCGGGTCCAGCGGCAGATGCCGGAGTGCGTGCGCGGCCGCCGCTTTGCACAAAGGGCTCAGGCCCGGGCGGGCAGGCCCCGGGACGGGGAAGGGCGCCGCTGCGCACGGGAAGGGGCGAAAGGGCGGCGAGGAGCGCGCCCCGCGGCAGCATCTCCCCGGCCGCGGGCAAGCGCGACGGCGGGCCGGGCCGGGCCGAGCCGAGCCGCTCCGGGCGACCTACCGTTGGCGCCCCATCTCTCCTTGAGCTTCTTGACCTGCTCCAGGCTGAGCCCGGTGCTCTCGTTGACACCGAAGTAAACCAGCACTTCCTCCACCGTCTTGGTGTGCGCGTTCTCCATGGCTGGCGCCGGGGAAGGGGGAGCAGCGCCGACGGATCCTCGCCCGTGCGTGTCCCTCGCTCGCTCGCCTTCCCTCCCTCCCTCTTCCTCGCTCTTCCTCTTCCTTCTTTGCAGCAGCGGCCGCGCGCGCGCACGCACTCGCCCCGGCCGGCCGGCCTCGCCAGCAGCCCTCTCCCGCCCCCCGCCCCTAAGGAGCCCCGCAGCCCCTCGGATCTGTCACCATAAGGCAGGATCCGCAGCCCAGCCGGAGGCTTGTGTGCGGAAAAAATAACTGGAATACAATGAACCGACCGGGAAGCCGCAGGGCGCCCCCCGCGCTCGGGAGAGGGACGCTGGGAGGGTCTGTCCCCCTGCGAGGCGGCCCCCGAAGGAGAGGCGGCCCCCCTACTGCCAGAATAAGGGGGCGAGAAAGGTCGCCCGCGGGACCCGCTCCAGCGCGCTGGCGGGGCTGGACCTGCGGGGGCGCCCTGCCCTGCCCTCCCCCAGCCCGCCTCAGGTCGTGCTTGTGTGCAGGAGATGCCCAAGGTGCGGGAAGGGCGATCAGCCTCCGAACTGTCGCCCCGACAGGGACTGGGGGGTCACTATCAAGTTAAACGACCCCTCCTGCCCCCTTTGGTCCTGCTCCAGAGGGCTCTCGCCGGCCTCCCTCGCCCTCCTCAGCCTGAGTCCTACAATAATGCCTTGAGATCTGCCACCCTGCTCTCCTATGGGGGGGGGGCGAAACGGATTGCCCCGGCCGCCGCTTAAGGGAGGGAACAAGTGCCCCCCTCCGCTTCCAGCTCGGCGGTCTCCGTCGGCAGCCGGCCCCTTCCCCGTCCTTTCAATCGCGCCGTATTATCAGGGCGGGGATGGTCGCTGCCCGGGCCCCCTCCCTCTCTCTCTCTCCGCCGCTCGCGCTCGCACGCCCCGCTTCCCTCCCCGGCGCTGTGGCTGAGCCGGCGGCGGCTGCTCTAATAGAATTTATCGGAGCCAACTCGCCGCTGCCCCTCTCGCGGCCGCGGCATGTGGACGATGCTCATTGGCTGAGAGCGGGGGCAGAAAAAAAGAGCGAGCGCGAGGAGGAGGGCTCCTCGTGACGTCACCCGGACGCCCGTATACTGCCCTGTTGCTGAGATTTCGCCAGAGGATGGGAGGGGGGAAGACGGTGGGAATGGGGGGGAATCTGCTCGCCCGCGCCTTGATTTTGTGGCGGCGGTGCTGAGGCGTTCCAGCGCGCTTCCGTCTCCGAATAGGCTTGGCTGGGGAAAGAGGAGTAAGCGGGCGGGCGTCGAAACCAAAAGTTCTTTTTTTTTTTTTCTTTTTGAAGGAGAGACCAGAAAGGGACGTCTGGAGCGTCAACGGACCGGCATCCCAAAGCGGGGTTGAGAGGGGTGGGGGAGGGGAGGCGAGGCGAGCTGCTCTCCTGACGGGGCCCTGGCGGCAGCCTGCTCATTTCCGTCGGGAGTTCCTGTCAGGCCGACGGGCGAGGATGGTTGCCCGCCCGCCACATTCTTTCAGAACACGTGTATAGAAGGAGAGCGCACATCTAACTATCGCGTGTGTGTGTGTGTCGCACACATTGTCACACACCGCCTCTCTCTCCCACACACACTACAAACGTTTTTAGAGAAGGTCCACATTGAATTACACATTGTGAAGGGCGGATATAGAAGCCTCAAATAAATAAATGCACCCTTCTTTAAGTCATAGATAAATCCACGCACCCTTTTTTAAAATTACACTGAAGGAAAAAGCTATACACTCACATCCATAGGATTGTGCCCTAAATGTGCATGCCTGCATGTGCGAGAGATGAATATGGTGAGGCCTCAATTCTTTCCAGAAGTTTCCACACACAGCTTTTCTTGTATGCGGGCTGCACAACAGGTCCTTGTGCGTTTGTCACGCATGTTGAGCCACAGTGAAGATCTCTAGAACTCGCTTTCATGTTTGTGAAAGAAATGTTGCAAGGAGCGTGTGGCTGAGCTAAGGCTAAGACTTCGGCTTGGGAAGCATTTCCATGGGTCACACCCTCTCTTCTGGCAAGCCTTTGCCCCATCAAGTTGAAGCATTTCTCAAGGCACCCACATTAATTTTTTTGTGAGTGTCTTTATTAAAATGTTTTTACGCTACTTTTTAGAAAGTTCGCAAAACAATTTACACAGCTTACCTCATTCCACAAGACCCCTGTGGGTCTGAGGCACTTTCAGGACAACCACCATATTACACTGGGAGATGTTTTGGCTCCCTGGATTTAGGGGTCTTTTGGGCTATACTTTTACCTTGCTTCCTCCCTGCCTGATTCACAGAAATTTATGAGAGGACCAGGCGATGGGAGCCCATTTGTAACCCTTGCATGTTTTCCACAGCTTACCAGAGAAAAGCTGTAAAACACAAAAAGTTGGAATAGCAGCACAGGAGCCCCTGTCTGAAGTGGTTTGGGAAAAGTGGCTTTGTGTTGTTCTTTCCTTTATTGGGATTTTCTGGTACATTGATGCTGCCAGTGCAGTATCTGGAGGTGTCTAAAGTATATAGGTCTCTTTAATGTACTATGAACTACCGGGGGGGGGGGACATGTGTCTTGCACTACAGAGGGCAGTCTGATACTTGAAGGGCTGTCCAGCACTCACAATGACTTTGCCACACTGGCTTTATTGCCTGGATAAATAACTAACTTGGGCATCTTGGATCACCGTTGTCAAACTTTTAAAATTGCGCCTCTTCCTTGTACTGTGCATCCTGTCACTTTTCAACCCATATTCATTACCTAGGCCAGGTTTGTAGAGTTTGGGTTGAGGAGAGGTTGTCATTGAATCATGGTATTGCCTCTCGCTACCAGTTGCTGGGGAGCACAGACACGAAGGTGCTGTCCTTATTCTCATAGGCATTTGTGGGAAACAGGATGCTGGACAAGTTTGGACTTCATTCCCTTCCAGCACAATTCTTATTATGTTCTCATGTCCCAGCCTAAGCAGGTGGCATTTACACCATTTATTTTATGATCATTTTGGTTATTTTTAGTAAGAGTAGTAGTATGTTAGAGCTGGGAGATCAGATTGCAAAATGGGATCTGGTTTATAATCCCTGTCTCCTACTCAGGAGTGTTGGCAGATCTGTTATACTATAAATCCCTTCTGCTGCTAATGTAAAATAAGTGTCATTATTGCTGTCCACCAAGCACTGGAGTGTACTCATCCGAGGCTCTAGCCTTTTTTTTTTTCTTCTTTTTTTTTTGGCACCCTGTTGTTTCTACTCAGAAGTATGCATGCCATGGCTGCGATTGGGCAGCAAATTTTCTTTGTTTCACTGCTTCAGAAAAAGTGTGTTTTTTTTGGTACAGAATGCTTCCCTAATCTTTGACCTATATTCATTTAGTGATCAAAGCTTGTCAAAAATTGTCATGATGGGACATATGTATTCCTTGATACTCGGGAACTAAATTCAGTGCTTATCTTGCCAGAAAGAAGATGGCTGCTTAAGAAGCACAAAGGGACAGTCTATATAGATGTATTCAAAGTGGGGACAAGTCTGCTGAATATAGATTTTCATGCTATGCCCCAGAAAAACCATTATGGTTTTCCTTCTGTTTACTTTGGATGAATATAAATTAGGGTATTAGGCTTTCTTGAAGGGAACATAATTTTCCCTAACCAATTTGACTTTTTCACTGGGAACCTATTGTCTTGGCCCATAGGTGAAAAGGCTTCAAAGCTATGTTAAAAGAGTGGAAAGATGAAGGATTCAGGTAGATTAATTTCTCTGCCTGGAGCAAGCTGTAGGAAAGATGTAACTAAAAGGGAAACCAGCACACACACATTCACTGCTCCTTAGATGCTGAAATTGTATCATGAATGCAGAGTGGCACCTTGGCAAGAAAGGCAGCACTGCAAAAGGTCAAAATAATTCTCAAGCAAATTTTATTGGCTTTAATGGAATAAAATGCCCATTCATTTATCTGAGGAAGTGGGCAGTCATTCATGCAGCAAAATATTCGTTTTGTCTCTAATGCAATCCAGAATATTTTAAAGGAGCTGTGTCAGGGCTTAATTTGATTAGGAAAGGTGAATACCAAGGCCATGTAAAGAAATAACAGTGATTATGTGCAAGTTTATTTTATTTTTTGGTTTACCTGTATAATCAGAACTGCACCCTTCTGGACTATTGTCTATGGAGTATTTTTGCCACTTTATCTTCCTTTTTACAATTTTATCTTTCCATCAGGTCGTGCTGGTGAAGACTGAGCCAGGGCTGGAGACTTCACCTGATTTCTTGTCTTCTGGCCTCTCTCATCTGCAGAAGAAGAACACCCCCTTTCATGCCTTCCAAGTCTGCATTTACAATCTCTGAAGCAGCTGGTGAAAAGGGCAAAGGAAGAAGCAAAGGGACCGATTGAACTTTGGAATGCACCTGTCAAGGTATAGTGCCTACAGCCTTGGAGGGGTGTCTCTGGGATGCTTTTCTGGAACACAGGATTGCTCACTTAATTAGTGTAAGCTGCCTTGAATAATACATTTGAATCAGAAAGGCTGGGTGACAGGAGGAGGAGGAGGAGGAGGAGGAGGAAGAAGAAATAACCTTATTTGTATAAAAGCAAGCCTCCAACATTTCTTCATACTCTACATAGTATAACCAAGGAACAGACTCCAGGATGGGGACCTTGATAGAGGATGAGAACTCAGTTAGAGGCAGGCTTGGTTTTTAATAGTTTGGGGCCACCGGGGCCTAGGAACACACTTAGCCACCACCCCAGCAGTGCCCCATGGCACAAGCTCTGTTTATAACCAAGTTGCATGCTCTTCTCCCCTGTGAGGAAATGCAACGTGCTCCGTTTGCGGCCATTACAGCAAAAAGAATAACGGTGCTTTCTTCCCTGAAACTGGATGACCGGGTCCCCTCTGACAGAAATCCAGAGAAAAGAATGAAGGAGCAGTTGTTCCTTTCATCCAGCCCAAGCATGGTGCAGAAGGAGGGAGTACATGACAGGAGACCAGGGAGCTGTCCAGCAGGACCTGAACGGCCAGAGCTGGGATTCCAAGATGAGGCAAGCAAGTTTGCCAGTGCCAGCTCTGCCATTAGACAGGGTAAGACAGTTTCCTCAGGCAGCTGATTTTAGGTGTCATGAAAGGGGAGCAAATTGTTTGTGTTATTTTTGCATTTTGACTGTCAGGGAGGTGGATAGGTGCCTGTGAGATACCCCTCCACAAGTGCTCATACTGCCCTTGCTTACTATGCATATTGATTTTGGGGATATGCCATGTGTTCCACCCTGGGAAGCAAAATATCTTGAGCCAACGCCAGAGGTTCCACACACAGCTGTTGCATCAATAACTGATCGGTGACTTGTAAGGGTTTTATACTGTGCGTAGTGGTGTCACCTTTTCCTGGCCCTCTTCACAGCCTGATCCCGCACAAATTCTTACTTCCCCTTCATAGGCAGAACTGATGATGCATAGGCCTTTACCTGCCAAATGGGCACTGAATTATGTATTCTGAGTTTTAGCCAAACTCATTACCATCACTGATCCTAAGATTGTGGAGCTGACCAAAAAAGGGTTGAGTATGCACAAACTTGTCCCTTAAGTGGCCTCTGACTGCCCCTCAAAAGGCCTAAGACTGCCCAGTGTTCCCATCTCTTCTGGGGTCCATGGTAGGGTTCTCTTTCTTCTCTTCTTTGGAGGAAATGCTGTTGGGCTTGGTGTGTAAACACTGGTGGATCCACAGAAATATTCCTGTATATTTCTGTTTTCAGAGCACATTCTCCTTACTCATAGTAAAAAGTAGCAACCATCTGGTCCTAGGAAGAAGTTAGTCCATGTCAGAGGGTGTGACTTTGATCAGACCCCAGCACCTCTTGCTTAAGACTGAGTCCTGCTGAAGTTGTCGGCATGAATCATGTGTTCTGGTTTTCTTTCTATAATGTGTCAGCAGCTGAAGCTCGCCACATTTTTTACAAGAGAAAACAAGGGAAACATAAATGGGATATGTTTGGAGGAGGACATCTGGTTCAGTACCTTCAAATCTTCTTGAACCTGCCTCCATTATGTAAGGTAGCAGATTTGTTTGTTATGCCGGTAGCTGTTCTTAATGTGTGTGACAATGGAGTGCTCTTTGATGCTCAAATGTCAGGCCAGAGTCTAATGGCTTTGGCTGGAGTTAAGCAAAGCACTGGAGGGTGCCATTCCAAATCCTCGGGCAGTTCAGCCAGGTCATCCAACTGCTGGCCTGCAATGCCCTTTCTATTTCAAGTATGGTCCTCTTCCACATAGACATAGAAATATTTGATCACTCCACCAAACATTAACCATGTGTCTGTGGGGAGGGGATAGTAGGTGGCTGGGGCAACCTTTGTCCCCTCCAGATTTTTTCAGACTACAATTCTCGTCAGCCTCAACTAGCACGGCCAATGGTCAGGCTTCCATTTGCAACCTTCCTGCATTTCCCCACCTCCTCTTCCATCTTTTTTTAATTTTAAAAAGATCAAGAAGGTTCATTGAACAGGAAAAGATGGGCTGGTACTGATATTTGACCAAAAGCACTAGGAGCTGTCCACTGGAACCACCTAAGTCACTAAACTGCAGGGTACAGTCCTGAAGCCATGTGCCAAGGTCACCCCCATATGTTTGGTATTAATTAAGCTCAGAATAATTGTAACTCTCAGGTGGGTGATACTTATCATATTGGCTATCAGTTATATATTCCACATATTCCAAAATAACTAACTGAAAAAAATAGGGGAAACGCCACTGTTTAAAAATCTGTAAACCACTTATTGTGAATAATAACATGGTTATTAAATGATGGTAAATGGAATCAAAAAACATTTTAGGAGGTATGTATACAAACAATTCCCCTCCTTTGACTGCAGGCTTCCGGTTCTACCCCAGAACAAATGGAAGAGAAGAGTGGTGATGGCTCAGGAATCACAGCCTCTGTGGATCCTCGCTGCTACCATTCCCCACACCCACTAGCTTGTCCACTTTCCTCTCTGGAATAAAAGGCAGGCAGGTTGACCAGCAGCTGTTGCTGCTCTTTGCCATGGACATCCAGTGGAACTATTGCACATAAGGTGGTGTGTGATCTGGAAAGATGAATTCAAACGCAGGACTGCATGCTGCTGCTTTAATACTTTTTCTTCTCATACTTGCTGCCATGACAAACAATATGCATCATCCAACATTTCAAATCTCTCCTGATCCAAATTAAATTGCCTTAAAATTGCTATATCGAAATTAAAATATTTAAAGCTGTATTTCTTTGGTAGGATAAAACAGTTTAAAAATAGCCCTACAGTTCAGTTTCTTTGTAGTCAGTTTGCTCTTTGATATGATGAGAATATGTCAAGCTGTATTTAAGAAGCTTATAAGCTTTGAACTGCCATCCCCCTCCAAAAAGTAATACATTGAGGTGATTAGAACAGTTTTGCAAACTCAGTAGGAAGAAATTATTTTCTGTTACTCTAAAGTGCATATAACTGAATGATCCTGCTTTTTATTGATTTTTTTGCCTTTATTATGTTTTTGCTAGGCAGTTGGGTGTTCCTGTTAGCAACAGGAGGCAGAAATTGGCAAGAGTCCCAAGACTATAAGCTTCAGAAGGTGAGAGCTGCATTTCACAGACTTTTCCAATGGGAAACAAAGATAGCCATGCTTGCTTTAATTTTTTTAAAATCCAGAATCCATGTTATAGCAATATGTTTATCAGCCCATACCAGCAATGCCTTTATCAGATGCGCAAGCTTCAAAATTCTGAATTCTTTATCAGGCATGATGGTAAACAAAGCAGCAAAAATGGTGCAAGACTGGAGATATTTGGCACAACAACTCAAGACACCCAGTCCCTGCATGGCCTTGAAGCTCAATGATAACTTTGAGCGAGACACTGACTCTTAGAGAGCTGTTGTAGGGATAAAACTCACAGAGCTGTTGTAGGGATAAAATTAAGAGGAGGATCATGTACATATACCACTTTGAGCTCCATGGAAAAGAGGTGGGGTATAAAGTAACAAAGAATATGGCAAAAATTCTTGCTCCCCAAAAAATAGGGTTTCTAGAAAAGGTTGCATTTGGCATTTGCTTGGTCTTGCTTCCTTATTGTCCAATAATAACAATGATAAAAATGATAAGCAACAGTATCAGTTCAGTATTCCCAGCCTTTGAAAATGATGGAAAATCAAAATAGAATCCAACTTTTTGACAAGTTCCTCCAAAGAGCTAGTCATGAAGTGATAATCTTAAAACCGGATATACCCAGCAGAGGCTTTTAGGCCCCTGAGAGAATGCTAACAGTCACATAAAGTTCCCAGGGCTGGGTATTTTCAGGCTAAATGTCCTGCTTTTTCGTGTTCATTTGTGCACAGCTCTTATCTACGTCAGAAGGAATTATAGGCTCACCAAAATTGTTCTGACCTCCAAACCCCTTTCTATTTTAGACTGTTTATTGACTTTCCCCCCAGTTATTTTCAGATGTTTTGCTGCACTTTACCTAAAGCCACACTACCCTAAAGACATGTAAAGCAGGGCCACTCCATCAGTTCTGTTCTTCGATCAGGTTCCTCCCTTTGCTATCATCTGGCAACAGCCATTTCATCAGACCGTAGCCGATGAAAGACTGGATGAAACAAGGTCTCTCCATCAGGTCTGCTGAAAGACCAGCTCTCTGATCAGTTTCCCTTCCAACATATAATTAGAAAAAAAAACCCACCAGTGATTGTTTTTAGACTCTGAACTGAATTGCCTTATCATGCTTAGGCCATAATGTGTATTATTTCATTTTCTTCAAAATATAGTAAGCCAGTCTTCCTATATTTAGAGGTCCTCCTGTGTACTCTAAAGCGTGGGGCCATGTCCTGATAAGAACTGATAAGAACTACTATTTAACTTTATGAATTGGTGTCTGAGTTTGCTTTTTTCCTCTTCCCTCCCCATCTCTGTTTCCTTTTGTTGTGTATTAGAGATTGCAAGTTGTGGGAAAGCATTGTTTTGGTTTTTATTGTATGTAAGCTGCTCACAAGGCTAATTGAAGACTGGGGTCACTATATTTTAGATAAATGTTAAACAACAGCTTTTCCTCTAGAATCCTTTAGTTTGCCAAGTTTTAGAGCATTCTTTCTTGCTCTTATGCCTTTAAAAGCAGCCTGATCTTCTGAAAGGAAGGGGCAGAGCTTTTCCTGACATGGAGATAAAGTGGTGAAGAAAACTTCACTTGCTAAATTTGTTAGACATAGAAGCAGGGACAGTGAAAAAAGCAGTTAAAAACCCTATGCAGAATATTCCACTGTAGTTAAATTAACCTGGCAGCACTTTAACAGTTACTGTATCTGTTATGGATTGAATACCTGAGGGTCATGACAGCAAGATTAAATCTGTACTTTTACAACCATGCATTTCCTATTTTATTTATTTTTAGAGCAAGAGGAATAGTGGAAGTCTACATGCCAGCTATCTGGAAGATCTAATTCACTCCTGATGTGTATCTAGTTTCCCAAGTGCACTCAGGTAGGTGTGCCTGGTTGCATGGGAGAAAACTTAAAAATGCAGATCCTGGCAGAATCAAATCCAAGAAGGAATACAGACAGGATCATGTCCAGGACACAAAGATGGCCAAGTAGAAGCCATGAAAACAGACAAGCCAATGAAATGTTTGTTTGTTTATTCATTCATTCCACTTACCAACTGACCAATAGTAACAGTTTTCTGGATGATGTACAAAATAGAAGAGCAGACAGGAAGCTCAAGGATATGACTGATAGAGGCTAGAGGACAATAAGGCTTAGTCCAGTTCCTGATCTTGGGCAAAAGGACTTACATTGCCCCATGACACAGGGGGTCATTAAGGAACTTTTAAAAAGTATTGAGTCAGAAGCACCAGATGCCTGGAATGTCTTGAAGGGCATAGGAACCATAGTAGAGGAGAAAGAGGGGAAAATGAATAGCTTGAAATTCTCAGCAAGCCCTTCCACTTTTTTCCCTTTGACTGCACCAAAATAGAAAATAATTAACTGGGAGCAAAATGTGTGACCTAATGAGCATGTGTGTGTGTAAGGGAGAGAGCGCTAGAAGGTTTGGAAGTAATTAGATGCAAAACTGCTAACATTCCATTAAAATATCTGTGGCCTGTCAGTGCAGACAGAAAAAATAAATCTGTCACGTTCCCAAGCTCTGAGGCATTAGTTACCAGAAATCTAATTCCATATCTCTTCTGTACTTTGTGTTTGTACATTTCTGTGCCCACCAAACTAGAAATCTGGCTGTAATCCAAGCTGTGTACATCCCACGTAACCACAGGAAGTATTGAAACTAGTCTCCAGTTCAAAATTTGGTACTGCAGAAATTTCAGCTTCAAACCTAAAAGATAATTTCATTCTTGGTTGTGGTCAACAGTTAGATCCTAACTGTGCTGAAAAAACAACATTAATGAATATTATTAATGGTCGGAGAAGTAGACATTTCCAGTCTGAGTCTCTTGATGTGTTAGTCTACAATTCCCATCTTCCTCAGCCAGCATTATCCTGTCTTAGATCCCATTTATATTTCCTGACAATCCATGACAATCCATGAATCTCCTCAGGAGAGATTCATGCTATCCATCTTTAATGTAGCCTTTGAAATAAGTAATATACCTACAACCAAAGAGTGAACAACTGTTACATTATATTTAAGTCATCACAGCCTCAGGAAATCATGAAGTTACATGAACAATTGGCATTTACTAGCCAATCTTTTAAAATCTAAACAAGAAAGACTTGTCACTAAAAGTTTGCAAATGCATTAAGGTAATTGTCTGTTGCCCTCTTTGGATTAGATGACCTATTAATGTTCCGAGGAAGTGATATTGCAGTAATAAACAGCTAATGTAAACCCTAATCCCACTAACCTCTCAATGCTGGCAGTTGGGATTTCCTGGCTCTTAATGCGAACATGTTTCATATTTGGCTTGCTTATCAGGAAATCCCATACCTCATGCAGGGGGGTGGAGGAGCAGAGAGAAAGGGAGAAGATAACATAAAGTAGGCAGGTTTTCCTATAACTTTGGTACAGGAGTACTTTCTTTTTAGCTTTCTGACAGCTTGACTTTATTATTTTTTGGAGTTCAACTTGTTGTAAGTCTGTACCTGTTTTCTTGAACTTCTGAATATTTTACTGTTATTTTTTCTAGACTTCTAGGCATGTTAGATATAAGCCTGTTGGATAGTCAGGAGTAATTACTGTCTCTTGTGAAGGACAGTTTTCAGTGCAGGAACCTTTTGTTTTACAATTAACTAGGGAAATGTATGTAGTTATGTTGAGATGGTAAGTGTCTGGGAGTATGGCTTATATATTGTATGGAGGACCACTGAGAGATGCAGTATGTATCTCTGTGCTATGCATGTTGACACACACTCTGGGGTCTCTGTCGATGAAGGTCAGGCTGCCCCATATCAGCCTTAATATATATTTTAAATAAATAAATATCAGGGATGGGGGGTGGGATAGGTTTTGCTCTTACCACAACAACAGTGTACCCAAATACAGCACTTCACTTCCTTCCCCACATTAGTAATTAGCAGCCAGTCATGTATTTATTTATTCAAGGTATTTTATGCTGCTTCTTAGCCAAAAAGGCTTCCAGAGTTACTTACATAAAATCAATTAAACAAGGCTGTTCCTGCTCCACAGGCATACAATCAGAAAAAACATGATATGCCAGGAAAGAGGAATTATTTTAGCATGGTTCGTAGAATGGCCCTGCTGTCTCACTCATCTTGGTCACATATATGGAAAAAACTAAAAGGAATGCTGTTACGGAACGTCAGAATTGGTAGTTGCCACTGTGGACCCCCCAGCTCTTATCTACTTCGCCCTGCCTGCTTTTTAATCTGCACGGCCCTATCCTGGCTTGTGAGTCTAACAGAATGAAGGGAAGCTGGCTTATATCCAGACAGAGGACAGATCGGTATCTAGTGTTTGTGTTGTAGTTAGGAGCAATGAACTAGCCATGCTCTCTCCTTCCTCTGAAATGGAACCCAATTTCCAGATACCCCACTCCCTGTACTTCCTCAGACAAGAAGAAAAAACTTGCCACAGGCCTGTACAAAACCTCACCAGGGCGCTTTGTTAAATGGCACCCACTTAACTATCCACATCTGTGTGCTGCCTGCATCAGTAACAGAGCTGCTCCAGGTAGCTGATGCTTGGAGGTGGCAGCAAAGTGTTGGAGGAGAGAGCTGTGGGCCCTATAGGCTACCTTGCCCCCTCTAGGCTAGCCTGCAACCTTCAGGTGTGGCAGAGGACATTGTACCAAGGAGTCGACTAGGAGCCCAGGTTGCTTTGGAAATGGAAATCAATGTGGCAGAATCTTGTCCTCCCCAGGAAGTATAATACCCTGGGCCAGCCCTGATCAGTAGCTGATGTTCAATAGACATGGAACATCATGTTGCAACATCATGGAATTGATCTCAGGGCTCCTGTTGCCAGAGCTCCTGTTCCTATGGTAGGGAGAGGGATGGAAACAGGAGGGATAGGGACAGGAAGGAAATTGTTTAATACCTTTGGAGTCAAAGTAGACCTCTTCACAAGCAGGATAAAAGGAAAGACAAATCACACCACTTTCACTTCAGTAGCAAGAACTGGCTTGGGGAAGCTGCAGCTGCACTCTTCTGCCTTCCAGGAGGTTAGAATCATGTTCTGAAGGAGCACTTGCTTTCTTTTACATATTGCCTGTTTTTCTTTCTAGTAGAACAGTCAGATGCACTTAGAAGTCATAGTGGGACTTACTTTGAAGTGGGCCATATTCAAACAATGTGTTGAAATACATAAGTGACACAAGTTCTTTTCTGTATTTATTCATACCTTTCAAAATAAAATAATCAGGTCTTTCCCTCTCTTTTCTACCTCAGCTTGAAAATGCACAAAAAGTACGTGTGGAAGAAGCAAAATACTATACATTATTGGAAACTCATTCAGATTTTCTAGTCAGTTTTGCTAGGTATTTGTAAGTGACTTCAACTAGCTGGAAGCTTTAATATAGGTTAAATAAGGGCAATATCTGTCAGGCATGAAGGGAACCAAAGGAGCAGATTTCTGGTTAGAAACCTGTTTTTCATCCTGCAAAATAGCACATGTCTTTTCTTTGTGAGAAATTGCCCTGGAATGCATTGACAGGGAATGCTGGCTGTCCTTCCTTCCGTTGGTGAGTAAAGTAAGGACAGATAGACTGAATTCTTAATCGGTGTTTTCAGTAGACCCATTGAAGTTAATTATAACATTGTCTTAATTCCTGTTGGACAGACTGCTTCCCACAAAGTCCAGAATTTTACTTTGGTCATGCTTGTACAAGGTTACAATCAGGAGGAAACAGAATCATACAGTTCAGTTAAGTAAAGTAGGTGGAATTGATTAGAAGCAGGCAAAGACCAGCCTTCTTTGGGCTTCCTAATACTATATAATCAGAAAAAATCCAGGCTGAACCCATGCTTTTGAAGATATAGTATGTTGACTATAAATGTTGGTTAGCATCCAGACTCACAATGGTGAGTCCTTTGAGTCAGAGTTTAGTAAGCCACTATTCTTTACCATTTACATTATGCAGCATTTTATTTTCCTAAACATCCATAGCAGTCTTCCTTCTCTCTGAAAATTTCCAGCCCAGTATGTTTGGGCATCTAAGCTGGAAATCCACCTGTCTTCCCTGAAATGGAGTTGCAACCCACCAGGGAAATGCTGTGACACGAGCTGCAATGAAGTGAGAGGACCTTCACAAGACTGATCTTGTGCGGCTTCAATTGATTGCAGTGGACTTTTGTGTGGGAGAACTTCCCAGGGGATTTTGCCTAAGTGTCAGATATGTCTCATTCTACTTTGCTATCCAGGCTTTATCACTACCTGCCTTTCCTCTCGTTGCCTTTGTTGCTTAGCAAACTCTTTTAAGGTACTCCAATTCTTTGCCTATGATCCATTTCAGTCTGTGAGAGGGGCACAGTCCCACCTTACCCCACATGGATTGCTTTGATCAGATGCCCTTGCAGTCCTTTTGGACGCAATTATTCTATTAAAAATTACTTTTGGGCTTACAGAATTTGCAACCCAGAAGGGACACAGAAAGGTCAAAGAGAGAAACTTGTCTCTAGTCTTGCTAAAAAAACAACTTGAGACTTATATTAATAGCAGCAGCTTTGCTTTCTTCTTGTTGAGCTGCTCTTGTTTCATCGCTGGAGAAGACAGAGGAACACAATACCTTCTGCGTACCTCCTCTTGCTCTTTCACCCTCCCAAGGGGGAATTAAGCCAACGGGGAGAGACTATTAAGTTTAAAGATATGCCTGAAGAACAGCCTTGGAGTAAGGAGACACTCCAGTTTGTATTCAGTAACTATTGGCTACCACAGCTGGTGAAATGAGGAGCCTGGCATTGTTTAAAGTCCTACAAGAGAAAAGGTTTCAGTGCAACGTCAGTGCAACAGAAAACACCTCAATCTAATAATAATTGTTATGGCCTTCAGTGGATTGAAGGCGCGTTTATCCTTTGACATTTTGTTCTGCATAGGTTACTTGAGTCCACCATGAAGTAATGCTGCTAGTCAAGTCTACATGCCAACAATGTCTTCACTAAACAGTCACAAATGGAACTGCTTTATGTGCAATATGTCTCAGAAAGCCATGAAACAGGAATCTGTGATTGGAGGATGATTCATCATTATTAGTTTCAGAAAATGACTTTTGATGTGCATTTATTATATTTGATTACATTTAACAATTTGTTTAGTGCTTGTTCACATGCAGAGTGTTTCAGAGCCTTTATTTTTTTCTTTCTGTACTGCCCAATAGCTGAAGCTCTCTGGATAGTTCACAACAATTAATCAAATACAAAAGATACAATATAAATACAATAAAACACAATATAACATTTAAATGTGCAAGTTTAAAACAGATAAACATTCCAATATACACAAATATAACATCTAAAACATTTTTATTAAAAACTAGTCCTAATTAAAACAGCAGACCTAACCCATCATATACATGGAAATAGAGGGTAGTTTTAACCTGATGCTAAAAAAGATGACCATGTATGTTGTTCTATTGTTGTGGACTTGGGTTCACGATTAATTTTAGGACCGTCACCTCATTAAAGAAATCATTATTATTTATTTCACACATACTGTTGAATAGCTAAAGGTCTTTGGGCAGTTCACAAGCCTATTAAAATTGCATGGGAACTAAATATGCATAGAATTGCACCTTAAATTTTGCAGTCCTAATTAGTGTTTAAAATGCCACAGGATATCACTGTTTCTGTTAGTTTTAGAGTTCTAGAGAGTTAGCCATGCTAGTCTGTTCTAGCAAAAACATTACAAAACCTTGTGGGACCTTAAATGCTTCTTTTATAAATGATGGCATAAACTTTATTGGATTAGAGACAGTTTTGGCAGAATATGAACTGTTTTCCAACTTCTGAGAGTTGGCAGCCTGGCTGTCTATGATAGACAGCTCTATCAACTAAAATAGCTAGCCATTCACTAGCAACGACAGACAATCTAGCAGAGACACAAATTTAAGACTAGACACTGCAAGAAACCCAGAATCCAACAGTCCTATCTATCACTGATATTATTTAACACTGATAACAACAGCTATTGATGTCATCCGTGGCTTATCCATCTGCTCATCCTCCAGTGTGACATATGCCATCACCTGCCAACAGTGTCCTTCTGCCATCTTTGTTGAACAAGGTAGTCCATGTCTACAAAGGAACACAAATCTTAAAACATTTCAGTCTGTCGGTACACTGTTGCTCACCTTGAAGTCAACTATGCTTAAAAAAGAGAAGGGAAAGGAATCTAGAATCTGAACTGAAGCCTTCCACTGAAGTCTAGAATGTGTTAAGAAATTTGTTTCTATTAACTACTTAATCAAGATTGTACCTTACTTTCCCATTGTAGAAATTATGGCAGCAATGTATCATAGCCAGCAGCTAGTATTGTGAATGGATCACTCAGTTCTCGTATAGATTTGGGATCTGAACATAAATGTCACAGACCTATTCTTAGTTTAATTTAATATGATTTTTAGGCTGCCCTTAGACATTTGCAGTCACCCAAAGGTCTCTCTATCTGCATGTGAGTGTTCTGAACCACATTTGGGCTTTCCAGAAGAGATACTCTGAACCCACTTACTGCACATGCTTCTAAAATAAATACTTTGCTTTTGTTCTATTTTTTGAAATAGGTAATTTGATATAAATGATTAAAGACAGATGTTTCTAGTGGAGACCAATGGGAACTTCATCACAGAACAAATTGCATTCCCAAGGAAAGTACCAAGAAGACCTTAAAAGGCAAGTGAACAGGCCAAAGGCATAATAATATTTGGTGTTGGGGTAGTGGAGGGTGGAAGATGGAAGTAATTTCAGTACAGATAAATCTTAATGTGTCTTTACAAACGTGGATTAATGTCTGAGGCATTCACTCAGTCCTGCTCTTGAGCTGAATCCCAAGCATACTTCCTAGTAAGTAACCACATTGGTTACAGGAGTCTTACCAGTAAATAGGTACACAACTGTACTATTATGAAGGGATATGTGACCAGCTGCCTTCTAGACAACTCGCATCTGAGTACTGGGCAAGTTGACTGGAATTGATAGGAGTTCTAATCCAAACACCAGGTTGCCAACCCTTCCAAACTTGACTCACATGAAGATTTTGATGGTTTTGATAGCCAGAGGTTCAGTGGATGCAGTTCATAACTTCTTGGGTGTGCCTTCAATCCTTTGGCCTAAAGCATCTTCACACATGACAAGTTACTCAGAGGTAACTTTGAGAGGATCTCCATGCATGGCAAGTGACCTCACAGATTATAAGCAGGAATCCACAATTTACCAGGAGGAAAACCTGAGTTTCCTGTATCTCTGAGAGTGGTAAAATGCAGTGATTAGGGAAGGATTCCTCACCTTTCTGCATTAGCTGTCAAACTAATATAGCATTAACATCTACTAGTTGCTACAAGAAAGTTGTTAATGGGGTTGCTGTAGAGGGTACTTCAAAAGTTATGGGACTCTTCCTAAGCATCAAAAACAGGTTCCAGGTATCCTGACTCCAGGTCATCCTGCTGGTGTGATTATGTCACTCATTGACATACAGAAATATTGCATGAGAGAAAAGTGAATTATTCAGAAAGTACTGGAATCTTCTTATTAAACTTGAAGGCTGCAAAATTATCTAGGTGCTTTTAAGCACTAAATTAGCCAGTTCTTCTAGAGAGTGCATTAATTTAATTAAGAATACTTGAGGAAGCCAAGTAGACTATCTTCAGCCAAATTTTCCACATTTCCAGTATTACTCTTCCCATCTTTAGAAATGTCTCTCTGGTGATCATCACCAGGGCATGTGACATTACTTTGTTGAGCAAAACCTGCATCCATGTGATTTCTGCCCACTATCCAAACAGTAAAACCTTGTGAGGGGGAAAATGGTGCAAACATTGCTGAGCAGGTCAACAGTCCAGGAGAAGTGTGTGTCCTGGGGAAAAGATCCCACTCCTTCTCTAGGTGTGGCTAATTTTTCTACCAACTGCTGTTGTTATACCTTCAGAAGCAGCTTGATGCATAGGCATTAGGAGGTGGTAATGTTCATCTCCACCATATAAAAAAGTTTCTTTTGCTGAAATCTGCACTTTGGAGCTGGATGCTGAAAAAGGCAGTAAAACAGCTTTTTACCCTGGACAGGTGGCAAACCTACTGTTGTTTCCTTCAGACCTAAGTCACTGAAACAGAAGTGTCAGAAAAACCATTACAGGATTCCTAACTCCTTTCTTAATTTTGTCATTTCATGTCATTGGTTGCTTCTCCCCGCCCCCCCCCACTTTTTTTTAATATCACTTGAAAAAGGTAGCACAGAATAAGGGCAAGAGCTTCAGGCTTCAGGGAGCAAAGCTAAGACAGCTTTGCTGCAATCGGCTGCTGTATTTTCTTATGGAGCAGCTGCTGGGTGCTCCACCTGAAATGCATCAAGGCTTTAACACAAAACAGAAATGCACACATGCTGGAAATGGACACATCTTGCAATAGCCTGGTAGAAAATCTGAATATAAAAGTTCTGCTGTTCAAATACATCTTGGCACAAATACAAGACTTCCAAACTGCTATAATACAGAGATGGATAATGCCATGGAATTTATAATTCAAAGGTAGTCCTTTAATTAAAAATAATCTTTTTCAAAGCATATGCAGATTTACAAGAGCATGGCTCAACAAGCACATCATAATAAAAAACTGAGCTTCTGTGAACCAGGAAATCCCTGATGCCAGTCTCCTCAGCGCTACAAACTGACAAGGGAGCCATGGGCAAGTGGGTGTTCCTTCAAGCTCAGTCCCCTTCTGAAATACGGAGATAAAATGATACTGACCTACAATTAAAGTCCATAATCCTGAGTTAATGCTTTGGATATTCCAAAGTGCTAGATACAAATCAAGCATGGTTTTGCAGCAATTCAAATGAGATCAGTACACATTTAATACTCCCACCCCATCCTGGTCATCCTCCCATGAAAATTAGTTGGACCCAGAAGGGCTTGATGATGTCTGAATTCTTCCAGTGCTTGCTTTGCTTTATGATAACTATATGCATGTACAAAGCATACCTTAGGACCTGAAGAAACAACAACTCCCAAATGAACTTGCTGCAGCCTGCCTGATCATTAAGATCATCTCTGGAAGCCTATTTTTGGAGGCAAGTCGGGTGGCAGCTATCTGGGCCAGCACCAAAAGTATGCATAATTGGGCACCTGCTGAGGGCCTGCACAATAGCCCTTTGCAGTTGCTCTTCCTCCTCACCATTGCAGCCTGCTTGTTCCCCTTTGGGCCCAGACAATGGTGATAGTGAAAAGGAGGAGCAGTGGATGACATGGTCTTTCTGCTCACTGGTATTCTCCCTGTCTAGCAAGTAGCAGTAAAGATGAGAAAAAGGGTAAGGAGCAATGGCAGGCTTACACAGGGAGGGTGATTCCCAAAGAAGAGTGTCTTGCCCAAGCAGCAGTCAAGAATATAGAGCTGGTACGGTTTACCCTTCACACCAACTTTTGATGGAGACTAGGGCTTTTTCATATACTATTAATGAATTTCATGTTCTATACTTTCTGTATTAAATGTAAGCCTCTTCAAAAATTAAGATTGGGTGGCAGGATACAACTATTTTTAATTTAAAAAGTAAGTGCCCAGCTTATAGATTTCTGCAACATGTCACATGAGAAGCCTCCTAATAAATTAAATTCTAAATGTGCAACCGGAGTGGGCAGACTTCAGACTTTTGGGATCAACTGTTTTCTCCTAGAATACTGAGATCTTCCAGCCAAAGCTTAGCACAAAAGGCACGTGGTTAGCATTCAAAAATTCACAATGTTGAGCATTGAAACTAAACATTGCTTACAGTCCCTCCACACTCAAATAGATTAGTTTCCAGTTATTTTAAACTTTCTTCATTTCAGCAGTATTATTTAAGGCTGAAGGTGTAAGGTATACGTTTATTGCTGCTGTACCTAAATAATGTAGAGTATGCTTCCTGATCTATAGCAAACCACTCTTGGGATATACCTGTAGGTCCAGATTTACCTCCTGCCCACCCGATTTAGGGGATGTCTTTGCAAATCCCCCCCCCCCATTCATTTCCATTTGGCTTGGGCTACCATTACCAGAAGACAGGAATTGTTTTTCTGAATCACAGTTCCGAATAGTGACATGCCCATTTTGTAGTCCTGTGCCAAGATTACCGGTTGTTCTCATTTAGACATTTTACACCAAGTCTGGCTTGGCAAGGGATTCTTACGTTGGTAACTTGAAAGCCAATTCCCAGCTATGATTACCTGAAAAGAAAAGTATACAGAGAAAGCACCGTTCAAATTCCATAAGGACCTTTGACAATAGGCAAGTGTAAGCAAAAAAACCTCCAAGAAAAATACAATGAAAGTAGCTGGCTGACTGGTATCCTCATATAGACCAGCATATTCAGAGAACTGCACATACCAGGAGGAAGCCGCACACGTGCAAAACTGCTATCTATATTTATGAGAATGGGGGAAGCTGCAGCTTGCACACTGATTTAAAATGCTTAAATCAGCCTTCTCAAGCCTGGTGTCCTCCAGATGCCTTTGACTACAAGCTTGGGGATGATAGGAGTTGTAGTACATCACATCTGGAGGGCATAATGTTGGGGAAAGCCACTGGAAAGACTATCCTTATTCCCTCTAGGCCAGCTGCAAAGTCCTAAATTGGAAAAGAGCTCTAGCGCTCCAAGGTCACTTGTGTTGTTTCTAAAAATATCTTGAAACAAAACGCAAGAGGGGCACTTTGTTGGATGTTATCAGGACATATAGAGTTTCAATCAGATTCTTCAAGAAGTGTTAGAATAAAAGCTGGCTACTTGTTTTGACATACTTAGTCATTGGCAAAAAGGAAGAAGAAGAAAAGACAGGGGGAAATGGAACACTGGAAAACTAAGCTAAGAACGCTAAAATATTTTCTTCCAATTCATTTTTTATTTAATTGCATTTTGAGTTACAGGTACTAAACATCCTTCTGATGGGCCATTCATTTCTAAGCTGTTGCACTGATATATAGTGCAGGCTTCCTCTAACTTAGTGACTTCTGGATGTGTTAGACTGCAATTCCCATCATTCCCAGCCAGCATGGCCTTGGCAGTATGGTCCTAGTAGGAGGTCCATGAGCTATGCACAATTTACATCTGTGGCTAGGTTGTCTACAGAGTTAAATATAAGTAGCTGCTTTATACCAAGTATGTCTGTATTTTGTTTTTTATGGGCTGTAACTTGCTGGCAGTGACTGTTCAGGGATTTAGACATCAGCTTTCTACAGCCTTACTTGGAGGTGCCAAGGAATGATCCTAGGATCTTCTGCATCCTAAGCATATTCCTTACTTTTGCACACTTGGGCAAAACCAAAGAGGCTCTCCAGGTGAGCTAAGGGAGCTTCCAGACAAGATATTTATGATACAATTGCCCTGCCTCATACATCAAATTTTGTGAAGTGGTGTCCAAATGTCCTTTTCCTCATCCTTTTTCATTTTGCATAATTGTGAAGAAAGAAAAGTCAGAAGGGCTGTAAAATGTGTTCTGATTGCTAGCACTAGGAGCCCTCCATCTAGAATTACCCATCAGAGATGGACAGAAGGCAAATGTGGATTTACTTTTTGATATCTGGGTGGTTTATAATACATCAGGAAGAATTTCTGACTCCCAATTGTTTAACATTCACTGTGAGAAAATGACTTGCCTCACCTTTAAATGATATTGCAGAAATTAAGAGAGCTTGGGAGAACCAGCAGTGGTGTTTTACCACCATCTAGGTCTGGTACTCAAAGTAAATTATTGAATTCTGAGGGTATTTTATACTAGACCCCGATTGGTGGGATCTTGGGGCTTCAGTAAAAGTAAATACCTAAGTAGATCTTGGAAGACTGAAGTCTGAAGTGCATTTAATTCAGTGGGACTAATTTCTGAAAGGTTTGTCTTAGTTATGCAAGGAACATGATGTCATGACCTGATACTGATGTATCTCTGGTGGAGGATTTGGGATGCTATTAAGGGCAGCAAAGTGGGCAACAGAACCAAGTCATAGTGTATAACACACCAGGAGTTTCTCCTCTGGGGAAGATTTTCACAAGAGATAAGACTGTGAATCCAGGAAAATGGTGATATTCCCATCCTATTGGATGCAGACAGAACGTTCAGAACCAAGGTTGAACCTTGAAGCATTAATCTAGGTCTGCAGATCAGACTGAAGGCTGGGCCAGGAGCCAGCGGATCCTGCAGTGTCAAAGATACATCAGACAAGTTGTAATGCTGTTCATACTGGCTAACAGGAGAGGGTTCTGCAATTAGATTGGGCTTTTGGACCTGTATAACAGCAGGCTCCCAGTTCAGGTCTGCCAGGTTGCATAAAGTTGTTTAAAAATACAAACTCCAGCCTGCTTATTCGTTACTCATTTCATCTGATGTCTGGCCCTCTAATCCCAGAGAATTTGGGGGGGGGGGGGGTTACTAAGTAATGACAGAACTCTGCACTCCAAATACATTCAGGCGAATTGTCTTTTATTGCCATGGCTGCCACTGAAAATAGAGTCTGAGATTAAAACCACAGCTCTTGTCAATTTTCCTGGGAAGAAAATGTGCCATGAAGTGAAACTTACATTCACTCATACAATCTTGAGACATACACACACTTATGTGCATAGATTGTATGTATGTATCTATCTATAAAACTTGTGTGTTGTTACTTTAAAGATGAATTCAGTTAGATCCACCTGCAGGGAATAAAACTAGGAGAGAAAAAAGCAAAGGCAGGCTTGAGCTACTGTATGTCATGCGCATGCTAATGTGTTCCACATGAAAAGAATTAGAAAGCAATGCTTTCAGGGTGAAAAACGAAAAGAATGGGAAGCAGAACAGCTAGCAGAATGTTATATTGCAAGTCTTGCTCCAACTCCTTGTCTAAAAGTGTTCATGTTAGAAGGCCAAGAAACTGCCTTCAGAGAAGCTGTTAGTCAACATCAATAAGCAACTGAATTAACCTGACTTCCCTGTATGTTATAAAATAATATGTTTATAGCCCACCCTTCCTCCAAGGTGCTTCAGGCAGTGTACATGGGGATGATCCACTCAAAACCATCCTGCAAAATAGATTAGATAGCGATGATCGATCCAAGCTCACCAAGTGAGCTTCGCGGCTTTGTGAGCTCTTGAACCATGTCTCCCTTGAAGAGCTGGGACAAGAGGTAAAGGTAATTTCCCAAATTCTCACATCTTAGCAAATCTAGAGTATTAATGGTAATATGGAAAATAATAAATTGAAGAACTTCGAAGAGCCAGTCAAAAGTTACCCTCCCCGCAAGACATCTCTAACTGGTTGTGGAGATGAGAAAGCTATAGCACAAAAACATGTCATATTATTGAATATTCACTTGCATAAATGCTAAAGAATAAATGCCACTTTATCCATTCCTCCAGTTTGTCCTTTCTTTGAATAAGTATAATTTTTTGCTTCAGCTGAGAAAGTAATTTCTGCTGTCGCTGAAGTGCGCAATCAGTTTGCCCTTCTGGAAGGCAGCAGTAATGACACAGCGCTTGAAGTGGACTGTGAAAAATATGCTTGGGAGTGGGGGGCAAATTGCCACTCTCCAGGGTTCAAACCAGAAGGCATGTGTCTGCAAAATCTCCATTATTTTAAAAGCATTGTTTCATTTTCTGTTAGGACATAAGACATTTAGGCACACAGAGGCAATCCTGACAGGCACCTGTAAAACACCGTAAGGTTCTCATTTGCATCTTTTGTTCTGAAAGTCCAGAAATTAATTGCAAATTCCCAGAGAGATCCTTGGTTTCCTTCCCATCTCTAAATTATATGGGATGTGTAATCTTCACAATCGGTATATATCCCATTCTTCTTCTCAAGCATTGCAAAGTTCAACCACTAACGTGCTTGATATGTAGATTATTTAAACATTTATATACCACCCTATATCCCAGGGAGCTTTCTGGGCAGCTTACCATAAAATACAGGAAGATCAACCATACAGTAATAGAACCAATATTAAGTTGCTATAATTGGCCTTGCCCCAACCCCACCAAATGGCCTGTTGCCTGAATCCATGTTGAAACCGCACCAAGTAAGTGCCAAATGAGCGATGCATAGATACTATGTATACTTCAGATTTATTTTTTGCCCTAAAATGCATTACTGTGCACTTACTTATGCTGAACCATATTTGTGATTATGATGTTCATTCTCCCAATTTAAACAAATCCCTTTGGAGCTTCCCATGATCCCTTTGGTTTTAACTACCCCAAATAGTTTGGTGTCGTCAGGAAACTTGTCCACTTTACTGTTTCTTCCTAATATCAGATCATTTATGAAGAGGTGTAACAGCAGTGGTCCTAATACAGAACCCTGTGGGATCCACTCATGGGAGTGTTAAGAGCTGGGACTCGGGAAAAGTCTGTGGCCCTCAAGACACTCTCTAGTGGCCACAGGATTGTGCTCCCATGGATAATGAGTTGAGGTAGACTAAAGGTGTGTTTTGTCCTCACCACATCATGAGTGCTTAGCACTGGTGAGGACTTGATCCCAGATCTCAGGTGCTTGATTTTCACGTTACATTATGTAGGACTACATCTTACATTTTTCCCTATATTTCTAAACATGTACAGTGTGCATGCAAGAAACCAATGCTTAAAAGTTGTGCATCAGACAGGGACTGTCTAAATAGAGTCAGATCTGGTTGTGGCACCTAGGATAATTCCTCTCCAATGAATGAAAACACTGTCTCAGTGCAGGAAGAAGAGGAGAGAATTTGCAGTTGCTTGTTCACATCAGTCCCAAATAAACAACTCTGTACTGTGCCACACCATTGTTCAAGAAGCACAAAATTGTAGAGTTCCAGACTCTATGGATTGGCTCCTGAAGGATCTCTCTGGGTCTGACAGCTGAGCTTCTGAAGCCCAGAGCACCTGGCTCTGAATCAGAAAGAAAAACCCTCTGATTTCTCAGAAGTGTAACTTTGGGGGGCAAGGTGGAGTCTGACACCCAAGGATCTCCTTTATTAGGTGCAACAGGAGACTGAAAGAAAAGTGCAAAACATGGAAGATTCAGACTGCAGATGTTAAACTTTATTGTCACTGTAGCTTCATTAAAGTAATGCACTGAACTTAAACATCAACCATGGAAAAATTAATAGGGAATCAGGGAAGGCTAAAACTTCTAGTTGTTAACAAAGCTGGAAAAGGTTAAATAGGTGTTTCATTTCAAGGCAAAAGCTAATGCTTTTAAATATCTTTACAATGGGCCAGGCAAAAAGAATTTTAGAATGCCTGTGCTTAAGTTTTATCTAAGAAAATGAACACCTCTAATTGAACACTCCCCTCCTTTTCGGATTTTATGGCAGGTAGGCCAGTTCAGGGAAGCAACTTAAAAGAAGTATAAATGAGCTAAAGACCATCAGAGCTCTTATTTCAACTGGCCATACAGTTCCATAAAAAGCAGTTTTGTAATGGGTCTATACTGGAATGCAGAACAACATTTTCTGGGTTATTCCATATTAGAAGAATTCTGCAAAATAGCTATGGGATACCAAAGACCCTGAAAGTCAGTGATCTTACTGGACTGCCCTTTAATGGCAGATTTCACATGGCCCTTTTTATGCCTCGCAGCATTCTGGTAAAACTCACCAGAGTTCACGAAGGTAATGTTATAACTTGCATCATTAGGAAACTATCAAAATCTGGCAAGTTTGTGTCCCAATCTTTGGGGGCTATATAGGGAGCAGACACTAAATGAAACTATAGGACATCATGTATTTTGAAGGAAAATGCATTTTAAGTTACAGGAAAGTGCTAAGAATTCAAGATCCCTTTTCCCAAGCCTTGCTCAGGCCCTTGTGGTCCTTGGAAGACCAGCTGGCCACATTTTCCTGTGGCTAGGGAGATGGAAGGTCTCGGGTGTGTGTATGCCTAAGTGTGGGGCAGGGACTATGTAACAAGTTGCTCTAGCTCTGTAGTGCACTGTTTCTTGGTTACAAATCCTGATATAGAAGCTGTTCCCTCACCAAGGTTCAGGATCCAAAATCTACTGTTTTGTGGCCAAGGGATAGGGGTAACAGTGTCACTCCGAAGAGGCCTAACAGATGGGTTGACCCTTTCCAACATAGCAAATTTTTCCAGAACACTTCCTACAGTTCTACTCATTAATCTGGCCTTCAAGTCATAAAAAGGATGCTCCATCTGCAACATCTCTAGAATGAAGGTTATTTTCTCTGCTTAACAGAAGGAGTGGCAAAAGACTCTCAGTCAAATTCATAAACCAGTACTGGTCTGGTAAAGTAAAGACCTTTCTAGCTGAGCCACTAAACTAGTGACAGTTGTAGAAGTAAACCAACATGCAATGGAAGTGTGAAGGAAATAAACTCCTGTTCAGAACTACTGGGACACAAAGGTCCTAGTTTTCATAAGACCAGTCTGTCCTCTCCTCCTTCCTGAATTACTTGGCCAATGGATGTTTGGTCTTGTTGCTTTAGGAAACACTCCTTCTTGCATTCCATAATTAACTGGAAATCTCGCCACATTTTCACTTGCTTCAGATTTGGGCCATGACTTTCCCGGATGCCCTTTTGCTTCTCTCGCAGTTTCTGTGAGACAAAAGAATGATCAAAGCCATTGTAAGTTACAACAGTCAATTCACACACAGGTGGATGTAAGCATGTATTTTTCTTACCTTGCTATGGCAGACCCAATTTCTGGGACTGGAAGTCTTATTACATGGAGCAAATGGCTGCTCCATTTGCTTCTCTGTATATGAAGCACGGCTGGTGCATAACGGTGTGCATACAGGAAACTGCCTTTTACGAAATCAGACTGAGGGAGCATGTGGCTCAGGAGTGCCTAAAGAATGACAGGCAGTGTGTCCTAGGCATGGTCCCCCCCCAGCCCTACTGGAATCTGAAGCTGCAAACTTCTGCATGCAAAACAGGTGTTCTACTACTGAGCTGTGGCTTTTCTCTAAATCAGAGTCCCCATGCTAAAGATAGGACATTGAAAAGGTTTCTTGTATCGCCCAAGTGAGCGTATGAATGGGTATTTGACTGTAATTCTTGAAAAGAAGGAATAAAGCAGGGTTAAGAGGCAATTCAATACAAAGTGTTTTCAGACGTGAAAACAATGCTGCAACCTCTCCAGATGTTTGTTTTGAATGCACTATTTTATAAAAGTATATTCAGCTCAGTCTAGATATCCTTCCAGACTCAAGACTACACAATTGAGAGTAAATTCTGGTCTTGAGATTAAGAAAATTTTAAACTTTTCAAGAAATTATGTATTTAAACATGTAAGACTTCATAGATGGATTTATCAAGGGAACATAGAAGAAAGATGTTAAGTATGACAAAAATGTACAGAAGCCAGCAAGAGTTGTAATTAATGCAGCTATTAATTGTATTAATAGTATTATAGTACCTTTTTTACAAAGACACCAAGGATAAAAGCTGAAAAATGCATTGTCTTCAGCCAGTTGCTTTATGTACTACTTCAAATTTGATCTGGAAAAGTCTGCATCATAGTATCTTATCCCGGGGGTTTCCGGTCAATGTGTCATTTGTAGAAGATAGTCAGGCAGCTTAGGCATTATCTGTAGGAAACTGACTTTAGGACTGTTTGGATAGTTTATTTTGAGAGGGCGGTTTCTCTGTGCTAGAATGGAGAGGCTCTTAGGGCCTGTGCATAAACTTCTGATCCATGAAGTGCAGCATTTTGTAAACACAGGAAGAAAGATTTTTTTAAAAATAATAATCCCATTGCTACCTTTCCAAGGTTTTCTTGTTCTGTGATCATCCGGGAATACTGCTCCCTGAAAAATACAATGAATATATATAATAATAATGCAAAATAATGTTTGGCATTTATACAGCACTTTTAGAGTATTTATTATAAATAAATAAATAAATAAATAATTTAAAGAGTTCACATATGGTGTCTCAAAAACTCCACAACAGCCCTGTAAGATAGGTCTGTATTATTATAGTCATAATATTATAGAAAGGAGGCTGAGCTCTGTTCCTAACTGGTTCTTGAGTGTAAATTCTCATTTCTAAAAGGAGACAGATTGGGGAAGCTCCCTTCTGTGAATCTAAAGGCATGACTAACTTTGCATCCAGTATTATACATCCAATCAGACAGGGGCTTGCAGACATCCATGGGCTACAGTGGGAGGTGATCCCACCTCCCTCAACTACAGCATTACTACTACAGTCTTCAGGGTCTCTGCCATCTATTTGCATACTCCTTCCCTGCATATTGAACTTTCTATTGGAAGATAGGATTTGAACATGTTTACTCTCACAGCCCTGAAAATACATGCTTCTCATAATCTGCATGCAGCTGTTAGAATCCATGCCAGGACAAAGATGACCTCAGTTGCCCCCAAGAAAGCACATCCACTGACAGTCTTCCCAGTTCTTTAGGTACTTCAAAGTATTCTTAGCCTCAAACTTATCATCTTAATTTCGTTTGAAGAAAACAAAGAAAGACATCAAAAATTAGGCTTTTGAGTGTCAGCTTTTGGCTATTTATGATAACTGGAAAGTATGCATCTGAATTCTGAAAGTTAAAACTATCTTTAGAGAACATTATTTTTTCACAATCCTCACTAGTGACTCCATGGAGCAGAGATGGTGCTGGGGATCAGAATCAAGGCATTTCTTGTTCTTCAGCAAACCAACAACTGCTTCTGGGTCATCTCTGCTCAGTTTATATTCCTGGGCTCACAATAGAGACATCCGGCCCAAAAGATTCCTACAAACTTGCCTTCTGTGGCCCTTCTGCATTTCTTGAATTGCTGCCCATCAAAACCTCTGTTAGCTAGCTCTTATTTCCTGAACCATCTGCAACTTCTCTTTGATTTCTAAAGGGAAGTGGCAATCTGCTATTCTTAAGGCCGGCTCATATAAGCTAGATGCTTTCTGAGTTCTTTTTCAATGAATTAAGCAGAAGTGTAGGGGGGATGAACCTAAAAGGCAACTCAAAAATGGAAACACTCTTTCCCATGACAGATACGAATGTCCTGTCCTATAATCATGGCTCACGTTACTCTCACAATCATCCCTGCCTGCAGTGTGAAAGAAGGGAGAAGTGAGGGCCTTGGATAGGCAGAACTCAGCAACATATATGGTCTGTTAAGTATGGGGGCATGAGCAGTTTACAGGCATCCAGACCCCCTCAACAAGGAGCCTACGATATGTCATGCCCATTCTAAGCTCCTAGATTCCAGGAATCCGCAGGGGCCCCAAGAAGGATGGGATTTTCAGTGGATGGATAGAAGGTATGGCCTATAAAATAGCTACTATAAAACAGCAACAGCAAATGCATGGGTAATTGTTACAGAGGGACTCTTCAGACAAAGCAAAATTAACAAGCAAACCCAGACCAAAACACATGCCCAGAGTTTCTCTGCTCAGCGTTCAAGTGCATCACAGAGCTGGCAGGGTCTCAAGGTTAATCTGCTGATTTCCACCATTTCTACTTTAGCACCAGCATTTCTCCTGTTTCTCTTCTCAGCATCCAGCCTCTTTCTTCCATCTACACAGATAGCAAATCCATTGCAAATATTTAGAGAAATGTTGTTAGCTCACTGTCCCTGGCTGCCCTTCAATTCAGCCACCATAAATGGAGGCTCCTAAGATATACAAGCAACATAACCAGTGTTTAAACAGCATTTTGTATTTCTAAGATCTTTATTTCTCTTTGTGACCCTGTTTCCACATGAGAATCCTGAACTGAACCACAGCAAACAGAGACGATCACTGCTGAGCAAACAGCACCTCTACAAAGGGAAGGAAATTTACAACACAGCATTACAGGGAAGCTTAATGCAGCCAAATTCTTCTCATTCAAGGCTAATGACTCAACCTCTCATTTCTGACAATGTGCCCCCAAGTGCATTTACCTGATTGCCTTTCTTCTTTCCTGTTGATCCGAAGAGACATACATCTTCATCTCATCTTTGGCACGCTGGAGGTAAACTTCTAGAATCTAGGAAGCACAAGGATTTATACAGCAACCACCTTCCCAGCTTAGAGTGCCCTGAAATAGCTACATAGAGTATCATTCCGCAGACTTACTCTTTTCATGCAGTTGGCATGATGATAGTGGCTTTCCTCCTGAACACACTCCTCATGAAGACTCTTCACCTCCTGCAGTAGGAAGATCACATTTCTAACAGGCAAGGGCACAGAAATGCTGTAGCAGTGGTGGGGAGAAATTCTTTCAGCATATGGGGTGAATTTGACTTTGGGGAAGTTCTTGGGGGCTGTTGTGTAGGATGCTGTGTTTGTTTTATTTGCTTAGTTTAGTTTATTTGTTCCTTGTTGTGAGCTGTCCTGAGACATTAGTGGTGGACAGGGTAGAAAAGTTTTACATAAATAAATAAAATTCCACTGGTGGGCTGGGCAGAAGGCAAAAGCAGTAAGACAAAAATACCAGCATATCATAGGTTAAAGCTCTTACTGCCAATAACTTCAGATAGGTTTTTCAAACTTTTAGAACTGAGGATGGGGGTAAGGATTGCAGAAAATCCAGGAGACCACAGAATGGTGAGTGGCAGGGTAAAAGATGAAGATGTAGGACTGAATTGGGATCCCAGAAGAATTAGATTGGGGCCCCCAGGCCTGAGGACCCCATCCTTAAAGACCATGTTCCTGGAAGGGTGCTTGTCATCTGTGGCTCAAGAATTACACAGGTTAGGGTGGGGAGCATGTGGCCTTGTAGAGTGCTGGACCCTGATGATGAGCCATGATGGCTGAAACTATGTGCTTAATGGGCCCACGGGTGGGCATGAGCAACCATTTATTTTGTCCCCACTGGACAGTATGAGAGGCCAACCATTATTTGATAAATAGCTTTTATTCCTTTCCCAGCTTGTTGATAAAGTAGGATAAGTGAGTCCCCAAAATGTCCTGGATATGTTTGTGTGCGTGCTCACATACGCATGTATGCACATACGTGTGTGTGTGTGTGTGTGTGTGTGTGTGTGTGTGTGAGAGAGAGAGAGAGAGAGAGAGAGAGAGAGAGAGAGAGAGAGAGAGAGAGAGAGATCAGGAGCATTATTCTGCCTCACCAGTTACCTGCTCCAGTGCAGAACGATTGCTCTCCAAGCCCGCTGCACAGCTGTCATACTGGGATTTCTTCTCACTGCATTCTTGGGTTAATTCCTGGCAGTGGAGGGAAAGGCAGAAGGGCACATGATGTCTCCGAAGCATGTGGCACTCTGGCAGATCTCGTTCTTGTTGATCTTGCTCTCTAGCCTTAGCTCCTGGCACACACAGCGCTTACATAAACCAAAAACACACCTGAAGTCCACTGTTTCTGGGGAAGCCACCACCCTTGCATACTAAAGGATCAATAGCATAAACTGCAACATAGCTCGCAAATCTCTTTCACCCCATTTTTAAAATATGTGACCCCAGTATGTATCTTTAACACTGTGGTGGATTGCAACCAAACTTACTTACGCCATGACATGGATTTTGGCTTAGCTGTATTAAAATGAAGCTTGCAAAGGAGTGTTCAGGACTGGGTTCTTGCCTGAAGTTGGTACATATGTCATGGCACTACTGGCCATCTTTGCAGCCTATCCTTCAAGTCCCCACCAAATGAAGCCAGGTGGGTGGCAGCAAGAGAACCGCCATCAGCTGCTTTCTCACTTGCCTGTTTGTGGAATGCCCACCCCAAGGAGGCTTGCCTGGAGGGAATGTTATCCTTGACCCTAGTATTTTAGTGTTCTCCTTTTGCATTTCCGTGATTTTAGTTTCCAGAGACTTTTCATTATTTTATTGCATCCATTGTTTCCGCCTGTCTTACTGTATGAACCACCCTGGGATTTTTTGGTTGTGGTAGATACTGTAAATAAAGTAACAACTCACAGGCTATGCTAACTAAAGAAAAGCTACCCTCTAAGCTGTGCTTCCAGGTAAGGTGCACTGTTCCCCATTCTGCACTAAAGCATCAGAGTTGCAGTGATGTATGCCAGCCTTCCTCAAACTGCTTTCTTCCAGATATATTGGACTTCAACATCAGGCAGACACCAGCTTGGAGAAGGCTGCTATATGCTTATAATCAAAGCTTGCTTCTGCCCATATTTTAAATTAACTGGGTTGACAAGAGAGAAATTTTGGGGGACCTAAGAAAGCATGAACATTTCCCACACACATTGTGCTACAATTAACTTAAAAACTCTTTTGCTGGATGAGATAAATAACCCTTCTGCTGTAACCATCTGCTTGCAACCATGGTCAGCCAGGCAGAATAGGGAACCCGTGAGCAGGATATGAAGACAGTTCTCATCCCTAATGTCAGAGGTGGGCTGCTCTGAGGATGAAGGCTTCACTCTGAGCCATCAGGCCAGAGTTTGAAGACATTCAGCACATCAGTATTAAACTTAACCAAAGTGTTCTCTTGTCATCCCAAGCTCCTTTAAATACCACAGCTGATCCTTTTTGCTATTACCAGTTTCTTTCTTCTCAGCCTAAGCTTTGCAACAGCTCCCACTATTCCAATCCTTTCTTGAATTCAACAGTGTAGTAGCACCCACTCAAAGTGATGGCATTTAAGTGGCTAACTTAGGTCCCACTAATTTCAGAGGATCTACTTGAGACCTGACTACATCTAGATCCAAGCCAATGCATCAAGGCCATGCAGGTCTGTAACTCTTTCACACCCACACCCACGAAGTATAAAAATCATGGGCCTAGTAAATGAGAATATTGCAGATTTGCTGAACAGGGTGTGGCCTGGATGGAAGACCACTGTAATAAAGGGACAGCAAGATAATAATTTTATTTTTTAAATCCAGTGGCTGAAATACTTGCCCCAACCACAAAAACACTGGGGAAAAGCCAGTTAAGAATAGCTGAACACACAAACACAGTTGGCCTCCAGCATGACACATGCACAGGGATCCAGTGCAGCACCGATCCCAAGCAGTCGTTTCCCCTGTGAAATACGCAGTGGTGCAGAAGGGAGGTGTTGCAATTAAACTGAGAGACGGGTGCAGAAACCTTATCCCATTCTAATGGTCCAGCTGCATTACAAGAAAACAGGACATTAAAAGTCATAAAAAGTCTCCTTCACTAACCTGACACTTCTGTCGCAACTGCCTTAAATCTTTGATAATTGGAGCTAGGCTTGACTTCTTATCAGCAACCATAGCGTTCAGCTTTTTGACCTGTTTGATGGGAGGAAAATGCACTGCATGAACATACCATGGTCAGAACAGCAAAAAGCCTGGAAATGGCACTAGAGCAAGACTGGAAGGGCAGGTGGAAGGAGAGGGATAACCCAGTAACATATAGCAAATGGAGATGGGGCTGTCCACCCGTGGCGGTGCAACCGCATCTGCCATCACGCTGGCCTGGCAAAATAGTTCCTGCAGCTTAATGGAAGGTTGGAAAGAGCCCAAGCCGGAGCACTACCATCCTTTGCTTCTAGCCCAATGAGTCTGAAAAATCACCATTTCGGACATGTTCTCCAGAGTTCGACCCTTCATTTCATCCATCTCACTCTTCACTGCAGACACTCTCTCCAGTTCCTCCTGTGTGTAGCTGTATCCAGAAATACCCTTCTTGTCTTCAATTGTTTGCTAGGAGCAAAGGAAAAGAGCACAACTCTCGGTATATGGGCCACTCTTTCCCTGCTGACGACAACACCTCACATGGCCTTTGAACACTGGCCGTGCTGGCTGGGATCAAGATTTGCCATCCAGAACCTCCAGAGGCCACCCCAGGTTAGAAGATAGTGGAAGATGAGCAGTGGAAGCTGCAATGGTTCTGCAGTGCGACTACCACAATGTAAGAAAGCCATGATGTGAAGTTAAGGGCTGCCAAAGGTTTGTTTTTGATGGAGATATATGAAAATAATTAAGAATGGCTCAGCTGGTGTGCCAAGACATCTTCTGTTAAAGCCTCTTTCAGCTTCACTGGCCAAAAGCCCAGTGGTGTATATGGTGGAACTGCTTAGAACAATACCTAAATGTTTTAAAAGAACCAGTTGCATTTGCAGTAATCCATTACTTTCATTCATCCAGGATAAAGCTATTCTGAACCTCCTGTTATTTATTTACCTAGCCATGTCTTTCATGCACAGATTAATAATGTTTGATCAAGCAAAATGAGATGACTCTTACATAGATTCTGCTGTGTCACAGAAGAAATAAAGTGTTCTCTAAAGATAATTGGGTGGAGGGAAGAAAAGAATTAGTCCTTTAAGATATTTGGTCACAAGAATTTCCATATTTTGCTACATATTTTATAATATAACTTATATTTCTGATAAAAATATAAACAGTTATAGGGAAAAGGGCATTTATAAACACAAACAACTTTTTGTCAACATGAAGGGTGAAATTAAAAATGCCATGAAAGACTACAAGAAAATGACCCTCAGATATTCCAGATTGTTCTAATCACTGTGTTTTCATGGACTTCAACATATGTGGGAACCTGTGCCAGTTAGAAGCAAGAGGCAGGCATAATTTCATCTTCTGAACACTGAGATGCAAGAGCTGAAATATCCTGTCATATAAGGGTTTTTTTAAGTCTAACATATAATGAATACTATATCATTTCAATAAAACTGTATCAAAACTAAAACAAAAAATTGCATTGACACCTAAGGCTTCGTTTAAGACCCATCTTTTATAGCTCACGTTAATGTAACGCTGTAATCACGAAATTAATTTACTCAACATGTCCAGGAGGTGACTCCCTGGCTGCTCCCTCAAAAAACACCCTTTCCTGGAGACTGCCCGATAGGTTTGGAAATGCCTCAGGAACACCTGCCTAATGCCACCTCTCTTACTTCCTTCAAATCTTTCAACAGCCACCTTTTCCATAAAACTTTTGACTCAGTCCCCTTGTTCCCATGACCTTCTGCGACTAAGCCAATAAACAAGCTTAAGCAGATGCGACTGACATGATTGCAGATTCTTTCCCTGCCTCCACCCCTGCTTTCCTCTGCTATTTCTCTGTATCAGATTTTAAATGGTTAGCCCCTTGTACTGCCCTTTTGTACTATGTGAAGCACCTGCCACATCGATGGCACTATATGCTAAATAATAACTCCTGTGTAAAGAGTGTGGATGTAGATGCTCCCTTGCCATGCACATTCCCAGAACAGACAGGATGAGCGAAAGACTCATTACCAACTGTTGCTGGATGTCCTCATGGCGCTGTGTGAGAAGCTCCTCAGTTCTCTGCAGGATGCCAAACTCAGCTGTAATTTCTGCTATTTCCAGACGCTTCTTTTTATAAAGTGTGTTTTTGCTTCGAAGCTTATTAACGTAACGCTTAAACTGAAACAAGAGATAATAACAGGTCTTTGAAATGCAAAGAAGTTGGATTATTTAGCACTGCCTCCTCCCTGAGACAAATCTTTTGGACCCAAATATATCTCTCAGCAGAAATCAAACAACATTTCACTTTTGAAGAAATGGGCTGTGTTATACAAAGCCCTTCTAAGAACAATATCCATTTAAAAGGCTAAGCACAACCAGAAAACCCTCTGTAGAAACCATATGTTCTATAAAAAGTGTCCCAGGCAAGGAGCCCACCCATGAAATCCAGCCAGTTCACCTGCCATCATGTGCAGTGGTGAGACTGAGGCTTTGTCCACCTTACTGTACTTACTCTTGTAACTATTTTTACAGCCATAGGTTACAATTATTTTTCATGATTTTAGTGATTTTTTTAAAAAAAGTAAACAACAAAGCCAGTGAAAATTTCTGATAATAATCTGAATTAGATACAGGAAGACCTCCTTTAATGATCTCAGCATGATAGTATAGAAAAAACGTTTGCAGAAGATATATACTGAGAATTATGGAGCAGATGGCCAATTTTCCTGCCAGTCCAATTAATGCAATCAGGATTTCACAAGCCGCTAAAAACATTTTGTGTGAGCAGATCCCTGGCAGTGACAAGCCCTCCAGAATCACTGTGTGAGACCTCTGGAACGGCACTCAGGCACCCATGTTGGAACATGATTTAGCACAGTCCCCTTCCTCTCCCACTTAAGCACTGCTATATCCCAGTGGGGTGGGAAAGAGTTAAGTAATTGTGAGACTGCTACCAAACTCTTGTGGAGAAGCTGATTTCTCAATTTATTAAAGAAGAAAAATAGTCTACTGTCTGCTCATCAGACAGGCCAAGCAGGCAATTTTTTAAAATTAATATTGATTAGGAAGCTCTTTCAGGGATGCTTGTGGTTAGTTTACCGAAAGCTGCCAGCAGAGCTTGATAAATGTCTTTATTTGAAAGACATCTTTCATAATCTAGCACCTCATATTGCCAGGGAACTCAAGCGAATGTCCCAAATTTAAATAAACAATAATACTAGGAACAACTTGGCTAAAAAGCAGTGAAACATTCCTTTGCGCAGATGCTGTCAACTGTCAACTCTAGAGGGGCCTTAGCATGCTCTAACCATTAAAAGGGGGCATTCCCAGCTCATGCCCGCTTCTAGTAGCAAGCACCACTTAAAGTTGCTTAGAGGAACTCAACAGGGCAGCCCACAAACAGCTTCAGCCTTACATTTTTATACATGGCAGGAACACTCCACTTTGGAAGTTGCTACACTGAATATCAAACTAGGATTGGCTATCGAGTGGTGGTTCCTGCACTAGCACAAGATTGCAGACGTGCTAACAGAAAATGCTCCCCAAATGCTCGCACGAGAAAGTTCTCTAAAACGTCTGGTCTGTGGTGGTCAGAAAAGAACTGCTTGGGAAGAGGCTTCTCCACCTCTTGTGGCACACACAGTATGAAAGGGTTTCCTCCCTTGAAAGAAGGACATGGGAATGAATGTCTGCTCTAGAAGTTCTATGACATCACTCTGGGCAGGGCCATGATCCCTTGTGCATGTCTGCATAAAAAGCTGAATGCAGGACAGAGCTGGTGGCTGCTAGGCCAGAGTTGGCGATTCGAGGGATGCTGCTTGGTCCCTTGGTTGCCAGCCCATATTTTTAAAAATTAGCAGAGTTCCTGAATCCCAAGAAGACTTCATGATGCACACAATATGGCCTCAGGCATGGGAGCTCCCTGCTCCTGTTCTCTTCACTTAGTCACTTCCTGCTTTGCAGATTAGAAGGCAAAGAAACGAAAGTTACAATGGCAGTGAAGGAGGACGAAAAAGCCCAGAGAGGAGCCTTTTTCATAGCACCAAACTCAATTGCTTTACTAAAATGGTTCATTCATTTACCCTCTTGATGGCATAGTTGTCATTACATGCTGTCCATCCATCTCCAACTTGAGTGACCCTATGAATTAATGGCCTCCAAAATGCCCTGTCCTTGTTAGCCTGCTCAGTTCTTGTGAACTCAAAGGCTATGCCCTCCTTCATGACATCAATCCATCTTGTATTTGATCTTCCTCCTCTTTTTTTACCTTCAGCTTTCCCCAGTGTTGTCTTCTCCAGTGAGTCTTGCCTTCTCACGATGTGCCCAAATTATGACAGGCCGAGTTTCACCATTTTTGCCTCTACGGGCATGTTCTGGCTAATTTCATTTAGGGGTCTTGTCTTTCTGTAAATCCAGTGTATACAGAAAACTCTTCGAGCATCAAGTTTTGAGTGCATCTCTTCTTCCAGATGACCTTCTTCACTGTCCACCTTTCACACCCACACATAATGATCAGGAATACAATAATGTGGATGATCTTGGCCTCAGTCCCCAGTGAAAAGCCCTTGGAATGGATTATCTTTTCTAGTTCCTTCACTGCTGCCCTTCCAAGTCTCAATCTTCTGATTTCTTGGCGGCAGCCTCCCTTTGAATTGATGACTGTACCAAAGTAAAATCTTTCACAATTTCAATTTCTTCAGTGCTGACATTAGAGACATGTAATTCTTTTGTAGGCCTGATTTTTGTTCTCTTTATGATCAGTTGCAGTCCTGCTTTTGCACTTTCTTTCACTTTCACCAGGAGTTGTTACAATTCAATTGCTGCTTTCTGCCAGTAACATGCTATCATCTGCATATCTTAAGTAACTCGTCTTGACTTCTTCCTCAGATCCTAATCTAGCTATCTTTGCATCATGTTCTGCATACAGACGGAACACAGATCATAGAACAGAATCATAGAACATCAGAGTGGGAAAGGTGCGAGGAGGGCCATCAGGTCGAACCTCCTGCTCAGTGCCGGACTCCAAGTTAAACCATCCCTCTCAGATGGCTGTGGCTGCATCTTGAATGTGGGAAAGTATTTGTAGAGCTGAGGTTGCCTCCCATCCTTTAGGTCAGTTCTTGCATCATCCTAGACTTGAGTTTCTGGACATACATCTTTTCAATGCTTTGAGCTTTCTTTCTGATTAAGCAGCAGCGACCTTCTGGAGCTCGCTTTCCTTCCCAAGACTTCTGCTAATCACCTACTTGTCTCTCTCACTCCAGAGTCCCTGCCTGAACTGGACTAGAGCTCACTGCGTTCAGGATCTCTGCATTTCATACTGTCTTCCTACTCACTTCTGTAACCTTGGATACTTACATAATAAGGGTATGTTCCACTGAACTTTAAAATATGGACCTCTAAAAATTCAATCAATTTCTAGGAAATGAAACTGCTTTTTTATTTTCCTGGGGAGAATTAAAAATTTCATTTAGACTCCCCAGAACCTGTGTACAACTTTGAAGAGTACTATGTGCTTTGAAAAAGAACTAAAAATATCTCTGGCTTACCTAGGATCACTTGTAATTGAACCACCTACCCTTCTAAGCTTTGGAATGTGATTCTCTAATTTTCAGGATCTGACAGCTGCAACGAGAAGCTTGCCAGCACTGTCGGGGTTCTCTTTTCTTCATGGTACTTGTTCCCAAAATTCTTTTATGTCTTGCTATCTTTACAACAGACAGCTTTAGCCCCTAACGTCTTCGCAGATCCTACTGAAAACGCACCAGCTTCCCCCCTGCTGCTGGTTGTCAACTCCCACCAAGTGCGCAAACACTGACCCTCACTTGGATTGGAAGGGTCGATGTTCCTCTGCATTGTTAAAGGAGAAAGCAACAAGCTGCCTAGTAAAAACATAAGCTGGGCTGACCTTTCCGTGGATGAAGTGCTAAGACCTCAGCTGAGGATACAATTGCTGGTATGCGAGTGACCAGGCAGTGGAGGCATTAATTCATCCAAGGGCCAGCCTTAGCGAGGGCCAGGCCATAAGGGGATACAGCAACCCAAGCTGGGACAGAGGCACACAGTAACCCAGATCTAATAACAAACCATTTGGATCTGCAGCATTACAGCCAAAGTATTAACGAGACACACTGATTCGTCTAGAGAAAATTAAGACAAGAGGAAAGCAGGTTAGCCACCATCCCTGGAATGCCCTCCCTCCCATATTTTAGGACTTTAGAGTACATAAGAATTCCATTACCTCAAACCTAAAGAGTGTCCTGGCCTCTGTCAGGACCCCCATGCATCCATCCATTCTCTACCACTGATTATTTGATAAATCTCTGCCATGACTTTACTCAACCTGGTGCCCACAAGATGTGGATTCCAACTCCCATCATGATGGGAGCTGTAATCCAGTAGAACTGGAGGACCCTAGTTTAAGGAAGTCAGCTGTCACATTTTTTGCTGTGTGTGTGTGTGTTTTTAATGAATTCAGGAGCCTGGAGTGTTAAGAATCCCTTGAGGTTTAAAAATAAAGAAAATATGCAAAACAGAGTTTATCTAACTCATTCAAAATAAATCCCAACATGTTCTACACCACCCACAGTAACACTGAACACAAAGCTCCTGTGGTCCCTTGTAGTCTTCTGTTTAAAAACATGGCTGTGTGTGACTGGGTGAAACAGGGTAATATGATAGAGGTTTAAAAAAATTAAACATAATATGGGGCAAGTTAATTTCTTTTTCTCTCGGGGTCATCCAATGACTCCAACAGAGAGGAGATCTGGGACAGACAAAAGGAAATACATGAATGCCTACAGCTCATCCCCTTGTTTCTGGCCTTGAAGAACAGATCTCCTTCCTCTTCCATTCCCCTCCCCTTGGGTGTCTTGTTATTTTACATTATACACCTAAGGGCTGGGCCTCTTTTTCTCTGCACTGATATGAGCCACTGTAATTATGTGAATAGTGGGATAAAACTGCACTAAGTACATACATTAATAAATATTGTTTATCATTGAACTATGGAACTCACTGCCACAAGAGAGCTGATGACCAGTAGCTTAAATGTCTTTTCAGTGGGATTAGGCCATAAAGGAAGAGGTAGTTTCTCAATGGCTAATAGCCATGATGGCTCTAGGAAGCCTCCAGAAAGAGGCCGTCTGCATCTTGAGTATCTGTTTGTGACACAAGTGCAGGAGAAGGCTACTCGCCTTACGTTCTGCTTTTCCCAGATTTACAACCAAGAGCCAGCTTACTCCAGTGGTCAGAGTGCTGGACTGTGACTTGGGAGGCCTGGCTCACTGGGCCAGTCGCAAACCTTCAGTTTAGCCGAATTCACAGCATGTGCACTGCTTTGGACTCCTCAGATCACAAGATGCACTAGAGTGGATGGATCCCAGCCTGATCCTGCAAGGGTCTTCTTGTGTTTCTGAAAAGAGGCTCCTGTAGCCGACACTACTGAAGTCAGAACATATCTGAACATATGTCTCTTCACACATACGTATCTGTACTTCACACTTTCCCTGCTCCATCCATGTTGCAACTTGACTATAAATTCTCAGCATCATCACTGGCGTCCACCAATTTCCTGTTCTGCTGCTGTGATTATTCTTAACAATATAGCTAGTCAACAGATTGTTCTCATCAGATGCGTTGACAATGTGGAACATTCTTTTAGTGTACTTTACAATACAGTGAACATGCAGCAGATAAGGCCAAGTGTCTGTGGCTCACTGGCTCTTTTGCAACACTTGGCTGCCGGCTAATGAAGCACTGCCTCCTTAGTAGCCGGAACATCATAAAGCTCAGAGTGCCAGCTGTCAAACTTAACTGAAACAAAGTTCCACTGTGGCTCTAAAGCCAGTCTACTATACAGGAGGAAAGAAACAAAGGCTCTGGACTAGGCAGGTTCATAGAGTAACAGAAAATAACAGAGTTGCCACGGCAGAGGGCATGAGGTGCCAAATCTCTTAGGGGAGTTCAGTCTCAGAATGCCGTTTTCGTTTAAAGACACTAATCTCAAGGGTTTGTCATCTAGCTGTCTTATGTTGCAAAGACCAACTGCTGAAGCCATATTTGGTATGGAGAATAGTGCCCTTGACTTCAGGCAGAGATGGTAATACATTAGGGGTGGCCAAAACTCTTAGCTCCAGTCCTTCACATGCAGAAAGTTCCTGCTGCTTCGCTCTCCTTGGACTGTGTTTCGCATAAGCCGTAAACTCTCCCATCTTTTCATACCTGTTCATTTCACTCCTCTTCCCCACCCACCTGGGCATGGCCCACAATCACAAGAGTTGATGAGTTGCTGCTTCCCCACCTGTCCTTCCATCTCCTCCCAGACCCATGCATCATTCTCAAAGCAGAATAAGAGTGCCTCTTTTCACAGGCTGTGAGCTGCATGCGTCTGCCAAGGACAAATTGTGAACCACCTTGAGGGGGCTTCTTTTTCCCTCTTTTTTTTAAAAGAACCTGCCTGGCCAGCCCTGTCATAAAAAAGCAACACAGATAAGGGGGCACCAGTTCTTGGAGATTAATGGGAAACATGCCAAGAGGTGAAAAACACAGGCCAAAATGCAAAGGAAGGGGCTCTGGGCTTCTGATTCACTAACATCAGCCTTCCAAACAATGAGCCAAACTTCTGAAACACAGAGGATTTCCCAAAGAAGCCCGTTCACCCACATTCTTCTGTGTAAGGATCTCCACTGCTGGAACAGAGTAAAAACCTGCTTCACAACCTGCTACATTTTCTCCTTGCAATGGCCTGTGATTACCTCATCCCCTTTTAAAACCTCTGCACCATTCAGCTCCTGGGCCTGGCTTGACTTTTGCAGCATTTGTCTTTCCAAGTTGGACAACTCTTCCTTGGCATCCTGAAGTTCTTCTGCCTTGGCTGCCTTCTTCCGCGAAATTATGGAGGCCTGTGGGGGCAATGCAGACCCATCAGCAGCAGCAATGCAGAAGGCAAGTTTAAACATTTCAGGTAGGCTAACGCAATGGAAAGAGCAGGCATGTTCGAGGCCCAGGAAGCTGGCATTCAAGACAGACTTGCAACTCAATCCTCAGAAATTACTAGCACAAGGGCCTGCTTGCCCACACATATTTATGGTAGTTATTTTGAGCACATAACAGCCTCAAAAGGAGAAGAGGACTGAGTGTTCCCCAGAGTTTGCTGTCTTGTTACCTAGAAGCAATTCTTCATCACCATACGCAAGGGAGTTTGTGCTGTGTATTCATTTAATAGTGCAAAAAGAATACTCTTTATTTCTTCCAATGCAGAACTTAAGGTAGTGGTCATCATGGGGTAACCAAGTGCTCTCCCATCCAGGAACTGTCCAGACCCAGAGTGGGTTAGCCTTAGCAACATACCTGCATTATATTCCCCGAGGCCATGCCCTGGGACCCCTGTGCTGTGTGAAGAATCCAATCACCCCAGGCACTCAAACTATCAGACTTTTGACACCACCATCTGATACTGTTTTGGAAGCAGATATATATAGCAGTGACAAACAGGATTTTGCAGTTATTTTGCCAGGAGATGCTCAGAGCTGTACAGAAATGTACAGTGCAGAGGGTAAGGCAGAAAAGAACCACATTTCAAGAACTGGATAATATTCTTAAATGCTAGTTCTTTAAAAACCCCCACAAAGAAACATATGATATGTACTAGGGAAGTAACTGTTTTTCCCTATTACAATCCACATGTTTATCTGTGGTGGTTATGGAGAAGAGAACCTTGTGAGCTGCCTTAGTATTCCTTGCAGGAAGAAGAAAGGTGAGATATGCATTTTATTAATATTATTGTTATTGCTATTATTAAGATTGACCTTGTAATATTGCATTAACATTTCAATAGACAACACTTTTCCACGATCTTTTGCACCTGTTATCCAAGACCATTTTTAAGGCAGCAATCTTATTGTGAACTTAGCCAGAAAAAAGGTCTTTAATTCCCAGCATGCCCCAGTTTGCAGAGCTGGCTGGGGCATGCTAGGAATTGCAGGCCCTTCCTGTCTAAACTTGCAAAGGATTGCAGCTTTAAACATTTTCACCTTGCTCTTCCACAATTGCTCAAGGCAACTTATAGCATTTAATTAGAAATGTCAGGGATTGACCCCGTGGTGTCACAAATGGAAAAGCACTCTCTCTGCTCTGAAGTGAGGCCCTCCACCCATCGCACATCAGCCAGGCTGCATGAGCTCATTCTGCAGACGGTGGAAATACAGAAGCCGATTTAAGCGACGGCATATGGTATCATTAAAGATAGCCATTCGTGCATTATTTTATTTTGTGCAACTCCTGGGACAAAGAATAAAATTAAAAAAAAAAAAACACCAGGAGGCGCCTTTCATATTAGTGCTTGTGCTACATTTTTAGTATTGCCTAATATTTAATACGAGCATAAATACTTTTCAGAACTTAGCTGATTATCAAAAACCAAAACACTACAGACCAAGAATCAAGGTTCATCTTATGTTACAAGGTCCTTAAAATCAAAGCATGTCCACCATTCTTACTGATTAATAGTGCATATCACATAATTGTGTAGGTAGTTTTGGAAGTAGTCTCCACTCTCTGGATTAAAGAGCCTTCTGCATTCTGCCTCTCAGATGGTTCTGCCTATGTATTATCCAAGCCCTCTGCATTTCCAAACTGGGCCCATGATGATAAATAGTGTTAAAAGCGCACGGGGTGCTCTTACAAAGCCGACGAAAGCACCCTGTGGAGCAGCGCAGGGGCTGCCATATGTTTTTGACTAAGAGGAGCGCTCCGAATTCCTGGAATGGCTCATCCAAGGGACGTCAGCACTTTATATTAGGAACCAGCTGGTCTCTTGTACCAGCACATTATGTAGCATTCTTAACCTTGTAATGCATTGCACACAAAAACAAGAGGCTTCAGGTCACATTCACAAAGCTAAAAGCACGCCTTTTAAAAATGTATCAAATATTTTGATCACTACTTCTGGAGCCATCACACAAACACTCTCGCATCAAATCTGTAGACATACCAAGATACCAGCAAAATCTGAAGTCTCACGCAAATCAGCTATAGTTTGCTTCAAAATTTTACACAAAATATAATTCCACTGTAGGCTACTATGCATGAATTTTGTTCTTACCTGTTGCCGATACATTGAAAATTTACTATCGATTGGCTCATACTTCATCATCCTCTTCTCAATTAACTGATTTATTTGTGCGTTGACCTCTTTTATCTGGAGTAATTAATTAAAACATTTAAGAGGGGTTTTTTAAAATAAGCAATGTGAAATAAAGTCATTTTGCTTCACTGGAACGAGAGATGGAATTTGGAAACAGAAACAAGTCCCCAAAATGGGTTCAAATCTCAGTGGCAGAGTCAAATGAATCACTGTTACATCTGAGGTCCAAGGATTTTGAGTAGCTTCTCCAAAACAATGCAGGGCGTTTGAAAAATGGTAGTGGTGCCTAATCTAAGCAAGTTTCAGTCTCCCCATATCAGAGGTGAAATCCTACGTTATTAGGCAAACTGTCCAAACCAAAGTGCCAAGAGTATAGTAGCCCTGTTCTGCTCAAGTTTGCCCTTTTGTGCTTGCATTTGGTCACCAACCTAAACAAATCTTAACATTATGGATGTTACTGCAAAACAATCTCTTATGGCTACCCTTCTGGAAGCTGTTATATCCAAGAAATGACTCTGATTTACGAGTGAACTCTTTTCGTACAGAGGTCCGTGGCTTTGCATGTGCAAGTTGTCTAAACACCAGCACCCTTATATATCTTTGTACCCTGGCTCATTCCTCCTCAGCAGGAAAGAGGACGCGGGTTCACAGAGGACACGGATGGGTGCGGGGGTTATTTAGCATAAATTTCATAGTTCTGAACTCAATTCAGTATACAATAGTGAAGGATCTTTCTTCTTTCAGCGTTTCACGAATATGAGAGCATTGTGTCAAAGAGCCATCTCAGCTCCAGTTCATTAATACAAAAAGGGTACCCCAGGATAATCTCCAAGAAGGCCAAAGTCATCCTGGGATAACCCACATGATCTATTTCAGGGCATTCAGATGATGCACAGGCAGATCTGTTTCAAGAGTCCTGGAAGTGCCATGCACAACAATAGTATGCCTTAAATCAAAGGTCTGACAGGGGATCAGTTACCCTGGGTGACATGAATGTTCCCTTTGCTGTTATCCTTATGTCCTGCTGGTGGGTTTCTCCTGGGCAGCTGGTTGGCCATGAGGAGCAGAATCCTGGACTAGATGAAGACTTCATCTGATTCAGCAGGCTTATCCTTATGGAACTTACTGACCTGGTTCACACGTTAAAATAACCCTTTAAAAAAAATCCTGGGTTGTGGTGAACAAAAGTGGGAGCAAGCAATAGCACTGGTTCCTGCCAACTGATTGCTCCTGCTTCAAACAGGGGAAGCTGAACTATCAAGAGATGCTCCATGCCAGGTTGGGAAGTATGATACACAAACCAGGAATTCTTGGTTGTTTGTCTCTCAACAAACTGGAATTTGCAGTTATCACATCATACATAGCAATCGAGGAATTGAGTTGCTTAGCCTCAGAAGGAGTGACAGGATGGCAGAAAACTAGCATGTTCACTTCAGCTTAGTTTGCAACAACCCACTATTTAAACAAACAAACAGGGTTGTTGTAACATTTGATGGGGCATTATTTTAGTCTGTATCCTGCACTTGTACATATAGACTAAATTTGGATGTAACAGCAGCTTCAGGCAGCAACTAATTAATTAAACTGATTAACCCACAAACTGTGGGGAGGCATACCATATGCAAGCCATTTCCTATTTGTTTCAACAGTCCTGGAATGTTGCATTCAAGAATTGTTATTGTGACATCTGAACCCTACTAACAACAATGGGGGCTTAAGTTAGTTGCAACAGGCTTTTCCTATATAGGTTGAATAACACATCTATATTCAGCTGAATCGGGGCCATCCATCCAACTTAGCTGATAACTGGAGCCTTGATCTCAACTTCATAGATGTTTTATTTATTTATTAAATGTTATATCTAGGAATACTCCAAAAGTCCCACCACCTAAAACAAAATACTGAATTCAATATATGCATTTTTTAAAATCTTAGGTACTTGTGCTCTTCTACAACTCTGGCACAGTATACCTTCATAAGGAAGGAAAACCACCCACCCACGACACCCTAATTCTGATGGAGAAAGGTGGATGATTTTGCTCATTCACAAGGCCAATTTTGGCTACTTGGAAGAACAGGGTGTCTCTTAGCTGCCTCTCCATATGCCTGATAAAACGTCAGAGGCATATCTGGAAGCTGTTCAAGTTCAGCTATGTAAATTTTTTCTACTCCATGTAACTCATGTTTAGATTGCCACAAAACAATTAAGATACAACATTGCAATCAAAGATGTTAGTGACTGCTGTCAAGTTCTTGGTTTCATTTTGCATCGAGTAAAAGTGAGAGAAAGGAGCAAGAGACCTGGTCATAAAAGAGCCATTTAAAAATAAGTCCAACAATGGTTATCCAATTGCAGATAATCTGTTTGAATTCTGTCTGCAACCAGTAACACACAAACACACACTTTTTGAACCCTTAACCAATGGGATTTCTTTTTTCTTCTGTCAACATACTTTAGTTTCAAGTTCAGTGATGTCAGACTGGCTCATTGCTGGTTCTGCAACCACTTTTTGTAAAAAATACAGTGACTGCTTCTTTGATTCCAGTTCTCGAGGAAATTTTTCAGAGACCAAGTATGTATTGAACTTCGTCTCTTCTTCCAGTCTCTTCATTAAACCTGAGAAAACAAAGAAGCCGCCACTACATCAACACGTCTAAACAAAGAAACAAGAATGGCAATTTGGTTTCATACTCTAATAACTGTAATTTAACCCAAACTACTTAGTAGTCAATTACATTAATTTCTGCATCAACTAGCAAGACTTCAGAGTTGCAATTTATATGGTATGTGGACAAACATGCACATACTGGTCTTCTCCAAAAAGCCAAGTATTATTATCACCTTTCTGGAAATAAATTAAAGAGTGAATAAAACAAAACATATACAAGACTGTCTTCAAGGTATTTAAAATTTTCATGCAAGAAAAGCATGAAATATGGATACAATAGCTCTCTACAATACAACCATGAGAGTGTTGAAAATATAATAAGGGGGAATATTTGAATTTTTGAAGTCTTCTAAAATAAATACTGAGTTTTATGAATCATAGTTAATGCTACTCTCACTTATGAGGAAATCCATTGAAATGAATGGAATGTTGGAAGCAACTCTACATCAAATCTCTTGATGGTGCCAGAAACTAGAGAAGCAAGTTAAAAGCCCCAAACTGACTAATTAGGCCTGCATGTATGCACACACACACACACACACCCATTAATGGATGGCCTACTTTAGTTGCTGCACATAGAGAGTAAAGTGTTCCCAAACTTGCAAGATTAGTCATGTGGAGAAAGAAGTTACCCAATTCTCTTCCTCCCCTGCAGTGTAACTGAATGTTTTCGGAGAAGTCTGCCTGTCACAAATTCTTGGGCCAGAAAAGAAAAAAAGTATGCTTTAGGGCTTTGCATTATCCATTTCAGAATCTTTTAAAAATGCTTTCTTTATAAAACCTCTGTATCCCTGCTCTGTACTATGTGCTTGGTTCAAAGCCTTAAGCTCATTTGAGTTCCATTTTGCCAATGGCATACTTACATGTGAAAAGCTATTAATAGCTATTCATCATGTTTTCCGTTCAGATATTTTTATTGTTACAAGAAAGGTTCAGGAAGAGTGAATTAGTGGCTTGCTCAGACACGCAGGAATGAGACACCCTTTCTTGCTTGACTGTATGAATGAACTTGCCCTAACTACACATTTCAGTACCTTCCCCAATATGTACAGTGATTAAATGCATACATCTGAACAAAACTGCTTGAAATCCAGCTCAAGGCAAAGCACGATTCCTCTGCAATCTGGAGGTCTCTAGAGCGCTTTAAACTCCAAAAGCACACATACAAGACACAACCATGGTCATCATTAAGCAAGCAGTAAAGTTAACAATAAAACTTATGGGGAAAAACAATCCCCGAAACGTGAAATAAATTGAATAGATTTATAGATTTCAGACAGAACACGGGGCAAAGAGACATGTTTTCTAACAAACATGAGCGCGGGGGGTGAGGGGGCTCCAGCTCAATACTTCCCTCGTAATGCTAATCTTACAGGGGAGACCTGGCAGGCAGAAGAGAAGGGGCTTCGCTGTTCCTGCTGGTTCTCTCCTACCAGTCTCCCCCTTCCTTGTTTCCATCTCCTGTGAACTCCTTTAAACCCCTCCAATCCTAGACTCGGCCTTTCCATCCAGCAGGCTGTTGAGGCCCGCACAAGCTACTGTAAGAATAGGGAGTGGGTATCGGTAGGGTTATTATTGCTTTATTATTATTAAATGTATTAAATGGGATGCAATTCAGGTGGAAACTGTGTTGGTCCAGTACCTAGAACAACTCAAAAAGCTCTCTTTTTGGCTACAGTTACAGTACAACTGGACTGCCTTTTTACTCTAATCCATGCCCATTTCAGAGCAGAATATCTGCTCTGACTTTCATCCTCAACTGTTTCTGTTCACTTTCCCACATCATTACTGGATTATACTTTTTATGTGAGAGTAGCAAGGGATACTGCCTAACTTTTGCTCTTGAGTAAGCAGGCATATTGAATTGATTAAATTGTGGCTATATTACAGTAAACAAGAAGTAAGCATCTTTTAAGGAAAACCTTTGAATCCTAGGTCTTGGTTGAAGCTTGAAGCCCTGCCAGAAGATGACATTAAGAGTGTATAGATCTTTTTTTTTTTCAAAAAACTGTTTCCAATCAATCAGCTAAAAATGATATATTCTGGTATTTTTAAAGTTTTTTCTACCTTGATTTACAGGACACATAATTCCCACTGAGATGAAAGGGTCAACCTTCTAGTAATGGATGATAACACCATTATGTAATGTGAACAACAAGTTATGGTCCACCCAGAGAGAAGTACTTTGCAGTCTCTCTGAATTCAGTGAGAGAAATTTTAGTGGGTGCTTCAGTCTCGTAAAGTGTTCCAGTTCATCTGGACAATGCCTAGTTTTTCGGTTGGCTTATGATTAGTATTAAAACTAAAAATGGTCAGTATGCAGTATTGCCATTGCACTAGCAGGAACAGTTGCTACTGCAACAGGAAATTAGTGCTGGCTGAAGCAACCCAAGAAACTGAAGCTTCCTGAATGGGACAAGCCAGTGGAGGTCACAGAAAGGAGCTGCACTGACCTGTCTCCTTTCGGAAGCTGTGGCTTTCTGTGCCAGAGATGCTACTTCCCTTTGTGTGCGCTGTCCATTCCGACTAGCACAGGGTGCTTACAGCTATGTGGCTGCCAGCTCCGGAGACTGCCCAGCGGAATGTCCTTGCAGCCACAACTGTTTGTTTGTTTTCTGTTTTGTAAGCCAAAAATATGACACATTTCTTTTTTCTTTTTTTTGGAGAGTAACCACCAAAAGAGAGCGGCAAGAACGCATATCTCATGCTTCACTCAATACGAAAGGCCTCATTTTGCTGATGAGTCTCTCCTGGCAAAAACAATAGCTGTTGTTCACAATGTCGACAGGATGACTTGAATAATTGGTCCTTGTCCACATGCAGAATTCTCTTTGTTGGCATTTCTTTGAGGATTAAGAGAGTTTATTTTACAAATATTGATGAGGATAAGCAAGAATAACTGGTAAGGACACAATTTAAGCTTTTCTTCCCAATTGGCAGTGCCCTAATAGTGCAGGGCTAGGTGGGTTCCTAATAATCTACACAGGTATTTTGTCCTTTGCATTTGAGTTTAGTGAAACCAGCGAGCACTTATTTCATAGAAAGGGAGATCTGGTGTGGAGGCCCTCACAAAGGGTTCACACAGCACATTCTTCCACACGGCTGTATACGTCCCCCTCCTCCCAGCTCCCTAACAGCAGCATCTTTTCCTGATTTGTAGCAACAGATGAGCCATTTTATAACAGCTCAGAAATGAGCTGCTTCATTGTTGTAGCACATCACATATCCACTGAAGCAGGTTTGCCTGCAAGCGTCCATAGCTCTTCTTGGTGCTCTGCCTTTAAGTGTTGGGAACTTGTGTTCCCAAGTCTGTTTGCCAAAGCAAATGTAAGAGGGCTGCCTGGAGAGCGGGAGTGGGGGGGGGGGGCATTTGCAGTCAAGAACTGACAGTTGAGAGCACCCTGTGGCCTCTCTCTCCCTGGACTACGGACGGCCAAGTGGAGGCAAGGGAGCTGCTTCCCCATGGCAACATCTGGCAGCATAAGGACCCAGTCTTGGGAACCACAGGGTCCAGACCAAGCACTTGCTTCTTTCCCACTCAGTTGTCGCCCTTCTTCCCGACTAGCCAACGAACGCTTGGCCGCAGCACCTTGTTATGGGACAAGACATCAGGCATGCTTTTATGTCAGAACGTAAGAAAAGCCACGCTGGAAGGGATCAAAGGCCTGCTCAGGCTTGCATTCTGTTCACCCAGCAGCCAACCAGCGATCTGCGAGAAGTCCACAAGCAGGACTTGTATACAACAATACCCTCCTGCTCGAGCTCTCAGGAGCCTGCGTACGGAGGCGTTCGCTTCACAGCCACAGTTAGTGTTCCATTTTTGAATATTTTCCGATCAGAGAAAGGTATATTAGTACCAAAATACTTTCCTTTTTAATCGAGCAATTTATCAGAGGGATAGAATGTTAAAAGCTGAAACACCTGAAATGGAATAGAAGTCTTGTCAAATAACACAAAAGAATTCTCGAGTGACTGAAAAGAAATCAAACAAATAACCTCTCCCAACAATGCACACCCCCAACAACAACACAGGATTATCAGTGCACATGGCACTATGAAGCGTCACAAAATCTTGAAGAAAGATTCCTGCCTCAAGAGAGGGGCAAGAATAACAAGAGATAATTGGAAAGAGCTGCAGTTACCCATTCTCTGGTTTCATTTATGAAATAAGATCAAAGGGTTATCTTAACATTATTAACAATTATAAAGCAGTAGCCGTGCATATCTTAGTGTTCAAAGGTAAATCATAGACAAAACTTTAGAAATACATAAATTTACACTAAGCCAAATTTTTTCAAATGAAAAGCTACACTCAGGAAGGATGTAAATGTACTTTTCTTTGATTTTTTAAAAGTCCTTCTTTGGTTTTTTGGCAGGAGATGTGGAGGAGGGGGAACAGCATTTCAGAACTCCTACTTACTTTCTGGCTTTGAATCCAATGCTGCATGACGCATATCCTTGAGCTGGAGTTGGACTCTCTGCAGCCTCTGCTCTGCATGAAAAAGCTTAGAAATATGCACAGATCTATTAATAAATTTAATCTGTGGAAATATATACACATACAATGAAATAATGCAAAAAGGGAGGAAATATCTAAAAGGACTTAGGCTGCACACAATGTGCCCCCCCCCCCCACTTCTGATGAGAAGTAATAAGAAAGCATTGCTATCAGCAGATTTGGCAAGATAAAGCTGCAACCTGTTCTACTGTTGAGCTGACCCAGGGCAGGAATTGTGATGTGGGTGTGGCAATGCTTGGGAGTTTACTGGCCAAGCTCACAGCTGGGAGACCTCTGGCAAGGGTCAAAAGATGAGCATATGATACTCAGAGGAGCACGCCAAGTCCAATTCTTGTTGTACACAAGAGGGCCTGTATGAGGGGCATTTCAGACCAAGAGCTTTCCCAGCTGGCATACCCAACAAACCAAGCATTCTGGTTTCTGGCTTTGCCAGTCAGAAAACTTTGGAAACTCATACGTGGGGCTTCAAGGCAACTGGCTTGCCTTGCTTTGTCCCCAGCTTCTGGTATGCAGAAGTATATATGGATTTACATCCATACCCCCCAAATGTCTCCACAATCGGCATCAAAAGCCACACTAAGAACAGCGTTAAACCTCTGTGAACCAGGACTGCCACTCAGTCACAACAGTAGTGTCTTTTAAAACCAATTTATAGATCTCCTTTGATGAAGCAAAATAGGACTGTTTTTTTAAATCTTATTTCAACTGCATGCTTTTGCCCAGATACCTGGTTCTTCTGCTCTTGCTTCTGCTGGGCAAGAGATTCCTCTCTCTCTTTCTCCACTCGAAGCTGCCTGGCTGTTTCAAGCATTCGCTGATGATTCTGCACTGTCTCCACCTACAGAGAGAAGGAGAAGTGATACACATTAACCACCACGCAGCTGAGAAATCAATTAGAGAGGGATCATGTGTCTCACAGATTCACACCACACTTCCTTCCCACAGCAACACTTCTTGGAGCTGGGCTCAAGGTCTTCCAGCATTTTGGACCATTGCCTGGGGAAGATTCCCTTTCCTCCTGTCCGCCATCGGATTCCTTACCCAGGCATGCTGCATCTTAGACTTAATCCCTGTTTACATTCCCCAGTCAAATTTGCCATCCAAGGAGCAGCTTGGCAGTTCTCACTTACCCGCTTCTTGAGACGCTCCACTCTTTTCATCAGCTGATCCTTCTCTTCTTCCATAGCAGTGATATCCTAGAAAGCAGCAGCATGAAAAACACAGCAAATGAGGTGCTTCAGATACAGGATTTGGATCAGAGAGAGTTATTTTTCTATAGATCTGGAACTAAAAGAGCAGAATCCACATGATTTTCATGTAAGTGTAATCAGTTTTGCTTGGGATGCTAATCATAGCACCTTATACAAATTAATCAAAGTCACACCAACATATTTGAAGAGATGCATTTAGGACTAATCCACATGCTATGGTAAATGCATAACAAGTAACCAATTCTACTTTCTGCATGTGTTGACATTCATGTTTAAGTGCAAGAGACCCTGATCTGAATCAAAGCACTGCACAGGAGCAGGGGGTGATGTTTTCCATTGTTCCCCTCCATGGGGGAGCTAAAGCAAAAAATGCCCACTAGCATCAGTTCGGCTTCTTTCCCCCTTTTTTAACCCCTGCACATGTAGTGGGGAGAAAGGCCAAATTTGGGGGAAGGAGAAAATAGCAGCCCCTTACTCAATGGTCCCAATCTGAGTCAAGGTTTCACATGCTTACACAAAAATTAAAAAGTAAGGATCCGCTTTATGCTATGCATTACCTTACAGTATAATTTAGACCTTAAAAAGAACTGGTTAATGGTTCAAGGTAGAGAGGAAAACTATGCAGATATTTAACAGAGGGAATATCAGCATACTTTTTTTAAAAAAAGCACTGACTTCAAGGAGCAGTTGAATGACACAGTTACTAGTGGGTAGAGGGGTTAGTAAAATCAGTAATACAAGTCATTTTGACCCTAAGGCAGTCATTCCTATTTGAATGTTCTTCTGTGTAGCTCCATTTTATTTACTAATACTTTTATATCTTATTCATCAATTATTTCCCCCATGGCACCTTACATCCATTCTACATTAAATAGCTTTGTAACATACAATAAAGTTTAAAAAGTAGATAAAAGCAGCATAAAAACCAAATAAATTCAGAGCTTTCTTTTAAAGCCTGGAATAATAAAAAGGTCTTTCTTTGGTTCCTTGCTTTGGCATATAACATAACCACAAATAACACGTTTTGTTTTGTTAGCCTGAAATATATTACAACACTGCAGGTGCAAACCAGACAAAGTTAAACATTTTTTAGGGCCAAGCATGTCTCTTTTAAATGTAGCTTTTACATTTCATATTATAACTGTTTCTATTGGTATGTGTGCTTCATATTGCATTTTTATGCCACCATAAACTGCCTTTGGGCAGCAGAGACAACGACTGTGATGGTGACAGAAATGTAAACACTCTGCACTCGCTGACTAGAATCACAGGAGCTGAAGGGCCTTTGAATGCTTCACTTCGGCAGGATTGTGCCCCACATATCAGCTTCCTGGGCACCTCTATAATCTTTGCAGTAGTGTTTGGCTGCATCTTCGTTGCCCCCAAGCCCATCGACTGTTGGCAGCTGAAGCTCCGTTTAGGTCTGCGGCCTGATAGAGCGATCCTGCGTGGGGCCATCTGCGGCTGGGTCTTCTTGCCAGTTATATTGGTTAGTGTCCCCACAAAATGGGGGGAAAAGAGCAGTTTGCCCCAACTTGCCGACCTCCAGGCACCCTGGACAGTGGCCACTTCTGTTACTTCCCATGCAACGCTATGGCATTTTCTCACCGCAAATAGAAAAATGGAACTCTTGGGTTCAGACATCATGACAGACAGCTGTGGGTAAGCAGAAACCATACAACTGTTTCTTGTCGTAGTGCCCAGGCTCAAAAGAAGCAACTAGGTCTGGACAACACAAGCTCACAATGGCAAAAAATGACGACTGCTTGTCATACACACTGATGATGTGTGAACCTAGTCAAAGATAAGTGTCAGAGGGGAGCAGAACTCCTGTTCCCTCCCCCTCCCGTTCAAAAGTCCCAATGTACCACATCCCATTCCAAGATTTGACCTCAGGTCTCATCCCTCTTCTGCCAATAAAGGAGTCTTGCAATAAAGGAGAAAAATGTTGCTGTACATGTTATAATGAGGGCCACCATGAATGTTCAAAGTACCACAAACAGCCCCCCTCCAAAAAGAAGCCTAAAGCAGAAAACTAACAAGCCCTTATAACGTTACAATGTCAGCAAGGCTACTTGTTTTACTTTATCCATGCTCAGGAAACCAATCTATTTTCTTATCACAGGAATTTAATGTTACTTGCTTTTTCAATGACTCAGAAAAAAACCCTTTTCAAAATTCATATTGTTTTTACCCTTCGTATTTCTGCAGTTGAGAAACCTGATGTCTTGAGCTGTTCGCATTCTTTATGTAGGTTTTTGAAGGCTTCCATTAGTTCTTCGTACTGCCAAAAAAAGAAAAAAATTCTTCTAAAACTTGTGCTACAGCATATTGACCCCTCAGCACTATATTGTTTACATTAGTTACATTCACATAGATCACAATAGTGAATCAAGGGCTTTTCTTCCAAGCTCAAATGAGCAGACCAGGAGACAACCCCCAGCCCTCAATTTTTCTGGCTTGCAAACTACAAGCCAGATAAAAAGTCACATTTAAACCATGTTTGCTAGCATTTCTCGATTCCTTAACAAAAACAAAAGGAACACACAAAATAAATATTTGCACTGGACAACAGCCAGAATTGTTGATCTCTGGTCATAAAATAAAATATTGCACATATAAAAGCTAGGTATCATCAGCAAAATCTCTTATCTTTTGCAACATTTAAACAACCTGCAATGGTTATATTGTTTTAAGGATGGTGTATTATTACAGTTTCTATTTTGAATAAGCGAGGAGATTATTGGAACATATTTTACATAATGGAAACTGCAGAGTTGTATCTTTATACAAATTAGGAGTGGCACACATTGAACAAACATACAAACTACATTCCTTTCTCTAAAGGCAGCTTTTGTTTAGCTATTTTATTTATAAATCTGGATACTGTTGATGGAGGGAATGTTTGCTTTAACTTCCATACAAGTCCAGGGCACTTTCTCTGCTTTTATCTGGCAAATGCATATACCTGAAGAAAAATGAGGTATTGTGTTATTTTGGCTCTTCTACCTACTACAAATTAATTAATTGTACAGATACTTTTTTTATTCTAGCAAAGCCCGTGGACCACATCTGATGGCAATAAATTCAAGATTTCTAGGAGGCAAGAAAAAGGACCAAGGAGGTATTGTCGGGAGGAGAGCAGCTCCCACGTTCTGCACTAGGCCTCGCAAGGCACTCTCTCCTGCAAGCAAATGCAAACCTACCAAGACACACAGCACTCCATAATTAAACAATCCCTGATGCATCTGTTTTGGGTTTATATCTTAGTGGGTTTTTTTTTTCATTTTCTTATACTTAGTCAAGAGTCCATCATTTACGATGCCTTTTGCATGGCCTGTGTGGTCCACAGCAGACTTATCCCTCATCAAGGGGACCTGCCAGCAAAACCTTCATCTGAACCCCCACTATTAACAAAATACAACCTGGGTAAGAAACACTTTGCAAACGCTACCTGTCTGTTGGTATCAGAAACTGTATCATCTTGCAGGAATTCGGCAGGCACTTCCACTTTGATCAGAAAGCGTGCAAGATAGGCCCTTTTCTTGAGGTCATTGGTTCGCTGAAGGAGCCAGTGCAAGACAGGATGAATGACCGGCTTGCTTCCAGTAACTAAACCTTGGCGAAACGTACTCCTAAGCAATAATAGTAAAATAAGCACAACATCCAGCTTTACCAAGACAATCAAGCCAGAAAAAAGAGGTCTGAAGCAATCATAACCAACAAGCTCTTCACCCCATTCCCACCACTTTATTTATTTAAAGTATTTTTATCCCACCCCTCAGCCAAATAGGCTATTGGAGCAGCTTATATATAATCAGTGAAACAGTGAAGCTGCCTGCAGGCATAACAATCTAAGAAGGTATGCTATGAAAAAAGGATGGTAAAGAAAAAAGGAAAATTAAGCCATCTCATCTTGCTTTATACCAAGTAAAAGTTTGAGAATTAGTAATACTAAACATTCACTAAAGCTCAAAGCACTTTACAACTATCTTTATTGCAGCATCCAATGGAGCTATAACCAATGAAGACTTTATTAATTTGCAGCATTTTAGTCCTGCCTCACAGATGCATAAAAGTATTTACAGATAGCTCATAAACAGTATAAAAACAGCAGCATATTTTGTTTTGCTTTCAAAATAAACAAAAACAAAAACCCAGCAGCATCAAAAACAACAGAAAGAGCCCCACCACAAGAGAAAGGTCTCACAAGAGAACTTGACCTTAAAAATATCTAGCAGCAATATACTCTCAATCCATTCTTGCCTCAACGGCCTTCAGCAGCCATCCACCAAACGACAGGCACGGACTGGAGAAGATGATCCAGAGTCAGGGCACCACAAGTACCACTGCCCCACTTCCAGAGCCAAGCAAACACAAAGCTGGGGCGCAGGTATTTTAAACACCTTGGAATACATCTGTGTGATGATGCAGCCCCTCAGCTTTGCTGCCTCGAGATTGTTTAACGTTGCAAAGCCCAAGACAAGCACTAGGATGTTTGCTACAGTTTTCTTTCCACTCTCCTAGCTGAGTTTCTGAGTCCAGCTATAGAAAGATGTTGGCATCACCTCCAGACAGAGATGCCAGAACGCCAGACAGCTGCAAGTTTCAACACCCTATTTGAAGACTGCATGTGTCTAAAGGCAAGAGAGACAGGAGACATGGCCACCCAGTAAAATTCTGAGCTGAGTGACCACCAGAGTCACAGGTCATTTTCTTCACTGAGTTATTATTCCCAAGCTAAGTGATGTGAGAACTGAATTAAGTCACTCGTCAAAGCCCCTGTGTGATCAAAGTTCATTGTGTTAAAAGTACCTCCAATTTTAATTTAGAGGAAGGGTATGGTTGAGTGATGGGAAATCTGAGAAACTGTTGTCTGGCTACAGTCCTAAAGCACAGGTACTAGCGAACAGCCCCCACTGAATACTGTGCAGTTTACTTTTAAGTAAATATGCTTAGACATAGGCAATTAACCTACTACAATAGCCCTCTGAGAACCTGCAACCACAGAACAATGATGGGAACACAGTAAGAAATTTCATTCTGGTCTATAGATTACGGCTGTCTGCAGAGATTGTAGAAAGGGGGTAGGGAACAGAAGATGATAATGTATTCATTATATCCTGGCCTCAATGAACATTATTAGAATAGTGTACAAAAATATCTTTTAAAAAGGAGGATAATTAAGATAACAATAGCAAATCTATAAAATAGCATTAAAAGAATTTGAAAAACAAAGGGAAAGGTGCTTAACAGGGCACAATAAAGAATAAGGATCACAGATTGGATTGTAGTCTGTTCAAAGATGGTGCAAGCAATCTCAGGCCAAGCTCAGTCAAGCCTTTGCACCCTTGCTGTCTCTTCTTAATTTAGCTCCACCCTGCTTGACCTCACCCCATGCCCACCACCCTCTATTCCACTCCGCAAAAGTTATCACATTAGCCACTATCTTTCAAGCCACCTGCAAGACTCCCTCCTCCTCCTGAAAAGCCACACATCGCCCAGGGCTGCTTCGTCTCCAAGCTACCAGTTTTCATCCGCCCACACCCCCACTACTTTCTTGCTGCTCCCCTTCAAAATCCGGTCCGCTTCCATCACCTCTGCGTATGCTGTGTGGGTGGTTTCAGGCAGCCAAACTCTAAGCCATGACCTTCTAATTATCATATCCCTGCATGAAAGCTACATCTATGTGAATGGCCACCTGGCTGCCTGTAAGGGCTGGCTGTGGGACAAACTCAATTGCCCTTGGAACCATATAGAAACGGGAGAGAATGTCCTTCCCGTCAGATGCATCCTGTGCTGGCTGCCACAGACTAGACATGGATCTAGCTGTTGTTTAGCAAGACTATAAAGCAGCCACTGTATTGCCCACGTTCACTTAAACCTACCTAGTCCCTTTGGAGTGTAAACACATGGGGAAGGGACCCTGGCATGCTAAGACAGTGACACCCTCTAGTGACCAGTGCAAGGAATACAAGGAGCTATAGAAGAAACAAGTTACAGAGGGATAGATGCTTAAGACATAGTTTGTTTTTAAGGATGCTATATGGTTCTTTGCTGTTTTCAAAGAAGCAGGGATTACAACAACAGTAACACATTCCAGCCAGCCCAAATTACAGCGCCATCCTCATCGTGTTCTCTTGGAAGTTTATTCTGTCTTCAGTCAGACTTATTTCCCTGAAATAAGCTTGCAGTTATGGGAAGATTTGTACATGACCGATCTCCCAAGACCCCACATTAAACAAAAGCTGTCCTTGGAAGCAGGTTCTAGAGCAACTGCCACTGCTTGCAGAGACACATAAGGAACATAAGATGATCCAACCAAAGGCCGATCTAGTTTGGCATCCTGCTCCTGCAGTGGCTAACCAGGTGCTTCCGGAAAGCCCACATTTATTTATTTATTTAAACATTTCTATGCCGCCCCTTGCCGAAGCCTCGGGGTGGCTCACAGCACAAATAAAATACAATAAAATACAAAAATAACAATATAAAATTAACAATATAAAATAAATAACAATATAAACAATATAAAAGATGCAGGACATAAAGCAACAGCACCTCCCTCCTTAAGTTCCCCAGCAGCTGGCCTACAGAAGCTTGCTGCCTACGAGGCTGAAGTTAATATGCAGCAGGCTTATGAGATGGATATCCATGGGATGCATCTAAACAGTAACTAACAAAAATGAGGAATAGCATATGTGTTAATGACACGGTGCTCCTCTGTACAGTACGATTACATGCCTTTGTAATTCTACGCATTCTTACAGGTTTAAATACCTTTAAGAAGATATAAATACTTACAAGTCACTGGTACCTCCCGGAGGTTTATATTTAAGAATGCCAAGAAGGCTCAACATCCGTTTGGCAGTCTGCTCTGGCAGTTCTTCCCTAATGTCAACAACATGCTGAAAAGTTTAAAAATAGTCAAGTAAATAACATGTCAAACTTTGCTACATGATGAAAGGAAACCTAGAAGCATGGGTTGTAAATTCCCATTTGGGCTCTGTGAAACCCTCAAAATAAGAGCCTGTTTGCACATAACAACAAGCCATGGTTCATTACTATGTGTGAATCCAAAACCATGGGTTGTTAATCATAAATAAACCACATTAAACCCAATCCAGTTATATACACATGCAATATAGAATGTACACATGTATACATTTTGAAGTAAACATACATAGGATAAGGCCATTGTTGTATTTCTAAGGTACAGATTTTCAAGAAATTTTCACTTTTGTTTTGTTTTAGGGAAAGCTGAGGGAATGAATGAAGGAAAAATCACAGAGACAGACAGAAAGGCAAGTTGTAGAGTACACATTTCCTAGGGAATGGATAAGGAGATATGCAAAGTACTGATGACACCTCAGCCTGCTATTGATGAACTGACCAGTACTTTTGAGCTTCCCTCCTCTACCTGTACTAGACCCTACTTAATATAATACCGGACAACTCTATTGCGTTCTACTCTTCTTGACGCAGGTCACTGTTGAAGAATGTAGCCTTTCTTTTATAAATACATAAATGCAGGAGACAGAATAAAAACTGGGATCAGTATGTAAAACAATTCTGCCCCACTTTTATGGGTTTCCCTTATGCTTCTGAGTCCGATCTGAGGCATTAATGCTAACCTATGAAGCCTTACATGCCTTGGGACCACAATACCTGACCGAGCACCTTTCCCAGTCTGAGTCTGCCCAGACACTACAGTCAACATCTGGGCCATCCTCCAAGTGCCATCTCTGAGGGAGACCTGGAACACAGTGACAAGTACTGAACCCCCATGTCATGGAACGATCCCTCTATTGAAGCCTGCTGGGCACCACCGTCTTTTTGGTGCCAGGTTAAAATACTAGCATCTTTTCTCAGGCACTTTTTTTTTTTCTCAGGCACTTAATGGTACGTAAGGGTGTTGGATGGTGTGACGGGGGCATTTGTGTAAGCTGCTTTGCATCAGTCTGGTTGTACTGGAATCATTTTAGCTATTGAATTGTCTTTCTACATTTTGTACATTAAAATATAGTTTCTGTACTGTTTTATTGCTTTGTGAATTGTTATGGACTGTTGGGTTGCATAGAAATGAAATGGATAAATGTTTTCTTCTGCAAATACCCAGTTCAGGAGTCCACCAGTAGAGAATGCCTGTTGCTTCCTCTGTGACAGGATAAATTGTAAGCTGAGTGGGAGAAGTAGCTACGCATGAGGGAGCTAAGGGCTGTAGGCAGCGAGTTGGAGATGCTGTGTGCATGTGCACTGTTAATTTATTGTACTGAAATGCAGGATACAAATCATAAGCAAATAACTGTATCTGCAAGCTGTGTAACACCCATATTTCTTCATGCAAAAGTTCAACCTTACCTTTGGGTCAATTTCTCCGAGAACATCATTGAGCAACTGTAATAGCTGCATGGACTCCAGTGAGTCAAACGTTATTAAGTTGAAATTCTTTTTAAAGGGCTCTTTATTGAGTTTTTCAACAATGAATTTCAGTTGCTCACTCATAGTGACACACTAAGAGCTACCTGCAACAGTGGAAAGAGAAAGAAATTGAAAGGACTTTGGAGAACTAATATCACAAAATGTATGCTCTCAATAAAAGCAATTTTAAAACTCTTATGGAAGGATATATGAGTGGAGCAAGGTGGGAAGCAGAGATGGGTAAGAGGGAGAATATCATTACCCCAGACCATGGATTCCAGCTTTTATTGATGGTCTGGGAAGTGAAAATATGTAATTTGTAGCAAACTTCTCCTGGAGCAAAAACAGAATTTAAAATCTTCCACTAGATCAGTCTTTTACCCTAACCTTCCCCGCCTTTACGGGAAAAAATAACAATTTGGTTTTGCTTACAAAAGAATTCTGTGGTATATTCACTGCTCTGATACCCATTTCTTCCCTCCATCGCTCAAAATTCAAGTTACAAAATTTGATGCCCCCGCTCCGCCCTTACCCAACCTTAAAGTTAAAATAACTTTATTTATTATTTTATATTGTTAACTTGTTTTATATTGTTAATTTATAGTATTTTAATTTATTTGTAAGCCGCCCCGAGGCTTCGGCGAATGGGGCGGCATAGAAATCTTCTAAATAAATAAATACATAACTTTCGTAACTCTGTCAAAATGGCACATACGTGGATGGCATAATCAACTAGCAATCGATCCCGCCTCTCCGAAGGAGGAGATCACTAAAAGGGAAGTGTGCAGAGGTCTGGATTTGCCCTGCCAGTCACCCCCATTTGGACGGTAAAGGTTAATATTGGGTCCCCTCCCGCTTCGCCCTGGAGCCTTTTCAAGCTGCTCCCCTCCATGAGCAGAAGGAAAACTAATCCTTGCAGCGCTTCCCTCCTCCCCCACGTCCCCCGGTCCTCCCAGCATTACTTCGCTTACCAAAAAGGCCCCACTCAGTCGCCGCTGCCCTTTCTCCACTTGGGTACATACAAAATCCCAGGAGCCAAACTCCTTGGCAACGGTTGCTAAGGTACGGTTGCGGGCGCGCTCCGGAGCACGTGACCAAAATGGCGGCGGCGGGATTGAAAAGAACCGAAACGTGCCCGTAAGGCGAGACCACGCCTCCGAAACCTCCGAGCGCGAGACGTTACCACGCGAGGGTAGGGCTGCGCATGCGCGATGCGAGGAGGCGGGAAAGGGGCTTGGGCTTGGTCTTGTGCGGCGCTTCGCTTGCCCTCCTGGGCGAGGCTGTTTCTGTCGACAAGAATTTCCCCCTAAAACGAAAGAGAAACGAGTATCAAGCTTTGTCAGGAAAAGCTTTCAGACAAATTAATTGCCAGTTTTAGCTGAGACTGATAGTTACAATAATACCAATAATACGTAACACTTTAGTAATAACAGTGTTATTATGAACAGTGTTCATAAAAGCGACAAAATAGGTAACAAGGGATGGGAAGAACTAACAGCAAGAAGAGGGCATTTCCCCTCAGTATATAATGAGAGTCCAATTCTATGTATTTCTAGAAAATAAGGTTGCAAGTCCAAACATGTCCTAGCCACATGGCTTGTTGGGGTATGTTGCCATCTGTAGGACATTTTTCCTGTAAAGGTGCATAGGATTGCCCAGTCAATGGCTTAATTCTAGGTAAAGCTAGGTGGAAGTAAGCCTTGTAGGGTTGTATCTACAATGTACTTAACTTGACTTTAATTTCAATCTGTTAGACCAACTTTGGATCCAACCCATATATTTCATGGAGGGTTTTTACTTCGTTCCTTCAGTCTTCCAAAAACCTTGGGGTTGTATTTATGGTTCCAATTCATTCTCACAACTCTCTTAATTTAGTTAGGCTGAGAGAGAACAAAATGCCCAGTTTTGTGACTGAATTTGACCTCTGGACTTAGCCTAGCACTTTAACTGCTAGCTGCACCCATTCTTACACTGCATTCACACAGATTTTTCTTCTACGTAATGCGGTACAGTGCAAGCACTACAGTTCATGAAAATCAGCAGCCTAAGGCATAGGGATAATTGCTGGGCAAGATGACATTGATTTTTAAACTAGGACAGCTATACGGAGATGAGGCCACTGCATCACGAATGGCTAATAGTCTTGATGGGAACTTCTTGAATGGGGTCATTAACAATTTCTCTCAAGAATAACATCTACCTGATAACGGCTGACACCAAGGGCTGGAAGATGAATTTTCTCATTTGGATGCGAAGCCGAAGTGGCAATTTGCATCTTGGGTATGAGAACAGTGATTTATTCCATGCTTCATGGCCTCTTGTTTTCTGTACTGTATTATAATAATGTTTATAACAATGCCTTCAGTTATTGGGACTGATAATGCAATAGCAGTAATATATTTATTAGGAATTAGACCCCCACTAAGGGTCAATCTGCTGTGAGAACAATAGGATTTACTTCTGAGTAATTCCCCTTGAACACACTTAGTATGGAGAACTTGTTGCCCTCTGGATGATATTGAACTTCAACGCCTATCATCTTTCACCATTGACCAAGCTGCATGAGACAGATGGGGACTGGAGTTCAGTGGCGCCGGAAGGCTAAAGGTTCCCCAGCCCCGCAGTAGGATTTCTTCTGAGTAACATGCACCGAATCGCATTTTCAGTCCACAAATGTGGGGTTGCACCATTCCATCTGATAAGCTCATCATATGCCCACGCACTCTATTATTTCATGCCCCATCAAAAAGCATGCCAAAAACTTTCTCCCTGAAACCCATCTTTGTATAACACAGTGAGAGCAGTTACAGGTTATATTTTCGTCCCAGATACAAGAAATGTCACTGAACTATTTTTAAAATTGTGCTTGTTGTTTGTTGCATGCTTTCCATAAAGGAAGCAAAGATCGTGCTGTAGTTTTGGTGGCTGATTTGCTCCTTAACTAAACGGTTTTCTTACTGTGCCTTTAAGTGGTGTGGTTTGGCTGTCTGGCTGGGTGTGTGGCCACAGAACAAGAGGCTGAAGTTCTGTGAGAGGCGGATTTTATCCTAGATCATCTTCTTTCTCCCCCACCTCACCCCATCATGGCTGCGTGCTGCAGTTTGAAGAACGTGTGTGAGTATGAAACCAATAAAGTTGTGCGTATCCGGAGCATTTACTACGGGAGCCTCAAGTGGGCTATCCATACTGCTGTCTTCCTTTACGTCGTGTAAGTTGAACACATGCGCTAGCAATGACTGAAAGGGAACATGAGCAACTGACTTGGGCTGTAGATCTTGAAAAGAGGCTCTTATTGAAATCAAACCAGTATTACTCATGAATGCTTCCAGGTGAGGTTTTCATTCTGCCTTGTGGAATTTTACAGAATTCCTCAGTGCTTCTTCCATCTTTTTCCTGACTAAGTTGCGGGGGGGGGGGGGGAGTCTGTTGAGGAGGAAAAGACAGAATAGTTCATAACTTGTAGTGCTGATTGTACTTCACCTGGAAGCATCCTCTGATTTCCAGCTTTGAATAAATACCAAGTTGTATGCATCACTCTCAAGTTTAAGCTGTAAAGCTGTATATTGGTATACAAGTCAATTGTTGTAGATTTATTCTGTGCAAGTTAAGCAGAAACAGTAACAGCTTATAAGACTATATGGTGTAACTTAGTGATAGAATTAAAAGCCTGAAAGGATTGCATGTAAATGTTGCACTGAAGGGAGATATTTGCCAGAAATCTAGCTTCATTACATCAGAATGCAGTATTGAAGAGGAAACGCCACTGGAAAATTCTCTCAGCTCTTATTGTGGTTTCCAAACCACATCCCCAGTTACTTGGAGATAAGTTTTATTTATATAATTGTGTTTCCCTTTCATTACAATGCATGTAGAGGTCAGCGTGTGCTATGGAACAATAGCTCCCAGCTTGATGTCGCCCTCAGATGTGTTGGGTCACTCCCTCATTTATTATTTATTTATTACAAGCATTTGTATCCTGTTTTCCCACACAAGCACTCAGGACAGCTTATATAGTATAAAATTCTGAAAATACAATAATTAAACCACATTTTTTAAAACATCTAAAACTGAAACATTATAAACTAAAAAATAAGAAAGGGAAAATAAAATAGGAAGTGCGACTGTGAAAACAAAACAAGTCTAAAACCCTTAATTGTTAAAATGATGGTTAAATAAAAAGGTCTTTACCTGGTGCCAGAAGGAATATAACGTCAGCGTCAGGCAGACCTTTCTGGGCAGTGCATTCCATTGTCTCATCTGGTTGGGGATGATAGGCATTGCAATCGAACATATCTGGGGGCTGGCAGGAACCAGGCTGGGGAAGTTAAAACATAAAAGCTTTCTTCCATGTAAATACTCTTGATATGACTTCTTCCTCAGCTTTAGTAAATGATTTCAGTAGAAATTGCTGTGCAATTCTGTCCATATCTACTCACAAGTAAGTTCCACTAAAAAGCTGCCAGTTTTCTAGGATTTTAATCCATAGTAAATATGCCCAGATTTGTGACTAATGTGTAATTGTATGTACAGTTTATAGTAACTAAATTATAATTAACTCACTGAGACTTACTTATGAGTAAACTTACCTAGAATTAGGCTGTACATAGACATACACAGTGGGGTATAGTGACTGAGAGGCAAAGTTGTGATGCTAGAAAAGTTGTATCATTCGCTGGCTGGCTTGAGCAAACCGTGCCTGTCTCAGTTCAGTACTGCCACAAGACGATGATTATAACATTGGCCTACCTTACAGGGTTGTTATAAAGATTACAAGATAATCTGAAGTGCTTTGAATACTCTAAAGTTCTAAGGGAACTTACTGAAAGAGGCTTCCATGAGGGCAAATTCCTAATGGATAGCTGTGTTAAGTTGAATGCAGCAAAAACAGAGAGAGAGATTTGTGACAACTTAAAGACTAACAGATTTATTGTAACATTAGATTTCATGCGCTAGAACCATGTGATGGGGCATTTAAGATGCTGCAAGTTTTTTGTGAATGCGTTTTGTGCTAAAATTATTTTCTTAAATAATGCTGTTATGAAATAGTTCTTTTTATGGACATAATAGTTGTTTTTTAGAGGAAGGAACTACATAGCAGTTTGGAAACAAAATTACATTGGTACTTCAATCCTAAACATGTTTACTTAGAAGTGATTTCAAGGGAAGAGGTAGATACAAAATTCCAAGCACTTACATTCAAGATTACATTGTTAAATATGTACTCCTTACAAATGTAACTCCTTACATTTAGTGTACTCTCTGTTGTTACTATATAAAGCATTTCAATCTACTCTTCAGCAGAAAACACACTATCCAAAGTAAAAGATGTGGTATTTTATTAACATGAAGTTCCTTCTAATACAAGCAGCCCTTTGTAAGTTGGCACATGACCTTTCCACCCACACATGATGTGACCAGCTGCTCTTAAAGAGACACTTTCAACATAATGGAGAATAATGAATGCTCCATATATTCCATGGGCAGATAAATGTCAAAATAGCAACTTGTTTATTTAATTAGTGGATTTATACCCCGCCCCTTAGCCAAAAAAATGTGCTTTAAAGTTTTTTAAAGCTTTTGGTAACAGAGGGGGTGAACAATGCTTTTGAAACAAAGGAGCCAAGATCTCCTGTAGCTTCAAGGGCCAGGTAGAGGAAGTATTTCAGCAACCTGAACTGCTGTCAAAAGGGCCTAAGCAGGCCAGCAGGCCACCCCTACCATGTACCCTGCAGGTAGTTTAGAAGGGGCCAGTTTTCTTCAAGTGCCAGTTCTTTGAAAAAAAAAAAAAAAAAGACTTCTTTAGGGCTAAGTCTTTCAACTGTGTCTCTTTAGCATCGTACTTATTGCTGATAGGCGCTATCAGAAGAAGGACTCTGTCATCAGCTCTGTACACACAAAAGTGAAAGGAGTGTCTCAGGCTGACATGAGGATCTGGGACACTGCAGAATACACAATCCCCATGCAGGTGAGTGTCCTCTTGAAGTGGTTTCCAGGGATGTGACCATTGGTTTTCAGTGTTTGGTTATTTATTTATTTAGAATATTTGTATGCCGTCCTTTCACAAATCCTCAGGATGGCTTACATAAATAAATAAGAATACCAATATAAAACAATTGGTTTGGTTATAAAAAGAAAAACCCTGCTAGATCAAACGAAGAGCCCGCCTAGTTCAACATCTCACCTTTCAGAGTTGCCAGTTGGGTGCCGCTAAGAAGGCTTTATTTAGATTTGTGCTGATTCCCCTCGATGCTCAGAAAAGTTCTTAGCCCCACCCTACACCAATTGTCTGTCTATGGACCTGGAAGCAGCATTTTAAAGAGGATCAGCCTCTTTAATTCGGCCCCTCACACTGCATCAATCTGATAGTTAAATCTTTCTCCATTGGCCTAAAACAGGTGGTATTCTTCTGCAGGTCTGAGTGTTCATAAATGGACAGCAACCTACTGAATTTAAGAGATGTGCAAGAATTGTACAGTGCATTGACTAAGTTAACCTCCTTTGTGACTCTTTTCTCTCCTTACTTTTTCTTATCTGTGCAGGGAATAGATTCCTTTTTTGTGATAACCAATACGATCGTGACAGAAAACCAAATCCAGGGACTTTGTCCTGAGGTAACTGCATTTTGTAAGTGATCTTACAGTTGCATGAGGGTGGAGAACTAATTCTTTCATCAACAGAAGAACATGTGTTGATTATTGTCTCATTACTATGGAAACCCTTCATCAGTGGGAGTTGAGTCATCTTTCCTACCTGCTGACTTCATTGGGTAAAAATGTTGAACTTGCAACAACTAGTCCAGACATACATGTTTGCACCTTTCATTCAAGCTTGAATGTGCTGGTAATTAGTAACATGCATTCAGTCCTGCATTTCATTTTGCTGAGGGGACAAATTTGAGAGTTTGGTATGTGGTGGAACTTCTGAAATAAACGGGCTTTTCTGCCTCAAATTCCATACCCCTTTCTCCTTCCATTTAAAGAATAAAAGAGAAAAAAAAAACTCTGCTGAATCAGACCACAGATCTTTCTACTTCAGGATTCTACTTGTACTTAAGGAGGAAGGAGGTGCAGGATCACATCCCCCCTCTACTTCCTTCTACAAGCCCCATAAAGGTTGTCCATGCCAGTATTAGTTTCGTCTATAGCGCAACATGCCTACACCCACACTCATCAGTTCTCTGGGCAGGAAGAGGTGTGATGGGTGCATTTCTGTTTACCACCAGTGGCAGTCAGCATTCTGAGCCCACTGAACACACTCAGTCTTCATTGCTGTGATTTGTGCTTTTTTGCTCTCAGATTTTTCCCTCTAAAAATCGTTAATACTTCAAATCCAGAGGGTCTCCCAACCCAGTTGATAATGTCCCTCTTTTGCTTGGGTGGTACATAAGCAGCCTGAACACTGGAAATAGAGGGAATGGTATACAAGAAGTATACAAGCACTTCTGCATAGCAGTTCTCCAAGCAGTACCCTAGTTTACCTACCTTCAGTTAGAAACGCTCAGCTCCCTCCTTCTCTTTGCCCATTCCAACTGAATTTTCCATCTCATTTACTCTCCTTTGCCTCTTCCTTCTGCTGGGGTATCTCCTTCTTCAGAAACACAAGAGAGATCTACAAAAATCCGGGATCATCTCCTAAGTATTAGCTCTCACTGATGAAACACTGATGAGGCAGCATAAAAATCAGCCTAATATAGGAATGGCTGTGCTAGCAGCTATGCATGGCCCCCGTAAGCAAATCGGGGAGGCAGGCATAGACGGAAGGCTGAAGGAAGGCATTGCGTATTGCTAGGTACTGAAACATGTCTTGTATATTTCTCTGTGTGTGTGTGTCTCGAAGTACCCCATTGCCAAAGCTGTTTGCTCTACTGACAGCAGCTGTATGAAAGGTCGCATGGACCCCCAGAGTAATGGTAGGTGGAGTTAATCTTTAACATATGCAGATGCCTTCTGCAAAGTGAATTAAGGTGGAAAAACTACACAAGGCACAGATAGCTAGCTGGGGATTTCTGGGACTTGTAGGATCTGTTTCTGTCTAAACATGCATAGAATTGTCTCCTTGAGCTTTATTCTTCCATTACATCACTGAGTAATAGTCAGCCCTGAATCCATATTGGCCATAATGAGCAGAAGCGAAGCTAGAACTTGTTACTGATTAATCACTTGGTAGGATTGCACTTAATTTTTGCAATCACTTAAAAATTCTAGAAATTAAACTCAGATTAGTATAGAGCATTGGATGAAGTGCAAACTGCTCAAGCGATTTATCATACATTCAGATATAAACTACGTGCAAAATGACCAATGCAGAGATCCCTTTAAGGGCAAGGATTTTCACACTGGGTTACTGCCTGATTAGTAGGTTTAATAAACCACACAAACATACATATGTGTGCGCGTGCATGCAAATTACTTGTCATGCAATTAGACTTAGCATGTTTTACATATTTATTGAAAGTATTGGACTTCCAGAGCGTTTTTATACGAGACATTTATGTGCTTGTGATCCTTACTCATAGTTGTGGGTTGTTTAGATGATACCATGATCTTCAACTTAGCCTTTTCAGAGGACTTTCCTGGGGTTTTTTCTAGAGCAGAAACAATGCATTAATGTGTACATCTGCACAACTCCACTGTAGAACAGCTCTACCTACAGGTTATGGAGCAGAAAGGCAGAAAAGGAAGCACTGTTTGTTATGCAGCAAACCTGAAAGTAGATTGAACAATCAACAGCCTCATGCATAAAAATTCTCAGTCACAAGACATTTCCAGTTTGGCCTACAGAGTTGTGAACATTATCTTTGTTTTAGTTGGTAGAGGAAGAACCTAGCCTCAGGATGAAAGTCGCTCTTGAGTGAAAGTTGATTTATCTTCTCTACAGGAATTCAGACAGGCAAATGTGTGAAGTACAACACAACTATCAAAACATGTGAGGTTGCAGCTTGGTGCCCTGTGGAATCAGTTAAAAGTGCTCCAGTGTAAGGTGTTTTCCATAGTTGTCTTTGTAGTTGTCTTAACTATGTAACTCAACATAACACTGTGGGTCTAACAGTGTGGACTCCAGTCCTTAGAAACTGATTTCATATTAAACTTGCTAGTCTTTAAGATTCCACAAGACTCTTTATTGCATCTTCATGTTAATATCTGACTTCATTCTATTCCTGGTGATAATTATAATAAAGTCAACTCAGAAATATTTACAGTGCCAGAAACTACCATTAGTCTCATTCACAGTTCCAATGAACTGTCTAGTTTGTTCAGCATTAAGCAAATGATGAATTTCCAGGTAATATTTATATATTATAAATGTATGGCAAAGAGCACAATACTTACCATATATGTATAGCATTTTGTTCAACCAAAGAGATTCCCAGAAAAAGCTATCCCTGCCTGATGGCTCACTATGTTAAACAACACAAAAGGAAGGAGGAGAGAGGGGGGAAAAGAAAAACCAAATAATAAATTCTTAGTTGCAAAATCTAGCAAATCTAAACAAAGTGGAAATGCTGCTGCTTCCTCTGAAGTCCTCGGCAGTGGGGTTGGTAGTAGAAGGGAGCAGGGCTCTGGACATTGGGGGAAATGGACTCCTAAGCTAGGCAGGAATCGAAATTACAGTCTTCTGATCCATAGTCAGATGCCTTATCCATTTGCTAAACGGAAGCTTGTTTGAAATCTTTCGTCTGTGTCTTTGGTCATCTTTTAGGCCTGCTCTTCTGAGAAGTGCTGAAAACTTCACTGTGCTCATAAAAAACAACATTCACTTTCCAAAATTCAATTATACAGCGTAAGTGCAAATGCATGTTTTAACTGTTGATGATGACAGTCTCTTCCCTCTTGTTCTTGGTGAATCAGTCTCTGTCACTATTTTGGGAAGGTGATGAGTGTGCCTTTTTAAACTGGTGTCTTTGTGAATTGCTACATTGATCTACAGGGTTCAGCTGCCACCATCAATCTGTTTAACTGATTAGAATTTATTTTAAACCACAATCTCTGATTTTAGGGTAACAATAAGTCAGTATTTTTGGGAAGCAAAACCAAACCTACCAGAATGTGGGAGAAGCAGAGGGCTTATGAACCTGAGGCTTGGCTTAAGCTTTTTCTGCCTCATGGATGTAGCATTAAATCTTGGCTGAGCATTATCTGTGAATTCTCTCATTGTTTACCATTTGGAGCCAGGTTATATAAAGCCATATTCGTAAATTTCTTTACAATATTCAAATCAGTCTCAGTTGAACTCATATGCTTACAACACTGTGTGTTTATGAATTATTGCTACAATCCTATACATGTCTACTCAGGCGTATGCACCAATGCATTCAATGAAGCTTACTTCTTGAGAAATGGATATAAGCAGCCTACATATCTCCTAGTGAGAAGTTAACACAGCGACAATAAGACAATATAGACAATAGTGTTTTTGTGTATCTTTTTAAATTGCTCTTCCTGACAGAATATGTTCTGTATTTTAAAATTAGCTCTATGTTGTCTAGGAAATGCAAATATTTTCCCCATTCTTCTTGCAGAAGAAACATTTCTCCAGAGTTTAATATTTCCTGCACGTACAACAAGATCACCGCTCCATACTGCCCAATTTTCCGGCTGGGGGATATTCTCCACGCTGCAGGAGAGAACTTTTCAGAAGTGGCTGTTCAGGTCTGTGGCCTCTCTAACACTTTTTATGCTGCTGCTTCCAGAAAGAACTTAGATGAGGGCACCCTATATGGTGTTAGTACGTATTTGCTTACCTACCTATTGGTTACTTTACAAAGCTTCATATGGAAGGGGAGCTGTCCCTGATCTGCTCTGAAAAGTAGCAAAGCAGACTATTTTAGATTAATTAAAATAACTAATCAGCAGTGAGCAACTTACGGCTCTCCAGATGCTTTGGCCTACAACTTTCACCAGCCCTAAGTAGAACAGCCATGTTAAAAGAGCACACCTTACTTTATCTTTCAAGGGCGGCATCCTCGGCATTGAAATTAACTGGGACTGCATCCTGGACAACTGGCTTCACCGTTGCAAACCCAAGTATGGATTCCGTCGCTTAGATGACAAACGAGCCAGTGAAGCTTTGTATCCTGGCTACAATTTTAGGTAAGGGATGCTCTTAAAAATCCTGCTAAACTCAAGATTATACTTACTTAACTAATGGACAAAAGAGAGGAGACTTGAAGCTTCCTGTTGATCTGCAGACTAATGGAGATGTTTCTCCCTTCCTTTTTTTTTTTTTTTAGAGGTGCAATTCAGAAAGTATATCAGTCAGTCCCCCCCCCATTAAAATGCATTTTAATTAGGCTTATTTTGTATTTATGCATTTGTTTTATATCCCACTTATAACAAACTCAGAGCGGCATGCATCATTTTCCTACTACTACTCTTAATCTTATTCCCACAACAGCCCTGTGAGGTAGGTTGGGCTAAGAGTCTGTGATTGTTCCAAAGCTACCCATCCCATCTGGCGCCATGCCAAACAGGGACTAGAACCCAGATCATCTGAGGCCCAGTCCCAGGCTGTAAACCACTGCAACACACTGACTTGCTCAGAGAATTGCAACACTTTGGTAATTCTGGAGTGGTGGCGCAACTGAATGCATTTCCAGGCAGTGGTCACATGCACCAGTCATGTTGGTACAGCATGCTAGCCACCCTTAATCTCAGTGTCTGTTCTATTTTTGACTATTCCTGACTGCTTTTTGTCTCACCACATTTCCAGCGATTCTCTTTCTCCTTTCACTTCCTCATTTGATGCTACAGACCCCAAGAAGTTGACTTAATCCATTTCAGCAGGGCTTATGTAAGAGGGGCTCATGATTATTTTTACCCCACGTCTCCATCACATAGATCCGCATCTGAGCAAGAACTACTTGTTTTGGAAATTAGATATTTCTCATAGAGAATGCCACTTTACAGAGAATACAAAATAATTTTACCCGAATTGGAAACTGCAGCTCACAATATCTGAAGCATCCATAGAAAATTAGCCATGTGATTGCCAGTAAAACATGCCTCAGCAAGAACAGAAATCATGAAACAGGCGAGCAGAGTGCATTCAGTTAGTATGCTGAAAGGGAAAGAACAAGTAGTACTTGGTGATCCGGCAGACAAATGAGATACCTGAAGGTGCAAGCACAGTGAAAGGAAAACTTGCCTGCAGAATGTGAACAAACACGTAACAACTTGGAGGGGGGAGGATTCGGGTTCTAGGAGCTGCCTTTCCACTTTAATCCTCAAAGATTAAAGGTATTTAGGATTAAAGGTGTTTTCCTGTTTAGGATCACAGACAGTATATCAGGAACTGAGTGTTCCGTATAAATGCTGTGGGGGAAAGGAGATCTTTCAGCCAGTGTGGAGTTCAGGTAAATCCTCACTGCGTTAAAATTTGCAATTGTGATCTCTTGCCAATTGTTGTTTGGTTGTTGTAGATTTGCAAAGTATTACAAGCAGGCCGATGGAAAGGAGGAGAGGACACTGATCAAAGCCTACGGCATCCGCTTCGACATCCTCGTCTTTGGCACAGTAAATGGATCCACATTCTCCTTCATGACTTCATTTTAGATCTAGAGAAACAGGAATGTTAGGGCCCACCTTGACATGATGCTACCTGCACAGGTAGCAATTGCATGAACGTTTTTAATTAATTCAATAATGAGCATTCCCCCACCATCCCCCGGTCCAGATTCAGACTCTAGCAGGGAAGGATGGGAGAGTTAACACTGCCTCTTGCTGAGGTCCCGGTTGAGACTATGCCAGCTGCACCTGCTCTTTGCATTGGAAGCAAAGGTTCTACTGGCATAAATGGGAACTTTTCCAGCAGATGACGGGAGGTACTATCTGATGTGTGCATGCTTAATTTGAAATACTTTCAGCTGTTTTGTACTGCATTGCAGTGATCTTACAACCCTCTGCCCACGGCTTCTGCACTCTTCTATTCTCTCCTATTTCTGGAATTAGGCCTGACTCCAAAAAACAAAGCTGCTGGTGCTTTTCAAAGAGATGTGCGAGAAGCAATTACTCTAAATTCTTTTGTTCTCTTTTCCTTTCCCCAAAGGCAGGCCAGTTTAATTTCTTTGAGCTGCTGGTGTATGTAGGTTCTGCACTCTCCTACTTCGGCCTGGTAAGTTGCTGTTTCCTGCAGTCAAGTCATCCTTCTCATGATGGGTCCAAAGTATGGCAGCTTCCGTTATTTCATTTTTACTTCCAAGACAAGTTCTGGCTTGATTTGACCTAGGATCCACTTATTCATCTTTCAGTTGGTCCAGAGTATGTGTAGAGCTCCCTTCTAGCTCCATTTTCCAAATGCCTCCATTTTCTTCCTGTAAGTTTATTCACCGTCCAACTTTCATACTTAAACACAGTGATTGGGAATGCAATAGTGTGAATGATCTGAGCCTTGCTGTCCAAGGAAACATCTTTACACTTGGTGTTTTTTTCCTAGTCTCTTTATTGCTACCCTTCCAAGTCTCCACCCCCTTCCAATTTCTTGGCTGCAGTCTCCCTTCAAATTGATGATTGATCCGAGGCATGCAAAATTGTTAACAATTTAAATTTCTTTATTGCTGACATTAAAGCAGTGTAATGCTTCTGTAGCCCTGATTTTTATTTTTGTAATGTTTGGCTGCAATTTGCACTTTCACTTTCATCAAAGGTGGTTTCAGTTGATTGCTGCTTTCTGCCAGTCATTTGACTGGTGGTATCTGCAGTATGGATGGGATGAACCCTAATGGAATCTGTCACAATACTATTCCTAGACGACCTTTCATGCTCAGCTTTGCAAAGCTAACTGAGCTGAGAGGAAAACCCTCCTAAAATTGTGCATTACATTAAGGTGGTATCCAAGAGCGGGTGTTTTAAAATGCTGTTATATTTTACCATTCTAAGTGAGTTCTTTTTTTTTTTTTTTTTTTTTGCGGAGGGGGGCGGAAGTAGAATAAGTGTTTTACTGTTATCATATTTTAAAGTTAACACTGTTTTGTCTTCACAGGCTCAGTTTGTTGTTGATTCTCTGATTAAGTCATATACTTTACCCTGCTTCAAAAGCAACCCGGTGAAGGAATTCTACTACCAAAAAAAGTGTGAGTCAGTGCCAGGACCAAGATGGGTAAGAGTTGCAATTTACCATAACATTCCATTATTACTCGTGCATGGAGTTTACCTCACTGTAGGAAGGATGGTCAGAAATGTTGTGAAGATTTTCTTCTTTTTGCCTTCCTTTCTCCCTCCCTCTCATCAGAACTGTGCCACGTAAATGTAAACTCCAGTACTGGAGAGGAGAATCCCATAGCCTAGATCTAAAGCAGAAACAGAAATGCTAGAAAGAAATCTTTCTGGTGTTCACCAGGGTTTTTCCTCCTTTCAAATTTTAAGAAGTGGTACAAAGAAGAAAAGAGCAGCCTACAAAAAGTCAGAAAAAGAACTAAAACAACTATTTAACCCTTTATTGTTATGCCATCATGACTATGTTAGAGGTGGAAGGTATGTGCAGGCATTTACTTTGTGAATTGCAACACCTTTATCACTGCAGCAAAGAAATCTCATGATCCTAACAACCAAATAATGTAGATTTACATGCTGGGAAGAGAAAACATTCTTGCAATAGATATGGTTGCTAGGGGAAAGAATTTAGACTCCTTGCTGTCACTGAGTAAAAACTGCATCATTATTGCTTACTAAAATGATAGCCATGATAAGTTCTATGTGCCGTAATTGCAGGTGTAAAACTTAATCTTGAAATTGTTGGCTATATCTTCAGGTACAAGTACAAGTAAAATATCTGGTCTCTTCAGTGAAAAATCCAGGGCTGATGCGAACACTTCCTTGTTTTTCTTTTTCTGAACAGACTCTGCTGTATGTGTCTTTTGTGGATGAGTCACACATCGTTATGATTGACAAAATGTTGAAGACGAGCCTGCAGAATATTAAAGGCGAGATTATTCCGGTGAGCTAGGGGTGTTCATTTATATGTATGTGCATTTGCCCTGCGTACATTCACACAGGTGTTTGAGCAGATGGAAATGCGCAAAAAAGGGGAGTGGCCTGGACATAATGCTAAATTATAATGCAGCATTACAATAACAAACCTCAGTAATATTTGGGGGAACTATATTCCTTCCTTTTTCCTGGACACATGAAGTTGGCTTGTTTCCACTAACCATACTTTTGATGAACTGAACTGTTGAAGGACATGTTATTCTGTGGTAAATGTACAGTGGATATGGAAGCTTCTCATCTCTCCCTTGCAGCTGTAACACCGAGAAAGGAAAGAAGGAGCTTGTGAGGTTGAGACAACGTGCTTAGAAGGGGCAGATAGAATGAGCTGGGCAGAAAAACCTGCGGAAAGTGAGGATCTAAGAAATGGACATGATGCATGGGGAACTGTGCTCGATTTTAGGGTCACTGAGGAAATCCAGGGTAGGGTTAGGGTTAGCAAAACTAAGGTGGTTCTGGTGCTTCCGATGCCTGGAATGTGCTTAGAATGGGCAGATAGAATGAGCTGGGCAGAAAAACCTGCAAAAAGTGAGGATTTAAAAAATGGCCCTGATGCATGGGGAATTTGCCCTATTTTAGGGTTACCCAAAACATCCAGGTTAGGGTTAGGGTTAGCAAAACTAAGGTGGTTCTGGTGCTTCCGATGCCTGGAACGTGCTTAGAATGGGCAGATAGAATGAGCCGGGTGGAAAAACCTGCAAAAAGTGAGGATTTAAAAAATGGCCCTGATACATGGGGAATTTGCCCTATTGCAGGGTTACCCAGGAAATCCAGGGTAGGGTTAGGGTTAGCAAAACGAAGGTGGTTTTGTGATTCTCTGCGTATTAGGTATAGCCTAGTCATGACATCAGAAGTAGTTGGTTTCTTTCAAGTCCAGTGTCCTTTGCCCCAACTCATATGGTACGTGTGTTATGCGTGGCAGATACTATACCATAACATTTTCATTATATCATGCATGTGTTGTCTCTTGACTGCAGAGACATATAAGCAATATTACACCTGTCCTCAAACTTTCACTGCAACATCTGGAAGAAGTTGCATCTCTTGGAAACTCTGAGGAACTACAACCCCTTCAAAGGAAAGAGGATGCCTCTTCATCCCACAAGCGTCCTGCTTGGTGTGTCTGTGGAAAATGCCTCGTAGCTCAGCCCTACTGGGAGCAGCTCTGTTGCCGAAGGAAGGCTGGGCCATGTATCACAACTTCAGCTTTGTTCAGCCAGCTTGTGCTCTCCAGATCAATGCTGCAGTTTGTCCTCCTCTACAATGACCCCTTGTTGGACATGAAGACAGAGAATTTCAACAAGAAATTTCGGCACTGTGCTTACAAACAGTACATTCACTGGCGCTTTGGAGATGAGGAGCTGGAGCAAAGGGCCATGATACCGAACTGCTGCAGGTGGAAAATCAGAAATGCTTTTCCTAGTGAAAATGGCGAGTACACTGGCTTCAGGAAGAAGTAGTAATCTTTCACCAAGATTTTATTCTATAGCATTAGTATAAACAGGGGTAAAAGATTCAGTGAGTAGGCATTGCCTCCTCTGTTAAAGACTCTGTCCCTGCCAAGCAGCCCCTTAATGTCCGACCCATCACGACCCCATGGACAACATTCCTCCAGGCCTTCCTGTCCTCTGCCATCCCCTGGAGTCCACCTAAGCTCACACCCACTGCTTCAGTGACTCCATCCAGCCACCTCATCCTCTGCCTCCCCTTCTTCTTTTGCCATCTATTGTTCCCAGAGCCCCTTAATATTTGCATATTATTTGTTAGACTAAACTACAGAGATCTGAGTTCAAATCCATGGAGCTCACTGGGTGACCCTGGGCCAGTCACTTTCTTTGCCTCAGCTTACAATATTTCTGCGAAGATAAAATGCTGGGGGAAGAATTAGGTATGCTGTACATTGGGGAAGTGACATAAATGGGAATGTACAAGCTTGCTCAGTATTTCCTCCTAGTTGATGCTTGAAGGAAACACAGCTGGCACTGATTAATGCCAAGGCCTACTTGCTTTCTGGATCTCCACCTGCCGAGCAAGCAAGTTCTAGTGATGATGAGAAAGAAACTGAGGGGACCTTTATACTTTGTGCTTAAGCCATTAAAATAGACCAAGCCCTCCGAAACAGAACAATTGCTTATGCATGAGAATGCGTAAGCCTTGTTGATGCAGATCCACTGTGAATCCCTCCATTTCTTTGTGTATCTTTTTTTATTAGGCCAGTCATCTCCATTACAATAATTTCAGTAATTATTTTACATTGTGCCCCAGTTCATCCCAAACCAAAGGAAAAGGGCTCTGGGGAACAGATCTTCTGTTCTAGGAAATTTGCTTGGGACTGGAACCCCTCGGGGGTGGGGTGCCAAAGTCCCAGGCCAAGCAGAGCCCCTGCTGCCAATCCCCACACACAAGACCATCGTTGCCCCCACTCAGTGCCTTGGCACGTGAGTTTGGAAATGTTGCTTTCTACTATTCAAGCTGTTTTGCTTTGAATATTTGCAGTGAGACAAAGCAAACCACCTGGCACACTGAGATATAGAAACATAGAAACAGAGTGAGTCAGAAGGGGTCTTCCAGGCCATCTAGTCTGACCCACAGCTCCAGCCGGCTCTGCTCATGACATGCCCACCATAGCTCAGTGGTAAAAAGCTTGTTCTTCATTTAGAAACTCCCAAGTTTGGCTCCCACTCTGCCTGGTTAGAAGGATCAGTGGGCAGGTGAGGAGAAAGCCCTTGCTGTGCAGAGACCTGAGAAGATGTCATCACCAGGTGGAGCAATTGCGTTTGGACTCGGCAGAAGAGCACTCTCTGTTTTTGAAAAGTGGCTGCACACAGCCATGGATGATTCACTGCTAATGCTGTTTTGATGATATGCTTATGAAAAGCAAGTTACTTGTTTTTAGTCAGAGTTAATAAACTTAAGAGTTGTTATTAACCACCCAACAAACTTCTGTTGATGTGTCTCAGCTTGCATAGGATTGCTCTGTTAGTGTTATTTTTTAAATTTGTCTGAGGCTGCTGAGCAAAAGCCTGTGCTCATATTTTCACCCTGAGTTACAATGTTATACATTTGCTTTAGGAACTACAGAATCCATTTTGCTACTGCATTTCAGTTTGCTGTTTTTCATGTCTTCATATTGATATCCTGTCTCTTCATATTATGATAAAAGCTTTGTACAATATACTGCTTAGGTAACTCATTGTTACCTGCTTTTCTGCTTTTCTTCTTTTAAAAATTTATTTAGGGTTATGTACAAGAGAACACAGAACATAGTTGAGCAACTAATACTGGAACTACCCACTTCCAGAGGAGGCTACCAAATGCATCTCTGAATGAGTCGCTGGCCTCCCAGTCACCCCAGGCTAGAAATGCATATTTTTGCACTGAGAGTGAGTTAGGATACTTCTGTTACCTCTGCTGTAAAACAACTGGCAGAACTCCTCCTCCTCCAAGGAAGCTAATCCCCCGCATCTCTGCACGATGCCTGCTCTCCTTTCACTCGCCTCAGCAACTCACTTGCCCGGCAACGACGGATACTCTGCGCGGTTTTGTATTTGGAAACGGAACCCTTCCTCTCCCGGCACCTGCCCAGGTAAGTTCAGCCCCTTCTCCAGCACAGCCTTCGCTCATGATGTAGTGGGCTGGCATGCTGGGAGCTGTAGTCCAACTTGCTTGGAGTTGCGGGGGGGAGTGCCTGCTCGCTCATCGCAGAGCGCATTCCCAGTGCGCGGTTTATTTTCTTTGCCCGGCGCCCAGGGGAGGCGGGGCGCGTGTGATCCCGGGAGAAACCTCCTGGTCGCTTGCTTGTTTCCTTGCCAGGCTCAGCTCGCTCGCTCGCTCGCTCGCTCGGACGACGCGCTTCCAGGCGGGCGGCGGCGCGTCCTGCGTTCGTCGGCAGTCGCCGAGCCGGGAATCTCGGCGCAGGCTCCAGCGGCCCGAGGAGGCTGGCCAGCCTTTTAGAGCCCACGCGGTCACTTCGGCATTTCGTCCTTTTTTCAGGCCTCTTGCAACATGTGGGAAAGCGGAGAGGAAGCCGCGGGATCTCGGGCTTGCTGAGCTGGTGGCGTCTCTGCCGCGCCTCGCCTCGCCTCGCCGCCTCCTTCCTGCTCCATTCCCCGGGAGAGGAGGAGGAGGAGGATCCTGGTCGCTGCCATGGCTGGCCCCGGGAGGCTCTGCGGGGTCTTGTACAGCTTTCTCTTCGAGTACGACACGCCTCGGATCGTGACGATCAAGAGCCGCAAAGTGGGGCTGATGAACCGGCTGGTCCAGCTGGCCATCTTGGCTTATGTGATCGGGTAAGAGGGGGGCGCGCTGCCAGAGGCGAGGGACCCCGCGTCCCTCCTTTTCCTACTGCCGAAAAAGAGAAAACCGGGGGGAAAGCAGAGAATCTTGCAGGAACCTTCGGTGTCGGTCCGATATGCATCTTCAGCAGGGCTTACTTCCAAGTGAAACATGCCCAGTTTGCGCCCGCCGTTCAAAACTTCTCATAGCATGGCTTCCCCAGCCTGGCGCCCTCCGGGAAGTATTGGGCTGTCTCTTGTTATTGTACCCCACCACGGCATTTGTACCCCCCCCCTTTTCCCCATCCTGTGAGGGACTCGAGGCAGCTTGCCTGGTTCTGTGAAGCAGGTTCGGTTGGCCCAGAGTCACCGGGGAACCGCATGGCTGAGTGGGGATTAGAACTCAGATCTCCCGGGTCTCCAGACCAACACACTCGCCTCCGTACACTGGAAACGCCTGGAGAAACGCAAACTTCGCTTTCAAAAAACTGGTCAGTGATGTGGGAGAAGCCCCAAATCAGAAATAATTAACAGAGGTCTAATCTCCTTTGTTTCTTATAGCAAAGAAGCAGAGTCCCCTTGCTCTGAAAGATTTATTGCCCGAGCCTATGTATATTTATGCTGAGGCATGAGGGGACGGCATATAAAAGTTTTAAATAAATAAATAAAATTAATAAATGTTTAGAAAGAGAAAAAGCCATTTTCCAGCATGTTCTAGCCACCATGACTGTCTGAAAGGCTGCTGGGAGGTGTAAGACTTTTTTTTCTGTTTAAATATGTATAGGATTGTATCTTTGATAACACACTTCTAGCACAAACATGTTTATGATAGCATCTGTCTTGTTTGATGCACTTTTTGCAACTGTGGAAAGCAGTGGTAGAGATAAGTTAACCAGAAGGCTTCTTTATCATTTTGCTTTCAACCATTTCTGGTGGTTCCTGTGCCTTTTGAGAAAAATGCTGAAATGAAAAAGAGGAAAGGGTGTGTTTTTTTAGTCATCTGCACTAGGGGAAAGCCAACTTGTGGAATGGCCACCTGATGCATAGTTGTGAATGGTGTGGGAGCAGTTTAAAACACTGTAATTTTAAAAACAGGCACATGAGCTGCACGGAGAACGTGCTTTCTACTGTGCTGCTTTTGCATTTGATTGGCAAACGTGTGTTTTTCCCCATTCCCAGATTCAGTTTCTGTTAATCCCTCTCTCTTGTCCTTTCAGCCATCCTTTTTTACAAAGGCTTTCAGGATGAGTGCTGCTTAAACTTTTTTCACCCCATGCATTGTCTCCTGGACATGGGTCTTCCTGCGTGGTGTACCTAGATTGGTACATTCTTCATCTCTCCCACCCATATTTGATATTCCTGAGCACTGGAAACATTTATTCACTTATAACAAGTCACAGGGAGACCTTCTCATTGAAAGGACTATAAAAACAAGCTCTAACCTCGAGAAACCATTGGAAAACTACATAAATAATATAAACATCCTAGCATTCTAAAATGGCCCATCTTGATTGCCTTCTTGGCTTTCTTGAGCCAAGAATGTCTGTGTTTGAGTCCTTTGCTGCTAGTGAGATGTTACAGAAAACTTCAATAAGCTCATTGCACCAAAACATTTCAAGAATTTGCTAAACTTGTATGTTGCGCTAAAATTCATTAAAATTCAAAAGTATTTATTACAAAAAGAGAAATCATAAAAATAGACTGGCTAGGCAATTAGCAGCAAATGGAAACCAGCAGGAACACCACAGATCAAAATACAGTGATCACACCTGCTTAAAGGGTTTTTTAAAGCCTGGGAAAGTTTTGAAGAACTTTTCTTGTGCCAGAATGACATCAAGGTGGAGGCATGGAAAGTCTTACTGAGAAGGGTGTTTTGGAGAGGGGATTCTGCGCTCCAGAAGGCCCTCTAGGCTCCCTGGTTGCTGAGAGCCCTTGAAGGGGACCTCTGAATGCAGGCCAATGGGGATGGGTAAAGTCAGCCTCTCAGGGCACGGTCAAATGCTGCCCTAGCCATGTTTTGCTAGAAAGCTAAAATTAAAATAAAATTGCTCAGTAAAACTCATGGAAGGAAAATTGGCTGCATGGTTGTGGGAACTGGCCGGGAGGTTGAAAGCTTTGGGCGTTTTCTCAACATGGGCACTGGGCTACTCTCTGGGTCCAATTTCTTCCTGCCACTGACTTTACGTGCGAATGCAGAGACTTTTTCTCTCCTTCTCTGTTAGGTGGGTGTTTGTGTGGGAAAAGGGCTATCAAGAAACAGACTCCGTGGTGAGTTCGGTAACGGCAAAAGTGAAGGGAATCACCATGACGAACACTTCGGAGTTGGGCCCCCGAATTTGGGATGTGGCGGACTATGTGATTCCACCTCAGGTTTGTGTGTGGGAGGCAGATGTTGATTTGCTCAGTGTGACTTGATTGTGCTTGTTTACATTCTGGCCAAACATCTGTGTCTGGATGCCAAAGCTGGTGGGAGCTGTTAAAATATGATAGTTTAGGTCAGCTTTAGTCCACCTGGTGCCCTCCGGCTGCACTATATTACAATTTGTATCACATGCTGTGAAGTGAGTTTGTTCATGAATAACTTTGCAAGCTTGGAAATGATGGACTTTGACCAAACGTTGTGTCTGAGCCCGTGTCCAGCAGGAAGGTGCAAACTAGGTAAATCCTGATGAAAAACAAATTGAAAGGAACTGACTGCTTTCGTTGGGGCTCCTTTTCATAGTTCGAAAGGACTCCTTGCCTGCCACCACTGGTGCTCCCATCATCCCGGGGCGGCACGGCTTAGATGGGAAATTTATAGCACAATCCAAAGCAAGTTTGGATAGAAAGTAGGGTTACAGCTCCGAGCCTGTCCCAGCCAGCTGGAAATTGTGAGCCTTTGTTTTTGGGTGTGTCTTTTGGGGGGAGGGGCCTAAACTTGCAAATGTTCTCCTTTATATTCGAACTGCTCAGCCATTGGCCGGAGGTGAGTAGCTCTATAGGCAAGGAGTGGTAACCGGTATTCTTGTAGCCAAGCAACTTAGATTTTAAAACAGTTGGCACCTTCTCCAGCCAGAATAAGGAAGTCCCTGAAATCCGTCCATTCATCCATGCAGCTCATGTGCCCTTCTCACTGTGTAAACTCGTTACTTTTTTTTCTTTTTAGGCTGAGAACTCTGTATTCATCATGACAAACATGATAATCACACTGAATCAGACGCAAAGACGCTGCCCAGAGGTAGGGACAGTAACAGCCAGTTCCTCAGTGTTGCTGCATTATTCTTGGCATACCCAATAAAAGGTTGTGCAGTTTTGGGAGCTTGAATGACGGCGATTCAATCTACTTTTCAGATGGTAGCCATCTTGGGTGTTCTGCATAACAAAGCAGGATCTAAGTATTTTGCATAATTGCACTCTTGCTTAATGTATGCAGGTTGCAGAATTTACCCCATCAGTAGCGCAGAATTTTGGCTCTTTCTGAGTTTGGTGCCCTCCTGTCTGCTTCCTTCTTGTTGGATTCCAACCACCTTCCTCAACAAATTCATGCACAGCAAAGAAATCAGTTCAGAAATAACAGAGTTATTTTCACAGGTGCCTCCATGCAAATTCTGTCTAAAACATTTGTTGTTGAAACCTGTGGAGTACTGGATGAGTCCCAGCACTAGCAAGATTAATAAGCTGGTGTATTCTCTTTTTTCCCTCTCCAGCTTCCAGATAAGAACACAATATGTCAGTCCGACAAGGACTGCAGAAAAGGATATGTTGGCACTCACAGCAATGGTACGAACTGGTGCATCTTGGGTGTTAGCAATTCTGCTTGCTTTTTAGATTAAAAACTAGACCCTGAGATCGAAAAAATCTTCCTTTTCCTGAGATGTTAGATTCTGAGAAACTCTGCATGCTTTTGGCTGATCAGAACAAACCTATTAGACACCCAATTGCATTATTTGCAATAGCTGCTTTTAAAATTAAACTGAGTTGTCTATAATCATACTTATTAGTGGTGGGCATTATTTGATTTTTTTATTAGTGGTGGGCATTATTTGATCTTTCTTTCTCCCAGTATGGAAGATGGGTGGGTACAATTAGGGGGATGATGTTGTGCTTACGGCATGATCTAAACACTTTGCTGGAGGTAGTCACGTTCTGGCTGGTGGTTCTGGTTTCTTGGCTGACTTCCCCCTTCCCTGCAGGTGTCCAGACTGGAAAATGCATAGTTTACAATAACTCCAAACCTCTTATCAAAACCTGTGAGATCTTTGCCTGGTGTCCAGTGGAGCATGATGAGAATATACCCAGGTGAGTGTCTTTCCAGAGTGGAAAAAATGGAGAAGATTTTTTTTAAATCTCTAAAATGTGGCTGGGTGCACATCTCCCTGTCCACCTTCTCTACACTAGAAGGTACCTGTGGGGGCTCCCCTTGCAATTGGAAAGGCAGCTTCAAAGAGGCCATTTTCTTCGGGACCATGGCAGGGAGAGCAAGCGAGTTAAATTTCCCCTCTTCGTGGTTCAAAGACTAGCCCTGTGTTGCTAGTTCCAGTGCAAAACCCATGTGGGTTTGCACCATTTGCCCAATTAGTGTCCTTTCTGGTTTAGCCCTGGGCTCTTTTCTAACTGGAGATACTGGGGCATCCTGCAGGCGAAGGACTTCAAAGGCGGGCCACGGTTGGGTTTTCGCATGCTGCCGAGATCTGTCTTATGAGAGTAAAGCTAAATGATTGATCAACAGGCTTATCCTCTAGCCGGGCTGTAGGGCACTTCGTGAAGCCAAATGTTTCCACTGAGATCCGTTTTCTTCTTCTGCTTCCCCCTCCCTGCCCTTCCTTCAATCCTCCCTAGGCCGGCTTTCCTGCAGGATGCTGCAAATTTCACCCTCCTTGTGAAGAACAACATCTGGTATCCAAAGTTCAACTTCACTAAGTATGCATCTCTTTCCTGCGCATTCACAGACTCGGACAACTGAATTTCCAGCTAGTATCTAATGTTCTCTAGCCACCCTCATCTTGGGTAGGAAGTAGTAACCGTGTAGCAAAGTTGGCACCCAGTAGAGCTGGATGCTCGGGTGGAGATGGCTTATGATCTGTTCTGCACACTGCGAGCTAATCTGGTGTTGAGACGGAGCCAATGGATTCCTGTTTTGCTGCACGGACAACTGCGCCAGCCCTTTAGGTGGATTTGGCTGCATTTCAGCAGGTTGGGAAGGGAGCCCTTTTGATGATCTTGCCACCGGCGCCTGTCCTTTCTTCCCTCTCCAGACGAAACATTCTCCCCACCATCAACCAAACGTACCTCAAGAGCTGCTTCTACAATGCCAAAACAGACCCCTTTTGCCCCATCTTCCGCCTGCGTGAGATGGTTGAAGCTGCTGCGCAGGATTTCCAGGAGATGGCTGTCGAGGTGGGTTAGGGCAAGAACAAAGACTGGCTTTGGGATTTCCTGATTCTGGTTTCTGTAGCTGTTCCTCTAAGGGCCACAGGTATGGATTCATAGGCATTAAAAAGAGAAAGTGAATATTTCCGACTCTTCCTGAGACATACCACATAGTAAACTTGGTGTGCCGTATTTGAACAGCTGTATAACTAAAAACTTATTCCTGCTTGTAAGACCCCACCCTTTATTTGAAATAGAACTGTATAAAGGTTGTAAAACTTATGGAGGGCTATTAACTACGATAGCTAAAAGGAAGACTCTGAATACCAGAAGCTAAGCACAGAAGGTAGGGGAAGGTCTCGTGGCTTCCATGGCTCCCAGATGTTCTGGAAGCATCAGTTTGGCTACTGTGAGGAGGAACCAGATGTTAAAGAGGAACACCTGTCTGATCCAGCAGTGGTCTTCCTGTGTCACCTCACTTTCAGCTGCCAGGTTGGGTTTGGCCTGAGAAGCAAATAGTGCAAGGGAGCAGGACCGGCACCACAGCCAGACGAAGTGAGGCAGCGAGGGGTGGAGGGCAGGCCCAGAAGTGTGTTCCCTGGACCCGGCCGCATCACCGCGAGCTACCTGGTGCTCTTGGGTGTGCTAGGCCCTTAAAAGACTTGGAGCCCAGGTCCGCAGCTTACAAATCTGCATGAAATTTGGGTATGTGGGTTTATGTTTCTATATGCAGCTCCAGATACTGGTCCAGCTCGTTCAGTAGTGCCTATACCAGCATCTCTAGCCTGGTGCTCTCCAAATGTTTTGGACTTCACACCCATCAGCCCTCGTCAGGAGCACTGGGTGGCAACAGGTTGGGGCTGGCTGGTGTACGCATCATGCCCACTTCTCTAAAAATGCAGCATTCTGAACTAGAAAGTTCATGTTCTGAAAGTGTGCCGGACAAAGAAGCAGGGGCCTTGGAATGCGTTGCCGAAATGCCACTGCTGATGAGCAAGATTGGTCAGAGCGTATCTGCAGTTGCCTCTGCCACTGGGGGAGACACTGTGGAACAAGGGGGGCCAGAGGAAGGAGGGCATGAGTTCATCAGCCCAGCTGTTCGTTGTCCAGCCAAATGAGCGAACCAACCCAGTGATGTCTGGGATTTCCATCTTCTGCCCTGCGAGCAGCACAAACCTTCCAGAGGGTGCAACCTGCCCCTTTTGCAGGGAGGAGGAGGAAGGACAAGAACCAACTCCATCAAACATCGAGACTGGAGCTTTGATAGATGCTCCATGTTAACAACGTTGTCGTTATTCACTCTGAATTGTAAAGCTACCCTACCCTAGTTCTGTATTTTATAAGCTTTTCACTTGGATTTGCTGGGAAGGGAAAAGAGGAAAGACAACAACTGGTCTACCCTGGGATGGCCACAACATCTCAGCGTGGGCTCACCTGACAGAGGGATTCATCCACAAGAGAGTCAGTGTGTGGCATCCCACATGGGACAGCGGCCATAGAAAGCCAGTTCCAAGCCATTCCCAGTGGTAGCAACCGTTCTGGGAGAATGCCTTTGTCCTTCGCTTGATCTTTGCTTCCAACCCCTTCTCCTGAGTGACTGCCGTGTTTGAACAAGGGCAGCTAGATCTGCCCTTTTGCTGTAAGGAGCAGAGTCAATATTTAACTTTCCCCCGTTCGGTGTGCTGCCTTCTCGGGATCATGGCTTCCTTTCAAGCATAATATTTTGCTTCCAGGCATCTTCCCTGTTGCATTGCCAAAAAGAGCTCTTTCCAACTGGTTGTAGTGCAGAATGGGACTGGGAGGCCTTCAGTGTGAATCTGCCTCCAATTTGCTTGGATAGTTTTATGCAAGCCACTCACTTCTTGGTTTTTGTACGTTGGCCTCAGTCTCCCGATCTGTAATACGGAGGCAGAAGTGTGGTTCCTCTGCACGAGGCAGTTGTAAGGGAACAGTGAAAGAATGTGTCTCGGTTCATTATGTTTTTTACTTTTTAACAAGCCTTGAGAGGGTTTCTCCTAAAAAGAGGCTTGTAGAACCTTTGAATTGAAAAATAAGTGCTTACTACACTTGATTGAAATGAGGGATATAAATGCCGTTGTTTTAGGGAGCCACTGTTTGCTTAGTCTGGTTTTCTTCTGTACACTTTAAGGACATAAAACTTTGCCGCTGTCCTTGGGTCTGAGAATCTCACCACTTGCTGCCCTCCAAATACAACTCTCATGTGCCCCAACCAGCATGGCCAATGGTCAGGAATTATGGGAACTATAGTCTAAAACATCTGGACCAGGATTTGGGTGCACTCACACTCTGTCGCTCACCGAGACGTGGTTCCATTTTTATCCTCCGAGCCAGTCCTGATTTGCCAAGAAAAAGCATCCCTAACTGAAGAAAAGTCGGCTTGTATCAAATAGAAAGAATCGAATACTCGAATTCACATGGACTGTGTTGCCTCTGTCCCCGCAGGGTGGAGTCATGGGGCTGCAAATCAACTGGAACTGCAACTTGGACAGGGCTGCGTCTCACTGCGTGCCAAAATACAGCTTCCGCCGGATCGACAACAAGGATTCTGCCCACACCGTTGCCCCGGGATACAACTTCAGGTTCGAGCGACTGGCACGGTCCAGCCTATGGATCCTTCACTGCCGACTCGTGTTTCCTCATGAGAGAAACTCTCCCGGTCAAATGACTTGGTGCGGTTGGATGTCTCTTTGGCACCAAGTGAAGACCCTTTATTTTGCCCGTTCCTTCTGCGTCTGGCAACTCTTTCAAAGTGTTCGCTTTTCTTTCTTACGATAAGGCACTTGAGTGCCACTGGTTGTTTTGCTTTCCATTTTCCTATGGTCAGTGGGTCGTCGCTGCAGTGTGGACCCTTGGCAGCTGCTCACCCATCCCGTCCTCCGGAGTTCCTTAGCAGATGCCTCCGTATGAAAAAAGACCCCTGAAATTGCAGGGGACTTGAAATTCCTGCAACTTTGCGTGACGGAGAGGTGCAATTTTCATCCATTCTCACCTGCTGACCTCCCTGTCCTTTTCTCTCTTCAGGTTTGCAAAGTACTACCAGACCGCTGGTGCAGAGTCCCGGACACTCATCAAGGCCTACGGCATCCGTTTTGACATTATGGTGTTTGGAAAGGTGCCTGCACCTGAAATTCCTTTCAGCTGCTTCTGAAAGAATTCTGCATGGTCCCACACTGCCTCTGTGGCTGGAGAGGGTTTCCACGTGTGAGGTGCCAGCTCCATCCTGCAGCATCTCTGGCAATGCCACCTGTGATCTTAGACCTTGATTCTCCAACATGGTGCCCCTGGACACCTCTTCCAGCACCTGCTCAGCTCCCTGCTCCTCCTGATTTTACTTTTATTTCTGAAAATGTTGAATTGTTGTTTTAACTGTGAGGCCACGCTACAAAGCAAAGTGCTTTCCTTCTGTACCACCTTTATTTGGCTTCAAAGGAGCATATCGTTTTTTGAAGACCAGATTCTGTCTCTGTCTTGTAGTTAACTTCTCGGGGAAGTTGCTTTTCTTTCAGTCTTACATTTGCTCTCTGGGAAGTGTTTTCCAGCTGGCCAGAGAAGCTGTGATCTGACTGGGCAACCCCACCTGCACAGAAGAGCCATTTCGTGAGAACACCTGTGGCCCCCGACAGTCCAAGCAACCCAAACAGGCTGGGGGCCTCTGCCATACACCCGCACTCAATCTCGCCTAGCCACCCTTAACTTTTAGCACCATCATGTGAGTGATGGTTACCTATATACCCAGATCTTTCTTCTCTCTCTCTCTCCCTCCCTCTCTCTCCACTCTGTTATTTCTCTTTCTCTTTCTCTTTCTTTCTCTCTGCCTTCCCTTATTGCATTGGAAACTTGCGTGGATAACTCATGTTCTCCTATGTCTGCTTTAGGCAGGAAAATTCGATATCATTCCTACGATGATCAACATTGGGTCTGGCCTAGCTCTGTTAGGTGTGGTAGGTGCTGTTCTCTCCCTCTGTGTCACTTTAATGGTTTAAACAAAACAAAATACCTTTTAATTGCTTTTTTAAAATCTCTTCTAGGCAACCGTCCTCTGTGATGTGATTGTCCTGTATTTCATGAAGAAAAGATATTATTATAGAGAGAAGAAATACAAATATGTTGAAGATTATGAACTGGTAAGTTTACCAGCGACTTCATAGCCCGGGTGTTTTGCTCCAAAGTCTGTTCTTGATTTTATTTTTAAGTTCCCTTTTGGGTGTTGTCTCCATGGCTGGTTTTAATGGTTGCTTTCTGGAGGAATGTAAAATTGAGAAGTTGGGGAGGTGGAACTTTGCACTTCTCCCCCCAAAGGAACTCCAGGAGTTTTAACACTGTGGGGCAGTTTAGAGATTGCTAACGAAATGGCAATCCTCATGCCATGAGGATTCCCGGGAAGACCTGAGCCTTCATGGCATCATTTCCTGTCCCTCCTACAGCACTTTTTCAACCAAGCAAGTTGCTAATGAATCGGGGTTCCCACTTGAAAATGCAAACAGGGGTAGTCTGTCGGTTTCTCCTCACTAATTTTAAAGGAAAACAAGTGTGTGTACATGAGGTATTTGCTTTTAATCCAGATTATTCTTAATGCGTAAACAAAAGCATTAAAGAAGCTTCATGCTGTCATACTTTGGAGGCCTAACAGTAGTAGATTTTAAGAATTCTGTTTGCAAATGCTAAGCTAGACTTCTATGAACATGTGTGGTTTTAATACTGCTTAGACCTGAGCTACCTACAAGCTCAAACCAAGCAAAGTTTTACCATAACCTTGAAAATAGCTGTACACTGGGTTTGTTTGTTTTCTAATTTTGGTTTGCTTTCAGCGAATCTGTTTTGCCAGCTTTGTAGCAAAGTGCAGCTCAGTTTGTTGAACGAGCTAAAATGTGTCCCTTTGATCAAATAAACACAGCTTCTGTAGAGGAGCTTTAATTGCTAATTTGGTTGTTCCAGGAAATTGACAGCTGGGCAGTGTTAGCCAAAGTGAAGGTAGAATTGGAAGTCTGGCTGAGATCCACTTTATCTTTTCCCCCTGATGTTTCTTCCCTTCTTTTAAAGGGAACCAACACACCATATGGATCTCAGTCGGAAACGCAGAACTACTCTGGTGACCAATGACCCTCCAAAGTGGAGATGGTCCTCCTACTTTTCCACACAGACTGTGAATACACCTTGTCTCTCTTCGGAATTGTCTGAGATGCCTTATCATTCTAACATGGGCTGGGGCCAGGGGGAGAAGGAAACAAATTTAAATTATCTCTATATTACTGCTGTTACGGGCTCTGTTCAGTCTTGGTTCTAAGCCCAAAGGACCTCCTGCATTAAAGAGAATGTAAACATAGGGACATTTTAAATACATCAGCACTTTCTGTGAAAGTTGTTTTGGATGTTTGGATCTGCAAAACCCTGCATGTCCTGAAGGCCCTCTGAGTTGTGGCCTTGGAAATTCAAATTGTCCCCGGTCTCCTGTGTGTTTCCCCACTCCACGTGGCAGCAATAGAGGATTTTAGTGGACTGTGGGAAGGAAACCCTCCATACCTTCCTCCAGAATTGCCCAACTCCCTTCCGGACAGGCCTGCTTCTTTTCTGACACATTTAATCACACTCCTTTGCAGCTGTGTTGAACATGATGGTTCAGCTCCTTCGAGGTCTGTTTTTATTTTGCTAAGTGCTCTGCATCCTTCGCAGCCTGGCTGGGCACAGGTCTAGCACAAAGCAGCCTTATTTTCGTAGGTGTTGCCTTGTGGATATTGCCAATGGCAGGTACCTTTTCACCTCTGCCACAGGAAACCAGCCCAGCCTTCCAAAACCTTGAACATTTGGTCAGAACTACAAATCCCAGAGTACTCGGCAACAGGGAAGCAGCCATGGAACTTAAACTAGCTTTGCCTGAGAATTACTTCTGGGTTCCCCCCACCCAATTTCTTCCACTCCCATTTACACACAGGAGCCAGAAAAACGTGGGGCAGGGGCCGGGTGGTTTGATTTTGCACAGAAAATAAAGTTGTGGAACTTGACTTCTGTGTTTATGTGACCTTTTTCCTCACATACTACTGTGTGGGTAGCTGGCAATACAGGGCTGTATGGGAACGTTCACGTTCTGCCTTCAAGTATGTTCGTCATGCTCAGCCTTTGTATCCTCACAACAACCTTGTAAGGTAGTTTTTTAAACTGATACATTTCTGTGAAGAAAGCTACCTGTAGGGCTGAGGAAAGAGGCTGTTGTGTGAGACAGGTGTGTCTGTTGAGACTGTTCAGGTCAGGTATTCGCTTCCACGTCGTCTGAAGTGTTTGATCCCGCCCAGTCGTGAAAACTAAGAGTCAGGCCTTGTTGAAATCTGGATGAGTGACTTAAGGGTCGTGAATTGCCCAGAGAGCTTTGGGTACGGGCAGAATAGAAATGTGGTGAAGGTGGTGGTGGTGGTGATGTAGAGAAGCCCTCGCGGCACACACAGGGGCTAAAGAGAAGCTGAGATTGATGCAAAAACCGGCCAGCTGAGTTATGCTTAGCCACTCTGAGGCCGTCCTCTAGATGGAAAGGTTTGCTCTTGGACGAGAAGGGGAGGCGAGAGCAAGAACTCGGCTCACATTAAAAAGCCCAAATGCATTAATTGCAACAGTACCAATGGCCACTGCATTACAAAAGTAATAGAAAGACTTGAACAGGATGTCGGGATCCCTACCTTACTTCTTGCAAGGGTCACATCTATTTTGAGAAGCCTGTGTGTGTGTGTGTGTGTGTGTGTGTGTGTGTGTGTGTGTCTAGAGAGCTCCGGTTAGCTTCACAGCAGGCCTTCGAAGGGCACGTCTGTGTGCTGCTTCTATCCATGGTAATAGGAAATGCTTCCAGGTGGAGCTTTCGTTATGCAGGTGTCCCATCTTATTCAGGGACTTTTATAAAAGCGTCTTTTAGAGGACATGCTCATTGTTTTCCGGTGTCTTCCCTCTGTTGCTTCTGATACTCTGTGCATGCAGAAAGTCCATCAACTTGGAAAAGACAGACAAGCTGCACAAGGTATTTTATTCGGGATGAGAGCCCCTTCCCCACCCTGGCGCCCCCTACCTGTGTTGGATTCCCAGCCAGCTGGGAAAGATGGGAGTCAGCCCAATGCATTGGGGGGCACCAGCCTGAGGAAGACTACTTTGGAAAGATCCACACTTGCAACTAAGAAGTGGGAAAGAAATCAGACGGGGTAGAAGAACCTACGTACTGCTTTGCCATGGCCTAAGGAAGCGTCGTCTACTGTCTTCAAGCAGGGACACTTCAGGCTTTGGGTAGGACTCCAACGCTTGGTACAATCTTTCTTGGCCAATGCCACTTTTAGAACACTGAGGGGAGAGGAGGAAGGATGAAAATCACACTGCCAGAAACAGCTTGACCCATGGAGACCTACCCTTACCATCTTCAGTTTTTCCAAACAGGGAGGTTTTTGCTTCTCCAAGGAATGGGTACAGTCTTTCAAACACACAATCGCTCAAGCGGTAGTTTTTACAGCACAGATATTATAGACACTGGAAAAGGTATTCTAAGAACCAATCTACTTCATCACAAAGGCAAGAATGAAGGGGAGTATATTTACACATAAGGTTAGTGTTTAATTTGCTGATCCCAGTGAATCTGAACAGAATGCTCCTCAGCTAATAGGTATAAATGCAGGAATACATAATATTGGTCCCATTTGAAGAAGAAGAAAAACAAACATTTTTAAGGTAAGAAAAAGCAGGGCATGAGTAGTTTACAAACTGAGTAGAATAGTGGATATTAGTGAAATCTGTATCTTATTTTGGTAAAGTTCCTTGGAGCATATTTAAAAACTGAAAAAGCTGTGTGTTGCTCTGTAAAATGTAACATACCAGGACATTTTGCATCAGTGATTTGTTAAAAAGCCTGAATTTTGTACATGCCATATTGAGACAGATCAAATAAATTAGTAGCAGTCAGTTCTAGTGAATGCTTCCTCAACTGGGCAGAATATCTGTTTCACTCAACAATACATGTTTTCAATTGTGCTTGAACACAGCCATTCTGAAGCTAGCAAGCCATGAATTCTGCTACACTGAGCCCTTAAAAAAAAGTTTTAAAAAGACAGTCTTTCGCCTTACACTGTTGGGGTAACTCTCAGCACCACAAATCACACTGCTGTCGCAGTTTTGCATACAAGCCTCTACCTTCAGGAAAATCCAGCTGACCTCTCTCAAAGTCACGGACAACCTACATGCAAAAGGCCAAATGTTACCGAAGACCCTGATGCGACATTTTTGTTTGTTTCATTTCCATGCAGTAAAAAGTATCAATACAAAAAACATCATAATATATAAATACCAAAGGAAGAAAAGATGCATGTTACTGGCAGGAAGCAAACTCCCTCCATCCCCGCTTGGCAGAAAACCTCATGCTCAGCTCGCAAGGTGGGGCCAGAGTCTTTGTGAAAGGTTTGGCCTGAGAGTTCCTCCTCTCCCCATCCCGTTTGCTGCCCCTTCGCCTTTCCGAACGACAGGCGTGGCGCTCCATCCACACAACGGCTCCCGGCAGGCGCCTGGCTCCCAAAATTACCGTTTGCGACCCTACTATGGGTGACTCCTGGTTTGTTCAGCATGCAATCACGAACACTCTACATTCAGCATCAGTACGAGCACCAGCGTCACGTAATGCTGGCGGGTTTGACTCGGGCGCCGCGACGGTCTCCCTTTGCGGATGCATGCTTTGTTAAGAAGGGGGGAAGGGGGAAAGGGGCCACGGGGAGGAGGAGCAGGTGCACGGCAGCCCAGAAGGCTGGTTTTCAAGACAGCAATCCATCCTTGCCCCCGTCTGGAAGATCACCGATGTGCTTCATGTTCTCGTCACTGCTCTGCTTCCTGCTTTAAAACAAGACAAGACTGGGTTAAGCAGTGACAGGATTTCATTCCCAGGTCAGAAGGGAAGGGACGGAATAAAAGTGCCAGGAAGGTGTTACGGGTGCTGAAATCACATCTAACATGGCTCCTCCGTTGCCACGGCTTCAGGGAGCAAGATCTCTTCAAAATAAGCTGAGAGGTTCACCGGCACAATGCATCTCCTCGGTTTCGCTTAACGTGTCGCATTGTGCTCTGCTGGTACGACACTGCATCGTATCTTAAGCAGCAGGACGTGAGTGGAGCATTTCTCAAAGCTGAAAAGAATGCAGTCAGCATGCGCCCTGGAGCGGACTGGATCTTGCCACTGACGAGAAGGAGCTCTGTGCACACACTGGAGTCCGGCGGACTTCCGCAGCCCATAATTGTCAAATGCACTGAAAAGGAGCCCAGACCGAATCCCTGCCAGCAGCTGCGTGCATAAGGATCTCACAGGCAATCGCTCAGCTCACCCCACTGCTGTGGCGAGGTTTAAAAACAGAAAACCATGCTATGCATTGCAGGGGCAACTGGAGCCGGCCTCATGCTTGCTTCCCTGCGGCATGCGATGGGGAGCAGCACCTGATCCCGATTCACGGCATGATGGACAGGCAGCGGGGGGGCTGCATGGCACTTGCAATCTTTACCTTTGGCTGCTGTAATATCTCACATTTCCTGATTTGTTTTTTCTGGAGTCAGGGGGATGGGTGGGGCAGGAAAGGAGAAGGGAGGCCAGAGTGGGGAAGGTAAATGTGAGAACACACACACACAGAAAAAGAATTTGTACCAAGTCATGAACTGTCAAACATAAGTGTGTGTGTATAATTATATACTGGATATAATTCAAAGAACACCAAATGAAGCGGTGGAAGCAAGATGTTAGGTACCTCTCCTACTGGTCAGAGACTACTACTTGCTTTAGATTTGGGAAATGCAACATCTCAGCTCTTGTTTAAAACAACATGTACAAGAAGTTTCTAGTCCTCATGCTGTAAAAGGGAAGTTTGGAAGTGTTGCAGAGTTCTCAATAGCTTTCTCTTTGCTACCCACTGAAAGCTGATTTAACACATCCTATTTCTATAATATATTCTTGATTTTCCTGGACACAGAATTTGGATATTGTGTTACTGGCATTAGAATAACCGAGACAGAATGTATTCCAGCTCTCATTCATTCTCTTTAGTGTTTTCATTGCCAAGGAAGTGCTGCATCCTCCAGCCCAGATGGTCCAGAACAGTCTGAAGAGTCTTGAGCTGCTTCACAGCCCCAGAGTCACTTACATCAAATGCCCTGGCGTGGACAGACATCTCTCATCTCTTCTACTTCCCTCGAACGGGTTCCCGAAAGATCTTTTCCTGATCATTGATTTTACCAGGATCTGCAAGAGAAGTATTTATTTATGTTCTTACGAAATGCCATCTATGCACAGGACACTTTCCAAAGCAGAAGGGAGCAGATGCTTTGCCCCAATCGAACATTACAGTTTGTAAGCAGACACGAGATGGGGAATAGGCTGGGCCAACTCTCTCTGGGGCTACTGTAATTATTTGATTTTAAAGAAAACGTTCAGGGTTTTCGATAGGAAAAAAACCCCTAAATGGTGCCATTGCAGTCCAGCATTCCCAGAAAACCCCGGGTTCAGAAAGGCACAGTTAGAGCACTATGGCTAAAACGCCCGGCCTCACTCACCACTGTGGCCAAGCTTGGGATGTGTTTGACTGAATTCTCGACCTCTTCCTCTGTCACCTCAATGAGCGTGCAGTTCTCATCTTCGGTCGGCAACGGCTCCATGCCATTCTTGGTCACCCAAGGATGCTTCTGGTTGGAGAGAGAACAGCACCCCCTTGCATGTCAGAACTGGCTCTTCCACCAAACGGAGAGAGGTGAACTGCCAAGGGAGAGGGCGGTGCTCGCAGTGTGTTAATTTGCACATAAACCATTCTTATGTTTCCCCTAAAGGCCATAAAACAATTCTCAGCTGATGGTGTGTCCTGGGCAGCAGGAGACACGCCATGGTAATGCCTAGAATGGATTTCTGGGGCCGTGTTCTCTGTAGGGCTGCTTCTGCAAAAGGGGTGGAACCTGGAGGCAGTCTGCCAAGTGGCAAAAGCATTGTCCACTGGAAAGGGCCTTGTGTAACTGTGTCCTGCCCAGTGCTTTTTTTGTCATAGAACGCACTGGAACGGAGTTCCGGCACCTTTTTTCGACAGATTTTCCAAGTTTTAAAAGTAACTTTTGAAAATTTGATGTTTGGTCCACATGGATTTGAATTACCCTGTCGAGCGTAGCAGGTTGGCGGCAAAATCATTAAAACGGTGCATGCGGGCTGCTTGTGTGTCGAATCCGATGCATGCGCACTTCATCCGCGCTGGTTGTGATTGGTTGTGTGGTCGTGCGCTGAGTGCTTACTGCAGGCGGCGACCGTTACGTTTTGTTGCACAACTGATGTGTGTGGGTGTGTGTACAGTGATTGACTACGGGTGAAAGGTAAATAATTTCATGAGTTTCGGCACCTTTTTTCTTACAAAAAAAGCACTGGACCTGCCACACACCAAATGGGACCATGCTTGTGTGTATTCTTGCCTTTAGAAAGGATACCATGCAAGTGGAAACAGAGCCACCAAAATGATCTGGGGGTTGCACTTACTCCCCTGTGAGGAAAAAATGCAACGCTTGGGTATTAGGGACAAAAAGGGTGTCATGGGGTTAGAGCGTGCCAGAGGTTTTAAAAAATGTGGTGTGAAGAACATGGATAAAAGGTTTTTCTTCCTCTTTCAGGATCAGCCAATAAATCCGAAATCCGTCTGAGATTCCGGCTGGATGGCGAGAAGTACCCAGCAAATAAATAATAGACTTTGCTTCCACAAGATGTCGTAATGACCACTGAAACGGATGGTTTTCAAAAAGGTTAGACAAATTCCTAGTCAAGACCAGCTTTTGGTCTGACCAGCTTTCTGGCTGAGTTCAAAGCACTGATTGTAGCCTTTAAAGATGTAGACCGCTAGAGTTCAAGGTATTTGTCAGATACGCCTTTCATGAACCCCCAAGGTTGCTTTAAGATCTTTGATGGAGTTGGAAGAGGTGGTAATTGACTCTTGGCAGCAGCTTTCACAGAGCATTAAGGAAAGGACCAGATTGGGAAGGGAGGGGAGGGGGGAACCCTTCTAAAACCAAAATGTAACTTGGCATTAATGTTTAACTATTCCAGCAAACACAGAACTGGATGCAAAAGTAGTGCTTGATGCTAGAAGCCAGTTGGCAAAATAATGGCGTCCCATCCCCGGTAAGATGAATGATTATGGAATGTTTGGCAGGAGTATATAATGAGTTCATTAATTGCATGGGGGAAATATTCCGAGAGGGTTTCTGTCAGATATTGCTTTACTGGAACAGGAAGAAGGAGAAGGAAAATGTAAGACAGAAATGATCGGCTAACTAAACTGTGCTAGTTCTTGTAATACTGATAGCTACTCAATATTTCTCTGTATTCACATTCCATCGTTAGCACTGAAATCAGTCTCTTGCTCCACGTAATTGGATGACTGTATGGACAAATTTCATCTTTTCTAATTTCCACTAGTTCTTTGTAAGTCTGACCGAACCCCAAGGTTTAGCTCTTGTGGAAGAAGGTGGCAGCTCTTTAAGTGATGCTTAAATTCGGTTTCGATGGCTGTGTGGCTTGTAATTGATGCCTAGGTATTTTCTGGTCCATTTGGAAGTAGCCTCAAGAAGCTTTTGAGCTATAAAGCACAAGAAACACTTAGGAATCCATTTACATTCATGAATAACAGAGAGACTAAGCAAAGGAACCCTGGGAAACAGAACATTCCGGAATACTGTTCTTCACGGGCGGGTTTGGACCGACAGTCAGATACCTTAATTTCTGGGACCGTGATCCTGGATTCTGGGTTTTTGTCCAGCATCCGCGTGATCAGATCCTTCATTTCATCAGAAATGTCAGGCCTTGGGTGATTTAAAAAAAGAAGCAAGTTTAACAACAAATTACTAATAACCATGAAAAATTAATCAGTGCACAAACACATGAATAAACAATGAAGTGATGCATTAGTTCGCCTTTCAGGTGTTGGAAATGCTGGGTCCAGTATCAATATCATGAGAATCTCAGCTCTCATTTAAACACAAAGTCTCTAGTCCCTAAGGATGCAAGAGTAGTTTGAGCACATGGTGGCGCTGCCAGGTGGACTCTGGGAAGGCAGGTGGATGCAGCATGGCTTGAGTCCTTCGTAACCTGTTCCTCCACCCCTGCTGCTCCACATGACCTGCGGAACCGCAAGTACCACTTTGCTCTGAAGAACTGAATTTTGGGCTCCTTTTCTAACCAGCTTTCATCCAGCCAGATATAAGCAAACGCAGGATGGAAAGATCCACAAAATGGTTGCACCAACCAATGGTTTCTTTACGGCCGTTCTGTATGCCAAAAGCAGCTGTCCAAGACCACAAGGACTCCTTGCTGCCAACACATGAGGTTTTCCAAAGCTATCCAATCCTTTTTCCCTGAGCGCTTCCTTTGGAATCGCTGCTCCTCTCTCCTGGTTTATTACAAAGCACCAAACCAACGGCAAGTCTTCAGAGAACGATCTACTTCCGACTTCGGTTTGGAGCCTGAAAATTCCACACGGGCCATCAGGCTGGTCTTAGAAGCCACCCAAAATGTCTTGCCACTGAACCCATCCCCAACCCCCAACCCAAGGTTTGGCCGGGAGGTTTGGTTGGGAGTTTGCCTTAGTGTCTCCGAACCCTGGAGCAAGTTTGTGGACCTGCGACGGCTCTCATTCTGGATCTGAGCTGAGCAGCAGGAACCACAGAAGCTAATTCCTCTCCCGGCCAACACTGGAATGGCTTGGAGAGCATCGCTCAGTCCGGCCTCTGTGTGTGTGGGGGGTGGGGGTAGGGGGTTAGTTCCCCCTGTTATTTTCCAGGCCTGGGAAAAAGACAAGGATCTTGCCCAAATCCAAAAGTACAGGCACCACATTTTGAATATCCATAAATGCATCCCTTCCATATACTCACTGGTCAGGAAATTCAAGCATCTGGCTCTTTATTTTGCTGTGCAAACTCAGAATCCGCTCATCCATGAAGGGGCACTAGGAGGAACAAGAGAATTCAGCAACACGCGATCGAGACACAGCCCAGTTCCAGCTAACGGCAAGGCCACGCTTCCCGGAAAACAGCCTCTTTTCCCCCCAGGTTTGGGGTCCCGCCTGCTATAGCCTTAGCCTGATTTGACAGGGAAATGTGAGCAGGGCTACTCCGATTCCCAGGATTCTCTGGGAGAAGCCATGGCAAATACTCCAATAGACCACACTCGCCAAAGCTCTGCCCTTTTTCCCCAGCTGGCCTCCTCCTTTGCTTCCACCTACCCAAGCCAGTTCTTCTACTCCAAGAATGGGAAATTTGTGGCTGTCCAGATGTTATAACCCACCACTCCCATTATGCTGGCCGGGGCTGATGGGAGTGTGGGTCCTGGGACCTATACCATGCATTCAGTTTTGTGGGGCAGCCTGCTTTTCCTTGCATGCAGTGAGTGGCTGGAGGAAGACTCCACGATGAACAAAGATCCTAACAGCGCGGATGAGGGAGCGACACAGGACAGCCAAGCCGCCTGCAGAAGCAGGACACCAGCCGTGCAGACCGGCTGGGGGGGCACGACAGAGGTGTGGGTGCTGGTGTGCCTGCAGCAAAGCTGACCCAAGCGAGGCTGCGGCTTAGAGCGGCCTGAATCTGCTGCACCCCCAGCGGCCTCGCTGGGGACACAGGACCAGGATCCGAAGAGCAAGGAGAGCAGAAAAACCTCCCGCCCCCAACCCCCCAGGAACAGCTTGTGCACGCTGCTCGTTCCCCAAAGTGCACCAGCATCCCAGGTTTGTGACTTCAGCAGCCTCAGGGTAGCACGCTCGTGAGTGTGAAAGCAACCATGCAACCCAAGGACTGCAGGCGGGGGGAAGGTAAACCCACCCAGAGTGGTATCGGTTGCATCTGTGGATGCTTTCTGGCTTGCCAAAAGAGTCTTTAAGATTGAAAACAGACCCCAGCGGATGGCAGCAGCCACATTAGGCTCCCGGCATACATATTGCCCACCTCCAATCTAATCCAATCTAGACTGAACTGAATTATTTTTACTGCTTTATCTTTTCGGTATTACTTCTTTTCACAGAAGTTAAGATCACTGCAAATCGGAGGGCTGCACTCGCTATGCAGCGTCCCGCTACTTATTTATTTATTTATTAAAACATTTTTATGCCGCCCCATTCGCCGAAGCCTCGGGGTGGCTCACAACAATAAATTAAAAGTCATTATAATATAAATTACAATAAATATGAACATTAAATTAAAAATACAAAAATACAATATAAAATAAGCCGCCCTGGCCATCTCATCCAGCCGTCTGAACGGACGACAGGGAAGGAGGCAGCCTGACCTCCTGAGGGAGAGAGTCCTGCAAGTGAGGTGCTGCTGCACGGAAGGCCCTGCTTTGAAGGCCCGCCATATTCTCTGATTCGGGGAGGGAAGCAACTTCTCCATACCTGCCCGAAGACAAAGCAGTACAGCGTGATGCCCATCGCCCAGACATCTAAAGCCTTAGAAAGAAGAAAAGAACATTAGTCTTCCAAAAACTTGCTGTTGGTTTTTCCTGCCAAGAAGAAAAAAATAAGTTAACACTTTTTAAAAAAATATCAGACGAACTACCAGGGAATGCCACACTGGTAAACTTTCTGGAATCGATCGCGTTGCTATCAATACGATCACTAATAGTAGAGAGATGTCAGTCCAGAAAACACGAGAGCACTGGAGTTGAGTGGGGTGGAAAAGCTATCATGTTGCACAGAGGCACAAATCAAAGTCCTGCCACCTAGCATGCTGGCTGGGGGATGCTGGGAGTTGTAATCCAACAGACCGAGAAGAAAGCTGGTCTAAATCTAGTTGATTCCTCAAAAAACATGGCTGGCCAAGCATACGAGCTCTCAACATACCTTGCCAGAAAATATTTTCCTGGTTTCCGAGAGGGTTTCTGGTGCCATGAATGCCGGGGTGCCCACTGTGTTGGTAAGCAGGGCATCCGTTCCCTTGAACTCATTGCTCACGCCAAAATCGGCTATCTTGATGTGACCATCTTCCCCGACTAAAAGGTTGGAAGGCTTAATATCCCTGTGGATTATCTTCTGATAATGCACTGTGGAAGAAGGCAGAGTTTGGGACAACATAAAGAATGCAAACCCCCTATCTTTGGGGTGTTTCTGCAAAATCAGACAGGTTGCGAAGTTCTGAGGCAGCACCAGGGCTCCCCCCGCTGGCCGGAGACCAGAATAGCAGCCCTGGTGGTTGCAGGACCAGGCCCGCTGTCGATCGCAGCCACCTGGGAGGTGACGAGCACCACCTGGGGGCCCACCTGGGGGGCCGGAGGGAAGAGCTTATAGCAGGACCAGCTCTTCCCTTCAGACGTGGCCTCAGCCACAGAGAGTCTTGGTGTTGTCGGAGTGCCCGGTGCCCCCGGAGCCTGTCTCTGGAGACTCTGCCCGCTGCCTTGCTCCTGCCTCGGCTTCTGGACCACGCCCGGCTTCACCTGCTCCAGCCCCAGGTATCCGCTTCTCCTTGGCTTGTCTCTCCGGCTTTTGACTCCTGACCAGCTCTGGCTGCTCTGCTCTCTTCAGGCTGGCCTACCTTGCCCTTCGGTTACCCACCTTGGTCTTCGGACTGCCTGACCGTGATTTGGAATGGGCCTGCATATCGTGCCAGTTGCCTTGGTCCCGGTGCCCCAGCCTGATACCCAGCCGCCCATGTCCCAGGCTCTGACGAAGGCGCTAGAGCTCACCATTGCTCCACCCCTACAGTAAGAAGGCGATCTAGAGCAACCAACAGACTCCACATCCACAATGGTTATGCAGCAGTGGAAAGATAACACTCTGCACATGCTCAGAGGCACCATCTTTTCATTGTTTCTCCACTAGATTTCTGTGCCCCCTTCCTCCTAGATTTCTGTCTTCAAGAGGAATGCTGTAGATTTCTGTGCCCCCTTCCCCTTCCCTGCTTAGCATCCTCCAGAAACTCACAGTATTCAATGCCTTTGATCAGGTCTTGGAAGTAGAATCGTGCCTGGTCTTCATTCAGCGGTTTCAGGCTTGGAACTTCCATCACGGGCCTGCAAAGGCAAAACCCAGATTGGCCAACTAGCCAAGACCGCATCGGGACAGCCAAGGTGGGAAGGGTGAAGTTTCCACTCCAGGAGCAAGCAGGTCAGTCTGTGGTTGAAACTATTCGAAGCTTGATAGCACCTTCTAAAGCAGGGGACCTCAAACTACGGACAGCGGGCTGGATCCGGCCCACCATGCCCATTTCTCTGGCTTGCCTCAAGAGGTTTTGGACTCACCGCACCCGAGCGTGAGGGGGCAGCGGCTTGCTTGCACGGAGATCGTTTTGGACTCGTTCGGAGAAAACAACCTCCACGTGAGCAAGCCGCTGCCTTGCCGCATGCGCCCACCCCCACCCTGCGCGCACCCCGGTCTAAAGGTTGAAACCCTATTGCATTATCTGACCCAGCTGAGCAGGCAGCTGCAATACCCCCATTTGGCCAGAGATGGCACTGAAGTGCAGTACTAACAAACCAGGGTGAACCACCCACGATTCACAACTGAACCACAAACCATGGGTTCCCGTCATGGGTTCCCATGGTTTACAAACCATGGCTTGTTCAAGCAGCTGGATTAAGACCGTACGATAACTCACAGTTCAACAGGAACCCACACACAACCCTGAGTGTGGGCTATCGTGTTGTCGGAATCTAATCAGTAACTTGGACAGGTGGATATACAGCAAAAATTCAGGATCAGGGTTGCTTCAGAGTACAGGAATCTGTGATCAGTACTAGAACTAGATTCGGCGGTCCTTTTGTACCAAAATCTACTCCGGCGGTCCTTTTCAATCAGCCTGTTTTTAATCAGCCTGCTGTTTTTCACTGTTGCTGCGGCCAGACAATTGGGAACCAGCAACTCCTGCCAATCTAGTGCAAATCGCACAGAGCTCTATTAGGACATCCTGACCTGCTTCTTGTACACCACAAGCGTTAGTAACACTGCATGCGTGGATAAAATAATAAGAACCAGAACAATCATCTTACCCTTTTTTCACAAGTTCAAACACTGAAATGCAGAAAAGTACAGTGATTAATTATGAGAAGAGACTCTTGTAAATGGAACACAATCCTGCCATAATAATGATTAACTCTTCAGACAGGAAAAAAAGTCCTGTACGATCACCTACTTTAAATACACCATCAGTTTGCAAACAGTGCACTCACGTACGTTGCTAGAGTTCAGACGTGTCTCAAACAAAGCAATTGAAAATTATTGCCACAGAAATGGGTGTCATTTTGGCCCAAGCGGCAGGTGGTGGGCAAGAACACTCAGTCTCTGAGAGGAAGGCGAGGCGAAGGACCCCGGTCAGATCATGCTTCCCTACCCCATAGCTGATCGGATGGGGAGGGCGCAAGGCACTGCAGCTGCATGCAGCCCTGCCCTTTAATCCGGTCCTGGGCAGAGAGTTGGCCTTGGCACTGGGCCGGCCCAGAATTTAAAACCTGGCCTCTGCGGCGCATTCAGCACTCACCCTGTGGCACACCATGTCTCTTCCGCCTGCATTTCCCCTGCAAGGGCAGAGAGGGACTCCGGAGATCAAGTGACTTGACCAGGGTCCCCAGGAAGTCAGTGGCAGAGCAGGATCGAGGGAGAAAGACTCGCGCCCCCTGCTGTTTAAGCAGATGTGGTACCTCGCAGCTGAGGGGGCACGGCAACGTGGGCTGTGTACGGAATGATGATCCCGAAATCTGGCACAACTTGAAAACGTTCATTTATGTGGGGCAAAATTTGGATTTAAAAATCAACCTGAACAAATACCAGATGGCTCACAGAGGGGAAAAAATACAGAAACACTGTCCAAGATCTATTTTAGAACACTCCATCTGGAACTGGCCATCTATGTAGGCAGGCTGGCTCGGTACCTGGGCTCTGAGTGGCACCGGTGAGTCTTACTTTAGATCCCACAGGCTCCGGAAAGGAGGGCTGAGCAGAAAACCTGATGCCACAAGCAAACGAGCATTTTCCTCTTTAAAGCTATCAGATTGCCCGCATTTCAAAAATCCTTGCATTTGCCATGTTTTTACGAACTTGTGTTTACGCACAGATACCGAACCATATGGAGGAGCTGTTATTGAGTTCTCGCACCCAGCTTCTGGCTATTACAAATTCACGTTAAATTCAGCACACATTTAGGCTGGTTGGCCACTTAAAGAAACTTCAGCAGCGAAACCCCGTTAGTGCTTTGGCGCTCCCACACCTTCCGAAGCAGAGGGAGGGGAATCAACACGGGGCTGGCAAGGGGCCATTTGCTTTCCCGCAGACAGACGGATGGGCGAGGGCACACGTACCCATATACAGGTGATCCTCACTGGGGTCATCAAGCACCTGACAATGAAACAGAGAAGGGGGAAGAAGGTAAAGACGTACCCCAGATTGCACCTATCACATGCATCTAAATCACTGTAACGAACTTTACAGAATATGGCCACTACACGCAGGTTCTCGATTTCCCACATTCTGAGAGTTCAGTTCAACTTTGGCTACAAAGTTCTTGACATTTTAAAACATGCAGGAAGCAACCAGAGAGAAACTTCCTTAAGGAGGAGGTTTTTGTATTCTAAAAAACTATTGGGCTCTCCCAGCCTTCTCCTGACCTGATGCCTTCCAGATACGTTGGACTACAATTCCCATTGGCCTCTGCCAGCTCATCCTCTCTTAATATTTTATCTTTCCACTCTGCTCCCATTATTCTCACCCCTAATATTTGTTTCTGCATTAAAGTCAGAAGCATCAGAACCAGTTTTGCTAACCCTAACCCTACCCTGGATTTCCTGGGTAACACTAAAATAGGGCACAATTCCCCATGCATCAGGGCCATTTTTTAAATCCTCACTTTCTGCAGGTTTTTCCACCCGGCTCATTCTATCCGCCCATTCTAAGCACGTTCCAGGCGTCAGAAGCACCAGAACTACCTTAGTTTTGCTAACCCTAACCCTACCCTGGATTTCCTGGGTAACACTAAAATAGGGCACAATTCCCCATGCATCAGGGCCATTTTTTAAATCCTCACTTTCTGCAGGTTTTTCCACCTGACTCATTCTATCTGCCCATTCTAAGCACGTTCCAGGCGTCAGAAGCGCCAGAACTACCTTAGTTTTGCTAACCCTAACCTTACCCTGGATTTTTTGGGTAACCCTAAAATAGGGCAAAATTCCCCATGTATCAGGGCCATTTTTTAAATCCTCACTTTCCGCAGGTTTTTCCATCCGGCTCATTCTATCTGCCCATTCTAAGCACGTTCCAGGTGTCAGAAGCGCCAGAACTACCTTAGTTTTGCTAACCCTAACCCTACCCTGGATTTCCTAGGTAACCCTAAAATAGGGCAAAATTCCCCATGCATCAGGGCCATTTTTTAAATCCTCACTTTCCGCAGGTTTTTCCGCCCGGCTCATTCTATCTGCCCATTCTAAGCACGTTCCAGGCGTCGGAAGCGCCAGAACTACCTTAGTTTTGCTAACCCTAACCCTACCCTGGATTTCCTGGGTAACCCTAAAATAGGGCAAATTCCCCATGCATCAGGGCCATTTTTTAAATCCTCACTTTCCGCAGGTTTTTCCATCCGGCTCATTCTATCTGCCCATTCTAAGCACGTTCCAGGCGTCGGAAGCGCCAGAACTACCTTAGTTTTGCTAACCCTAACCCTACCCTGGATTTCCTGGGTAACCCTAAAATAGGGCAAATTCCCCATGCATCAGGGCCATTTTTTAAATCCTCACTTTCCGCAGGTTTTTCCGCCTGGCTCATTCTATCTGCCCATTCTGAGCATGTTCCAGGCGTCGGAAGCGCCAGCACCACCTTAGTTTTGCTAACCCTAACCCTACCCTGGATTTCCTGGGTAACCCTAAAATAGGGCAAATTCCCCATGCATCAGGGCCATTTTTTAAATCCTCACTTTCCGCAGGTTTTTCTGCCCGGCTCATTCTATCTGCCCATTCTAAGCATGTTCCAGGCGTCGGAAGCGCCAGAACTACCTTAGTTTTGCTAACCCT